TATAAACCAACCATATAACCTGGCCTGGTGGGGCCATGCAAGCGATAGGGTTACCAATCAGAGAGTACAAGATAGCAAGATGCCCTACATGGACGCCGATAGACGATAGCGTCCAAGAGCGTCCGTATAGACGCCTGAGGACGCTGGCGAGCACCAATGACCATGGACGCTCATAGACGACGGCGAGCATGGGCGTCCATAAGAAAAATAGCTAGTATATAGTCATTTGTTATAGAGAGCTCTGGGAGTCCTCTAGTGAGCAATACAAGCAATAAGGTGGCCCTATATTACTATATAGACATTGCGACTCGTATTGTTATGAACCCTTTGGCTTTACCGAGACCTATAGTCTAACTAGCAGTACCTTCGACTGGCGACCCCTTTCAAAGGTAGGACTGCCTGTAGTTTCATTATAGTTACCTCTATACTTAGAGGGTACTTTAAGTTTGGCTTTGTTCTTCGGTTTGCTATTATAGGCCTTATTAATAAGCTATTATATATTGCTATTTTCAGCCTCGAGCTAGGCGATTTTAGCGTTAAGAGTATCGAGGGCCGTAGTATAGTCTTTCTAGGCCTTGAGTTAGGCAATTCTTATATTAAGAGCTTTAATAACCTACTATATCTACTATATAGTTACGGCCTAGCCTTAAGAGCCTAGGGTGCTAGATATCTAGAGCACTATAATGATTGATATTACCTTCAATCTAAACTGTAATAGAGTCAAAGGGAGTAAGTAATATATATTAAAACCTTAGGCAATCCTACCTCTAAAAGGGTTCGCCGGTCGAAGGTATCTGCTAGTCGGACTATAGGTCTTAGTAAAGCCAAAAGGTTTATAAGAATAAAAGTTATAATATTTATATAATGATATAGGGCTGCTATACTGCTTATATTACTTATTAAAGGACTTCTAGAGCCCTCCTAAAAAATAACTATATACTAGCTATTTTCCCTATAGACGCCCGCGCTTGCCGTCGTCTATGAGCGTCTATGGTCGCTAGTGCTCGCTAGCGTCCTCGGGCGTCTATACGGACGCTCTTGGACGCTGTCGTCTATTGGCGTCTATATAAGGTATCTTATTACCTAGTGCTCTTTGATTAGTAACCCCATCACCTATATGGCCCTACTAGGTTAGGTTATATAGTTGGTTCATAATACAAAGCTAAGTTATAGTCAACGCTTATCAAAACTCGCATTACCAACCATTAAAATAGCTCTCTAACCTCGATGTTGGCTGCTATAGACCAGCTTACTAATGGTATAATAGCTATAATACACTAGGTAGCCCTCCTTTAGGGAGAGGTCTCTTCGCTATATAAGGCTAACGAGGTATTATTACGGGCATAGCCCGTGCCATATAGGGTTAGGGTTAGAGTAGGGCACGAGAGATGTAGAGCCCTGATCGGGTCTATAGATGCGGTCTATGCGCAGTGGCCGCCTACAGGGACTTCTCTACGCCACTGCGTCTCCCATCTTCCTTTCCTTGTGCAACTACAATTGCAATATTATACTCCCAACATTGGCCCCGTGAAAGGTACTAAGCAAGCATCGGAGAGCTAAAAAAACACGTTTACGGCTTAGAGGATCGCTTGTAGTACAAGATGCAAGGTTCAACTGGATTAGAAGGCTATGGTTGGGGAGGTGGCTCAAGAAAAGGAGCAGGATAGTAATAGTATAGGGAGTGAGCGTATAAGGGTTCGGTGCTGTGGTGTATATGGTAAGCCTAGCTATAATGCCTGCACTTGCTAAGAGGATATAGAATCGTCTGATTTAGCTGCTTCTGATATAATTATAGTTAGTTCTTAGTGTTGTTATCTTACAATTGAGGATAGTTATTGTAGGAGAGTAGAGAGTATGCAGCTCGCTTATATGCGCAGCTCGCTTATAAAATACGTTAGCTCTAAGACTTAATTTGAGATTATTCCCAAGAGCCTACAGGGCCAAGATAATTTAGCTTTTGTTATTTTTCTAAGGTATGTTAGGTTATAGAGGAAGTAGGTATAGAAGTGAAATATCGCATTAGTATAGTTTAGTATAACTTTTGCATGTATGTAACTTTTGCTATATACCTATGTTATACTAAAACTATATATTTTTGTTATGAATTAACATGCAGAGGCTGGTGGGGGCCGACGTGCATGGTCTGCGGGCAGCGTCCGCGTCCAATCATTATGGACCACGAAAGACCAATGAGAACTAGGAAGATCAAGAACAATGCTAAGAGCAATTGTTCCTAGGGAACAACGCCAAGAATCCTTGTTCTAGATGGAATAATGGGAACAACAATTGTTCCAAATGTTCTAGAGACCTAGGTACGGGATACCTAAGGAAGGAAGCTGTATATAGTTCTACTATTCTGTCGCTCATTTAGATAGCTAGCTTCCTTAGTGAGCAATTTCAAGCAATAGCCTTTACCTATTGTGCAGACACTGCAGATTGCATTGTCGTGAACCTTTTGGCTTTACCGAGACCTACAGTCCGACCAGCAGTACCTTCGACCAGCGAACCCTTTTAGAGGCAGGACTACCTGTGGTTTCGTCACAATTTTACTATATTAGAATCTTTATGTTAACGTAAGTGTATAGCGAAAGTTATATGCATGCGAAAGTTATACTAAACCATACCCCCTTAACTTTATCTATATTAATTCCATCCAACCAGCTCAAAACGAACGAAACTACTCGGAATCGTCTTCCTCGGACGTTTCAACAACTATCTGACAGGTACGCGTATTGTGGCCAGGCTCGCCGCAGTTGCCACAATGCCGCGCGCGTGTCTTAACCCTCGGCTTCCGACTACTACCCGCCTGCGTTTCCTCCTTAATCTGTACCTTAACGTCTCTCTGGCCCTGTAGATCCTGTGTATCCTGTATAGAAAGTGATCCTCCTTGTTGGAGCCGTTGTTTTTTGACCCTTTGGCGCTTGCTTAGTGCCTTATTTGCTGCTCGGAGGCTCTGGTTCTCTGCCCTTAACAATGCCAACTGATATATGACCTTGGACGTCCCTTTAGCAAATATGTCAACCGCCCTCAAAATCTTAGTTGGAGAGCTATTTTGATGCCGGGCAATTCGATTCTTGATGAGGGTAGACTGCGAGGAGGCTTCGATTGGGTTGTTCGGGGTCTTGGAAACCCAGGCGTAGGCACTACTAGGCGGCGAGTTTAAGGGCGTTGGCGTCTTTAGACGGATATCGAGCTACGAGATTACTTTCTTGGGATTAAAAGGAGCAATTCTAGCACCTCGAAAACCTCCTTGAATGTTTTTAGGAGTTATAGCGGCTTGGAAAGCGGCATAGAATGTAGGAAAGAAGTCCTCCTTGGTGATGTGGGTTATGCTTGCCTGTATTATCCCCTCGATCTGCTTGCCGTATGCCGTCTTAAGTAGGCTGAAACACCCAATATCGAGCGGCTGAAGAATATGAGACGAGTAGGGAGGCATATAGAGGGTGATGATGTTATTCTCCTTGCAGTAGAGCTCGAAGTTGGTCGAGTGGTGGCTATCGTGGCCGTCGAGGACCAGGAGGCGATAAACCCCAGCTGTTCGAGCTTTAGTATACTTGTCGAAGTACTGAATCCATTCTAGGCCTCTCTCGTTGGTTGTCCAACCGTTTTCGGATGTCGCAATGACCCAGTCCTTCGGCAATGGGCTATTCTTATACCAAGAGGAGAGGTGATGTTTGCCCTTGACGATAATGAACGGCGGGATCGCCTAGCCAGTTGCATTGACGCCCTGGATCACCATTGCCCACTCGCGATTGCCAGGCTGCTTCGACTTTGCCCTGCCACGCCGTTCGGAGCTTGTAACAACCATTGCCGTTAAGATGATACCCATCTGAAACCCAGTCTCATCGAAGTTGTAGATGTCGGCCTCCTAGATGCCGTACTTTGCGATTGTGTTCCGCATAAGCGCAAACCAACCGCGAATAATCTCTGGATCTTCGCATTGGGCCCTCTGGTAGTCGTATTTCCGATTGAAACGCGTAGTAAGCTCTAGGTGCCGTTTGACGAAGGTTGAAGCCCAATGCGTTCCGACACGTCCTGCGTTGCGTTCGGCAAGCAGCCGATCGGCCATATCTTCTATACTAGACAAGCGGGGAGGAAATCCTTTAGAATCCAGGTCGAGGATATATTGAACAATGACAGCCTCCTCTAAATCGGTCAATTTCTGCGAGTTGGCTAGAATATCGTGTCGTGACTGCTGACCGCGCCGACGGCGGCTGAGCTTCATTGAGTCTACAGAAAAGATCCGAGCTGCAGCTCTAAGACTTAATTTCGGATCATTCTCTAGAGCCTGGAGGGCTAAGATAACTTGGCTTTCGTCGTTTTTCTGAGGCATGTTAGGTTGTGGAGGAAGTGGGTATAGAAGTGAGATGTCGCGTTGGTGTAGTTTAGTGTAACTTTCGCATGTATGTAACTTTCGCTATACACCTACGTTAGATTTTTTAATAATTAATTTAACATTAAAAATATATTATATGCTTATTATATTAGTCTATAAGTTATTTACCTATCAGGGCCCGATATATAATACATCGTATACTACGCGAAGGCGATTGGCCATTTGTTGAATATTAGAGAGCCGGGGCTGAAATACTTGTGCGTTAAGGTCGAGTACCCTCTTAAGAAGCACCTTTTCTTCTAAGTCGGTCAATTTCTCAAGGTTGGTAGGTAATTCGTGTCGTGATCGCTTTTCGGCGCGTCAATCGCAGAGCAAGATTTATAGGATGTTATAGATTATAGCAGCTTTATATACAGAAAGTTTAGGGTCTTTAAGAGCTTCAAGCGGAAGGATTACGCGACTTTCTTTTGGAAGAGATTCCATTTTTGTGTTGTGAAAGTCGGTGTTAAAATTAGGAGGTTACCTAGTTTGGGAAAAGTGGGCGCTTCATTATGCAGGTACGTTAAATTGATATGGAATGGATAATCCGCAGGAAGTGCAGCGGCATTCATACACTCCCACTCTCCTGCTCATTGTCCCCTCAGTTTCGCTTCCCGAGATCCGTGGCCCGCCTGCTCTCCTCGGCCGCTTTCCTCCACTTGCCGCCAAACCTCCACTGCACCGCGAGCCCTAGCAACGCGACGAGCTGGGCCGCGACGCAGACGGTGCATGCCGACCCGACGTCCATGGCATTGATCATGGGCATGACGAAGCTCGTACCAGCGGCGGCGAACAGACACCGGGCGAGATTGAGGCTCGCGCTGGCGGCCGCGCTGCGGTCGTGGAAGACGTCGACGAGGTACGTCGTGACGACCGACTGCGTCGCGATGGCTGTCCAGCCCGTCACGAAGGTCGTCACGATCGGCACGGCAATGTGTACCCGCTGGGGGTACTGGATGGTCCAGCCGAAGACGATCACGGACGCGCACTGCAGGAGCGCAAAGGCGGGGATCAGGTGTAGACGCGCCTTTTCGAGGGGGAAGTCATCCTCCGCGTCACCGTCAGTGTCGACGGCCGCCCGTGTGGATTGTAGTTGACACTCGTGCTGGGCCTTGAAGCGCCGATAGTCCATATCGAGGATCTTGCCCATGACAAGCGTTCCAGTCATGGAACCGACGCCGTTAGCGATAAAGGTCAAGCCAATCTCGGTCTCCCCAAGGCCGTAATGCTCCTGAAAGAGACTGGATATGGCCGTGATGGTCATCTGCCAGACGGCGTAGTACACGGCGAGAAAGACGATGATCGGGGCGGCTTGCTTGCTGACGAGAATGCGAAAGGGACCGACGAGGTCAATACGTTTTTTTGCCGGCGGCTCCGACTGCACTGTGTTGCGATCCCATTTGATCTTGGTGATTCTTTGGTAGACGACCAGGGGATACTTAGCAGCTTGGTTCGACGGCGTCCGGCTCCCGTTCCCGACGATCGACCTCAGCGTCTCGGGCATGAGAAGAATGAGGAGCACGAGGAAAACACCGCTGTATATGGCCAAGAACCAAAATATGGACCTCCATCCCAGGGATCCCGCAAGCGCCCCTCCGATCACAGGTCCCACAGCGACAGGCACGAGCAGCCCTGCCTGGAAGATGCCCATGAAACCTCCACGCTCATCACGGGTGGTGATGTCTCCAATCGCCCCGGAGCCAATGGCAATGGTGCTCGCGCTGCCGGTACTCTGCAAACATCGCAACACGAGCACGGCAGCATACGTCTTGGCCTCTGCCAACCCGATGCAGGCCCCGAAGAACACAACAGACGTGCCGCAGTACGCAATCCGGCGCCCCTTGACATCTGACACAGGACCCCAGAGGCTGGGCGCGATGGCCTGAAACACGAGGTACGTGGTGACAGTGAGGTTGACGAGCTCGATGGAGACGCCGAGGTCCCTGGCGACTGTCGGGAGGGCAGGGAAATAGATGTTGGACGCGAAACCGGAGACTGCATGATTCCACTTGTCAGAGGTGCCAGCCCTGCAACCCCGGAACGAGATCACACACTCACGTGTTGCGGCCACAGAAACGATCAGCACGATCAGTGCTTTCTGCCGCTTGTCGAAGATGCTGTATGGTGGCTCGGGAGCTTCTGGTGGAGGAGGTGTTGCAGGGGTAGTGTCGTCGGTTGGAGCTGGTTGGGCCTCCGTGGCCATGACGGGCAATCTTGTCGCGAAAACAAGTCTAATGATCATGAAAGAAGGGCTATGACATGATAAGTCTGTTTCCCAGGTGGAGGTGGAGGTACTGATAGGGGTTTAAAAGATCACGAGCCTGGCTGACTTCGCCTTGCGGCATTCGGAGTTGAGAGCCGCTTCAGGGGTTTCAACTCCGGGACTCGCTCCGGAGTTGAGCTTCGAAATAACAGGAGGCCCATAACCTAAGACCTAGCCTGATCAAGACACAAATCTATGTGAGTTAGGCAAGTTGTTACCACGACAGCCGGACCATTCGTTTTCTTGGTTCTTTCAGTTCCTTCGATTTGCCGGTCCTCCGTATCTTCGCCATGGGCTCTGTGCAGCGACCCGAAGAGGCCGAGCGCCGCGTGGCATTCGGCCAACACTACGCCATCCTCCAACTGGACCTGATGTCGGTTCTAGTAGATGCCGCCAAGGACGTCGACGAAGGGCAAGCGTTCATTTCCAGCTGCGTGCGGTGGAACGATGCCGTGCACAGCAAGGCCCATCGGCCGCCCACGATCTTCACCGCTCTCTCTTTCTCAAATGCTTCGCAACCCGAGTTGGCGCCCGAAGCCGATGCCCCATTTACCAAAATGGTACGAGAATTCGGCAATTTTGAGCGAGGTTCCCCCGGTGTCCGAATAGATTCTCGCTTCGTGGTTGATGAGAAGGATATTGTCCTGGAGAAGACCAGATGGTACGCCGGCGCCAGTAATGCCTTAGAACAGATCCTAAAGGCGCAGAAGATCGACACGGTTGTTATTGTAGGTTGCCAGTCAACCTCTCTGAGACTAATCGGGCTGCTGACAACGGCTATTTTACTTTAGTCCGGCTTAACACTCTCGGGTGTGGTGATGAGCACGGTTTATCGGTTGTTCGATTTGGACTACAGGGTATACGTAATCGCGGACAATGTGCTGGAACTGCCAGCGGACCAAGCAACGGACTTTACGCGCGTCATCTTGAACACTCTGCTCCCCAAGATGAACGTGCAGGTCATCACGATTGAGCAAGCCTTGCTGGCTCTCGAGCGGTCTTAGGATTAATGCTATTTCTTTGTCTCATGTTTTCCTATCTCTGGTTATTATTCCCACTGGTCTGACGGGACAGAGGATACAGTGATAGTAGTCTAAAAGCGCACCGCGAGAAGAATCGTTGGAAGAACGATTCGCTCAGGCCTACACGCCATGCGTGCAGCTCGTTACCGCATACATCATTGTCCCAAACTCATCGACGCTCTGCAACCACCGGTCCACCCTGCTGCGTCTGTTGACAACATCTGCCTCGTCCAAGTCTGGGGGAATTGACCAAAGCTCGTCGATGCAAAGGCCGCCCTCAGGCCACTCGGCCAAATAGACGTTGTATGATTTCTCCCACTCGTCTCGGGTCCCTGCCTGCCATAGCCATTTACTTGCTGGCGCAAGCAATCCTCGCAACTCTGTTCCGAGGAAGGTCGGGAGGCCATCTTTGGCAGAGAGCATGTTGTCTAAGAGGTACATGGTGAACAACGTTCGCCGCTTTGCCTCGGCGACAATCCAGGACTCCCATTTCGGACGAGTTCGATCTTGCTCGGCTGAGCACACGAGACCCTGCGCCGAGCACGAGCATGCAATCTCTTGGAGATTGATCATGGCCTGGTGGAGGAAAGGATCGGCTTCCCGCCCGAGCAGGAAGTAGAAGGCCAAGGTATATATCAGATACGCTTGGAATGCAGCAAGCAGAGTCATGTCGTCGTAAGTGTCGTGCTGCCCGTGGAGCTTGCCCATCTCGCGCTGCATAATCTCGGCAGCGATCCCTTCGCTACCAGGCAGCGGCTTTTCGCAGACCCGAATCAAGCTCAAGCAGGCCGGGAGCGGCGGGTTCGGCGACGTCTGAAGCGGCTGTGCTGGGTGTAGAAATGGCAAGCCGCCATGGCCTCGGACCGCGATAGCCGCGTAGGATTTCAGGATCCTGTAGGTGAAGGCTGTGATGGTCGTGGACAGTGTTTTGATGGTCTGTCCAGGGACAGGAATGTAAGAATTGAGCCAGCGGTTCCGGATGTCATCTGCGTTGATGGGACACACGAGGTCGAGGCGCAAGAAGTCAAGTGCAGCCGACCCTCTTTGGGCACCACTTGTCACCTCATGTCCCTGATGACCAAAATGACCGGCATCTGTGACTTTTTTCAAGGCCGTGTTGACTGGGCCAGGAAGAGTAGCACCAATTAGAGGCTGTATCAATGCGGCGATTGGATTCGAGGTTTGACTTGTCGCTTCCGGTTCGGGGGTCAGTCTCGAGACCGGGAGACTTCCGAGCATTGAAACCGGGCTGCACAATTCCGTTTCACCAATGACCGCTGTGTCTTGGAAAGAGGCTCGAGAGTGGAATGCTTGGGGATATGTGCAGGCCAATCCTCGCAGGGTACATCGGCCACAAGACGGTGCCTTATGGTCGCATTTCGCCTTTGCATTCGAGCATGGCTGGCAGGCCTTTTGCCGTGATATCGAGTATCTCGTAGTTTTCATGTCTGAATGAAAGTGATTAAAACGTAGGGTTGTCTACAGCTATTGCTGTAGTGCAGGTAATGAAGGTGGTGATGGTAAATGCCCATGGATTGGTGGACTGACGATGGTGAAGTGGGATGTATGGGGTACTCGTGGCAAACCCCCACCAGCCCCGCTTTTCTTCGGACCAGCCAACGAACCGCGAGGCAGGTTGGTGGTCACTAGCTGAACGGCCACATCAACCTGAACGGCCACCTTTTTGAACCTTTAAAAAAAACTACTACATCTGCAACCCACATTCGAACCCGACGATCGCTCTGAAGATGGAGGCCCGTATTCAAGATGCCGTCGAATACATTTCCGCTAATCTGGATGCCTCGGTGGCCGCAGTTGCCCGAGAATTCGCCGTCCCGCGGGGCCGCCTGCGTCGCCGCCTGGCCGGCACTGGGCCTAAAACTGGCCACTCACCTACGCATACCAAGTTGTCAGCTCCTGAAGAGGTTGCATTGTGCCGATATATCGATCGGCTTGACGGTATCAACCTTGCGGTACAGCCAGCCTTTGTTACCGACGTGGCAAACTACATCTTACGCTCGCGGGCCAGCCGGGCCGAGTAGGACAACCCACCAGTTGTCGGCTAGAACTGGACCTCCCGGTTCATCAAGCGCTATGGATACCGCAAGCAGTGGCAAAGGAAGCTCAACGCTAATCGCCAGAAAGCCGAACAACCTGCGGTTGTTGCCGAATACTTCAATAAGCTGTTGGCTGTCCTTGGTGATAAAGGGGTCGACCCTGAAGATATCTGGCCTGAGTAAGCGGCCGCCTGCAGTGCTGCAAGTAAGGCGGTCGGAGTTGTAGTGGTCTGCGCGTACTGCCTGGAGCGGAAACCGTACATGCCGGCGCTCAGATTGGGGTTGGCGCCGTGGTCGAGCAGGAAGTTCATCATCTGGAGCGCATCCCCAAGCGGATTCTGGCTCTGAAAGACAGCGTGCAGTGCTGAGCGTCGTGCCGCTCGTCTCCTCGGGCGTCAATGATCTCGACGCGCCCGCGGGAGAGGAGTAGCCTCATGAGCTTTTCCCATTGCGGATATTCCGTGTCCGCTGCCGCCGCGGCGTGCCACGCGCTCCCGAAGCGGCCGCCTTGCTTGTTGACGTCGGCCACGTAGTCGAGGAGGCGTTCTATGGGTGTTGGTCGGAGAATAGCAACCGGATCGGATAACCAGAGCCGCCGCCGCCACCCCGTTGTCGTCGTCATAATCATCGTCATCATTATCGTCGTCGTCGTCGTCATAGATGGGTACCATGCCGTTGTACGGCACTTTGCGTGATAGAACTGGTCGAAGATTCTGGGGTCGTCATATTCGTACACTACGACGAAGCTGCCAAGATATTTCAGCACGTCATTGGCGTTAAACAGCCGCTCCGATTTGATTTGTCCAGCATGACAAGGCCTTGAGGACGAAGAACAAAGACCTCGGCTAGCTCGGCTAGAGTATAACGCGAGCCGAGAAGCGGAGCCATTTGAGCATGCTAATGACCGGTTGTTGGACAACGGGTTCTATGCTCTGGAGCATCCTGCTGTAGGTGTCGTCGAGGTCTTCAGGCAGTTCTTGGAGGGCATTTCGGATAAGGGCCTCGGACGAAAATGGCTGGAGCTCTTGAGCTGGCAGACTACGTACTGGAACCTGGAGAGAAAATCAGTGGTCTGGTTGAGATGGCCAAAGAAAGGGAGATGAGCATTGAGACTGACACCCCCTCTGCTTTCTCAATCAGCCGTTCCCTCGCCTCCTTCTTGACGCCTTCCGACCATGACCTGTACGGGGGAGACGACAAGGTCGAATCAATGTAAATCCAATATCTCCGTTAAGCTGGTCTCGATATGCGAGTGCCGATAGATCGATCGAGTCTCTTACCGGTGGAGACAGCAAGCCGCCGAGGGCTGCGTCAATGTCGGCCTCCTTCCGGCTGGTATAAAGGATTTGGACGCTGCTGGATGCTGCAGTAATGATGCGGTCAGGGCTTTCAAAAAGCTCTCCTCGCTCCCAGCAAGCGCCGGGCATTCATTGAGGCCGTCGATGACGATGTGCACAGCTGAGAACCCTCGCACGGTTGCTGCCAATGCAGCCTCAAGGGTCTCTACACCCGGGCGCTCGCCTCTCTCTTTGTACTGCTCCAGGTCCTTGATCGGCTGTGGCTTATTTGGCCGACGGGAGCAGATCTGCTTCACGAGCGCTCCGAGCATCGTGGCTGCGTTCTGCTCCCCTTTGTGAGCGAAGCTGGGGTAAAAGTAGGCAAGCGCCGTCATAGGGTCGGGATCGTGCCGGCTCCGCAAATGTATGTATGACGGCGAAACTCAAGAACGACTTCCCGGAGCCAGCTGCAGATCTGTCAGCGACAAGACCCAAGAAGTGAGGATGGGGGTCAAGGCGGATAACCTTTGTCGTGAAGCCACAGTCTTGAACTTGGAGAATCCTGCCAGGCCTTGAACTTCTCATTGCCGTGCAACAGCCATTCGCTCGTGCCTGGCCTGAGGCCTTTTTGAAGCAATCTTCCTGTAAGTCCCCGAATAGTCCTCGCCATGTAACCAATTCAGGAGCGCCGCGCGCTTTCTGTCTGCCGCTCCAGCTTCGACTCCCTCACGCATCCCCTGGACATCCACGCCGATTCTTTTCCACTGTTTGACACTCCCATGGTGTCGTCTCTCGGTCGCCTCGCATTACTCACTATACTTCATGTCCCTCCGGGCTGTGCTGACGGCGGTGAAAACACGTTCCTGTTCGCGTATTTCGTCCAATAATGCATCCCAGCCGTCCCACTTGACAATATCCCGCTCCAGGCGGAAGGTAAAGTTCTTGGCATAATAGCGGTAAGCCGGGAGCTGCAATTCCAGGACGCTGCGGTACAGTGCTTCGAGGGCGTTCCTGTATTCGGCGTGGGACACTGCGAAAGACTCGTGATTCCCGGCCTTGGCTTCGTAGCCCCGGACATAGACATCTCCCATATGCGACTTTGGACGATCAGGGACGCAACGTACTGCAGCCCATTTGCAAGTGAGGCAGCTTACTTGGATGGGTTCAAGAAGAGCTGCCACCAGTGTCAGGCATCGGATCTATCCTGTCTCGTGAATAGGGAGGGCGGAGACTCGCCTGTCCAGCTACGAGCAGCTCTACTTTCTGCTGATGACCCCGGAGCCAGCCAGAGGTGACCGAGATCCTGCGCTGGATCCGCGCCGGCTTCGGCGTCGACGATATCCTGCGGTACGTGAGAGACGGCGACCTCCTGTTGCAGCTGCACCTGCTGCCCGAGACGAGGTTGCGCTACACTTTTCCCGAGTTCGCTAGCTGGCCGACCGTCTTCCGAGAACCCGACAACCCCTATCTCGGCACGCAGCTCCTCGGCTTTACAACCCCGAAATCCGCCGCCGCGAGGGATGGTGGCTCGGCGCCGGGCAGCACGGCAACGCTCCATCCCGACTCATACTACGTGTACCAGTTCCCTTATCATGCCACCCACATGGTCGACTCGCGCTTGTCTTCGGTCAAGGCGGCCAGGTGGACGTCGGTGACGGCTGCCGACGCTCTGGTCTCCAAGCTCCTGTCCATCTAATTTCAGTTTGAGTACATCGGGACGCGTTCGTTCCAGAAGGACCTGTTTCTGGATGACCTCGTTCGGAGCAAGACCGACTTCTGCTCGGCCCTGCTCGTCAACTGCATCCTTGGCCAATGCTGCTGTGAGCACTCACTCCCCTAACTTGGTTCAATTCTTGTCGGTATAGCGATGCTAGCTGACGTTCGATCTCGACGACTCTAGCACGGCCTGACGAGCGACCCTCACCGCGTCGAGTTCTGGACGCCGCGCTCTCTGCCCTTCGCCTTCATGGCCGAGGCGAAGCGGCTATGGGATATCGGAATTGCCGGGGAGCCCAAGCGGACCACCATCCAAGCGGCCATGTGCCTCACCATGCGGTACGGGACAGACGGCGCCGGCAAGATCAGTGTTCCGTTTCTCGTCAAGGCCGTCGAGTTGGCGGACAAGATGGAGTTCTTCGCCCGGCGCGAGACCGAAGACTCCAAAATGAGCATTGCCCGCGCCTTCACCGCTTTGGTTGTCGTTAGCTATCAAGGGCATGTCACGTCCCGACCTTTAGGACGGTTGCTTCTCGGATTATCACTATGCTACTAGTTCGTACTGACGGTGCGCTTGGTCAGATTGGTCTTCTATTACATGCATAATACCCCATCCGTGATTTTATTTACTTTCCTCCCTCGCCGCCCTCGCCATCTTCTTCTTCTCTGCCACCCTCCCGTAACCCGTCCAAACAATCCCGAATCTCAACCCAAGACAACCGACCCCGAACCCGCTCGACTACCTCGACCTCGACCCGAGCGGAATCTACGCCTCCCTGGGAAAGGTACCGCCCGGGCAGAAATGCGGCGGGCTCAGGGATGGGACCACGGTATCCGACGTGAGCTTTGCGCTTCATGTTATGTGGGAGAGATGTTGTTTAGGATTATTTGAGGCCATGGTGTTATACGAAAGTATATCAAGGTACAACTCAAATCAGAGCGTTGAGGCTCTTGGTGTCCCTCCGGTCCCAGCAGACGCCGAGTTGAATCGGCTGCTATCTCCATACAAACATTACTCCTGATAATTTGCACAAGGCACTGCGGAAAGTTTAAATACTCAGCGCCCCTCAGACCCTACCGTCGACTCCGGAGCCCTCGCCAGGGCATGGTCGAGCCGCTGCCTGACGGTCCGAATCTCGTCCGCAACACGCGCTCTGAACGCCAACTCCTCCTCGCTCGGCGGTGCGGCGCTCTCGTTCCGGACAATGCCCAACGTGTCCTTGATGACGTCGAGGTCGGATGCGACGACTGCTCGAACCTCGGCCTGCAGTGCCGCGGCTAGCTCCCCGAAGCCGTCTCGGAACTTTCTCATTACCGCCGCAAGTAGCTGCTCGTTGCCGAGCGCCGCGTTGATGATGGCCTTCTTCCGGCCCCAGCTCCCGCTGCCGTATTCTGCAATGGCGCGGTTGTATGTGCCTTCCATGCCTCGTCCATAGAAGGAGGTCCGATGCCCCCGAAGTGCGTCAGTTCGGAGCGTCCTGGTCGCCATCAGCACTAGCACGGACGTGTTCAGATGCAGACGGCAAAAGAGAAACTCACCTGAGGTCTTCCTCAAACTTGTCGCAAATGTCCTCCACCCGGAACACAAGACTGTGTTGGCGGGACGTCAAGGCTATGCGGAGCGGGTGCAGAGAGTCGGACCGGTAGCCGTCAACCACAGCCTCTGTGCGAGACGCCTGGCCATCAGGGCACAGATCATGCAATAAGGGAAGCAAGTTGAGACCAACCTAGGCGATTGACAGCCCATTCCAGTGAGTCGGATATGGTCTCCAAGACGCGGTCTAAGCGGTCAAGAATAACGGGGTAGAAGGTGCGCCAGACCGCGGACAAGGCATCCGACATGGCCGCCATCGCTTCCTCGTTCCAGTCGTGAAAACCCACGGCGTCGGTGTTGTGATGTCCATAGTTCCGGCAAAACGCAGCATAGGTTGCTATCGTTCTTCCTGTCAGTGGCAGCTCCTTTCCCGATCCGGCCCACCCCGAAACGAGAGCGACAGGGAAGGATGGGGGAGTTAGACTTGCCGTGATGCCACTGTGCCGGCGACGCAGTTAGCAAGCCCATTCAGCACTCTGTGGGAGTATCGATACAGCCAATCATTTTCCGCACTGGCACACTGGCAGCGTGGAGAAAGATCCGAGAGGGACAGGCCACTTACCCCGTTCCACACCAGCCCGGCTTTTACTGCCTCTCGGGTCCACTCGCGAGTTCGGCGCTCTTAAACAAAGAGGATTAGCTATTGGGAGCGGCGATCGCCATGGCAAGATAGTAGGTAGGCAATCAGGCGGCTTGCATACGTTGATACACGTCCTCCCCGAACCGTCGCGAAAGCCACCGGTCTAGGTTCATGATCGGCGAATGCACTCCCGTGAAATCCTGAACCCGGGATCAGTCTCGACTCAAAACCCGAGACGGGGGGATAAAGTCAGGTAATGAGCGCACGCACCCCCCTCAAGCGGGCCTCCACCCCGTCGAGCACCCGGCGGACCTCCCGTGCCCGCGCCAAGTCGGCCGTACCGCCCGCCCCGGACCTGACCCACAGGTCGACGTTGCTCACGAGCTCCTGGACGTCGCGGTGCATGTACTGCATGGCGAGGCGGAGCTGGCTCTCCGAAACGAGGCCCAGGCAATGCTGCCGGATGGCGAGGATGCCGCTCTGGCGGAGAAAGGGGAGCGCCCGGTCTGCGGGCTTGTCTCGCCACTCCCAGTATAGCGTGTTGCTGGCGCAGAACACGCGCAGTTGGCCGCCGCCGCCCGGTATCCTGTCGGCATAGGTGCGCATTAGCCCAGCCGTCACGGTGGCGTTGCGGAGCTCCATGGCGGTGCGGTGGCATCTATGACCGGGGACGGGGCTCAGAGTTAGCGACCCGAGGAAGAGAAGAGAAAAGAAAGCGAAGAAAGAAAACGAAAAACGGAAAAAGAGAAAAAGAGCAACAACGAAGAAGGAAAGAGTTGCAATGACGGTGAGGGCTTTCGCATGGCGGGGATCGACGTACTCTACTTTTCGCCTCTCGAGCGTCCGTCTGAACAAGAACAAAGGGGTGGTTAGTACATCTGGTTCCTCTCCACGACGGGCCGTACGGAAACGAACTCAATCCGGTCTTTCTCCCCCAAGAGCTGGATTCGCCTCGCCTCTTCTTGCTCGAACAGCTCATCACCTCCGTCCAAGATGGCGTTCAACTCTGCGAGTTCTTGGCCGACCGGCGCCAATCTGCGCTCCGCGTCCCTTACCAATTGAATCAAGTGCCGCAGCCTCACCGCCGCCGCACCGGTGTGCTCCCGCACCTCCTCCTCGGCCTTGACGTCCTGGGAACAAACTATCGTCAGCGTCATAGTGTCAAATGAGTACCCAGAAGTAACGGTGCAACGGGTTATTTTGTCTTTAAGGGAGGGGCGGGAGGAAGGGCGCCGTCGCACATCGGATCTGGTGCAGATTATGCCAACGTTGGACAAGTCCGCCCGCCGAGCAAGCTCAAACACGCTCATGACCCCTTGGTCGGTCGTCGCTCGCCCAGTGTTGCAGACGGCGAAGATCTCGTTGCACTCGACTATGTAGCGTTCGGTGATATTGCGTCGAGCCGAGTTCAGATCGTGGAGTCCTGGGAGGTCTACGAGGATAAGGCCTTTGCTCAGAATATACGCCTTGAGGAACACCCTGCAGCTGTTAGATGACGAGGTTTGGTGGACAAGAATCTCGAACGAGTCACGACGAACTTGACCTTCTTGATATAACGCCACACCGGCGCTCCTCCGGATGGACCCGCGTTCGACGTGAGCTGTGCCAGGAGGGAGGAGCAGTCTCTGACCGAGGACCGGATTTCGCGGGTGTTGGCGTTGACAGGGCTGAGCTCCTGCGCCCAACCGACTAGCGTTCTCACTATGCTCTCTTCCGACCGCCCCTGCTGGAACAGCGCGGGCGTGAATCGATCCTCGAACATGGCCCGGAAGGAGTCTTCGGCAACGGCTGCGCGCTCCTCCCAGTGCCTCGCGTCCTCGGCATGCGACTGGCGGACGTCCGAGTTCTCCGCATCATCTGAATCTTGCGCATCCTCCGAGCCTGCGGAGCGGCGGAGACGCTGGCAATATGCGTGCACCATTTCGGTCAGCTGCTCCCTGATCTCGCTCTGGCTGAACGGCTCGACCTCGACGGCAAAGCCGTCCCTGTCGTGGTACCAGTATTCCGTCACGACGCACGTACACGCCGCTCCGTTGTTGGTCTGCAAAAGCCTTCCGAGTTAGCATCCGCCCAGGAGAGCGCCCACCCCCCTTGCCTTGCGCCAGACTCACCGCCCGGGCCAGTCCGTCGCAATCCAGCAGCGAGTTCAGCAGGCTGCTCTTGCCTGCGTATTGATCGGTCAGCATCAGCCTGTCGATAAACTGATTACCCATCCAATGTTGTCTAGAAAAAATTTGTTCTACGACCGAAAGGAAGGAAGGTGTGCGGCCGTGAAGGGAAGAGGGGAAACAAGGGGGTGAAAAACGCACCAACTCCCGAGTCGCCAACCAGACCTACTGTACGAGTCGGAGGGCATCGGAAACGGGCCAGCTCCCCGGCTCTCTCCGAGAGACGCCATATGGGCGAGTCCTGGTCCACGTTCAAGGGGTGGCGGCCCAGCACGCTAGCCAGGTCTTGCGCGACGGACTGGGCATCGGCAAGGGCCCGCTGGACCTCGGCATCGTAGAAGCGGTCCGGCGGCGGCTCCTCGTGGTCCACCTCGTGGCGCATCGGGAGTGCCTGCGAAGATGACCGCCTGTGACGAGCAGGAGACGGGCAAAGAGACGGCCACGGTCCCGCCTGCTGCGGCTGCGGCGTTGGCGAAAGGCTGCCTCTGCTGTCCCTGCTAGATCCGCTGGCGCCGGTAGCCCCCATTCTCCCGCCTGCGCGGCTGCCGGGACGGAACGGAAGAGATGGAGACAGGTCCCTAGCAGGCGTCCTGGGAGTTCCGCCTCCTGGCGAGCCCGGGAGCGCATCGCGCAGTCCCGCCGTGTCCATGGCGGTGTGCCAACCCGCACGGCCGGGGCTGCGGCTGGCCAGATGCAAACCTCGGACGCCCTCGCCAAGGCTCTCGACCTGATCTCGTTCGCTCCCGGGCGAAGCGCTTCTGTTTCCGCTCCCGAAGACAATGTCCCGTGGAGGAGTCACAGAAGGCATGCTGACCGAAATGGGAGGCGTCCAGGATGAGGATTCCTCCGAGCTCTGGTCGGTTCCGGGGGCACGAACGGGGTTGTTCCCACTGCGGAAGACGTAGGGTTGCCCGTTCTCACTGTGGGTACTAAAATTGAAGCTCCTCTGTGATCCGGATGGGGAGTGGCTCCATCGCGTCATGTTGTCGTGAATCGGGATGAGGCTGGGAGCGGTCTGGCTGGTGTGACCTTGCTCGCTTCCTGGTGGACCGCTTGTGTTCCCTTCCTCCGATCGATTCGACGGTTGGGGAGACTCGGAAGGCGTGTTGATGGCAATGGAAGGCGTCGAGGACGAGGACAGCTCCGAGACCGGGTCGTTTTCGATGGATGGGAGCGGGACATCCTCGCCGCGGAGGACATATTCTGCTTGTCTGCCGTCGCCCAACGGTGACGAGATGGAGCCGCATTCCGGTCCGGGTGGCTGGAGGCTTCGCCGCATCATTCTGTCTTAATCCAGAAGATGATGAGAGAAGAGTGTGGACGGCTTATGAGAACCAGCTGACGCTGTCTACGATAAGGGGAGCTGATCGTAAAGTATACATGGTCCGCCACCGATCCTCTACTGGGTGGTCACTAATCACTTCCTTGCTTCAGCGGTCACCTTCACGCGACCTGTTTCAAGTCTTCTTGGGGACCATCGCAGTATGCACTCTCGTGGCACTCCTGCGACTCGCGAGCGAGTCGGTTGGCGGCGAGCCGAGGACACTGTAACTCACCTGGTGGCAATACCGAACTGTTGGGACGCAAAATGCCACCTTCCGGTCAAGTCACGCTTCCTGACACGACTTGATTGGTTTCGTTGCGCGAGGGGTTATGCAGTTGGTGCTGACGAAACTGCGTTGCGTTCCGCTAGGGATTGCGTAGGTCACCTACTTTCTCGGAGCGCCAGGCGATTCCTTGAATGTCTCACTCATGTTTTATCCTGGCAACGAGGCCTTCACACTCAATTGGGGTTATGGCTCCGGAACTCCTCCAGGTGGCTCGGATCCATAGGGATTTGGCGTGCAGCATTGCTGGGCCTTTGGGTAGAAGCGTAGACGGCGCAGCAAGATGGAATATTCCGTACAACGTGACCCTACATATATCCGACTGTCTTGACCAGGAGATACGGCACTCATGCGGCGAGATATTTGCCCGCCCTCCCAACGGGGGGGAGAGGGGTAATTCCAAGATGCTCGTCGTCTTGGCTGAGCGCGCAGCTCGAATCCCTTTGCCCCTTCTAATCCACCCTGCTTACCTGGTGCCTCGCATGAATAATAGTGGTATGCGTCGGCCAGAGTCCCAGACTCGGCGTGGTGTTCGGTGTCCTCGGGAAGCTTGACCTGCTGCAAACCCCTCTTCTGCATACTACTTCTATAATTGCGAGCTGCCCCGTTGCACAGCGTCGAACCGAAGTCAACTCACATCGAGAGGTGTGCTAATCTGTAGCGTGACAGTTGCAAGTGGAATGGCGCCATGTAGTACCACTGACAACGGCAAAACAACAATCTATCATGGATCATAAGTTAGGCGACAAAATCACTGTTTGATCTGCCGTCTTCTTAACTGAGGGGCATGTAGTAGTGCGGGAGGCTGCAACACCTACTACTACTGCGGCGCGAGCACCAGGCCTCCGACCGGCCAACGCACAAAGGAACCTGCAAGCAGCTCAAGGACGCCAAGGAAGCGATGGGAGACGGCGGAGTCCAGGCTGCGGGCCCGCGACCCCGACTGCCTGGAGACCCACGCCGGCAAACTGTGGTACCAGCCACCTGCTCGGATGTACTTGTACACCATCTCCCAGTACGGCGAGCTCCGGGTCCGCTCCCTCCTGGCGGCGGCAAGGCATTGAGGACGGATTGAAGGTCTACCTCAAGCTGCTGCACCTGAACCACACCGACCAGCAAGATGTGCGGGACATTGTTCCGCCCCTGTATATCCGACCCGGGCGCGACCAGGAAGCCTACGACTTTCTCAAGTACTGGGGCCTCCGCGACAACGACCTGGGGGACAAAGACCAGCCCTTCCTGCGCATTAAGAACGCCGATGCCTACGAGGGCGTTGAGATCTGGGACCACGAGATCCTGCCGCTCGCGCAGGCCATCAATGTCCTGCTCATCAAGATCCGCCTGCTGATCGGCATCCGGTCCGTGCAGCGCATGAAAGCCTGGAAGGCCAGCCAGGGCGAGGACGTCGCCGCCATGTCGGGCGCGCAGGTCCTCGACTGGCTACGGGACGACTTGGGCCCCTTCTGCGGAGACATCTTTGAGCGTGCGCCGGAAGTTCTTGGCGATGATGCGTTGCTGGATGAGAAGTTGTCTGCGGTGGCCGACCAGATTATCGCGCTCCTCTGGGCCATTAAACGTTACAACGTATACTTCATAGCCATGCTGCTGAACCCAGAGGAAAAGGATTTCGGGTCCGAACGGACGGGCTTCCACAGGCCGGGATCGGAAACAGAGGCCAGGTTGGCCTTCATGCGGACATATTCGGCGTGGTGCGAGACGGATGGGGCAATTCAGCGGTTGCGGAACATAATCTCCAAAGGCCTTGAATAATGCGATTGTTCGGTTTCTGTTTGATGGTGATTGGTTTTGGTTTGGATATTGGTTTGGATGCTCCACAGAGTATGAGTTACTGCCATTGCCGCTTGTTTTCCTTTTAGGACCCTTACAATTGAGACGTTGGGTTCACGACTCTCGGTGGACACCATTGTTGTTCCCGAGTGAGCATTTTGGAAAGCCATGAAGACAAACTGTATCGCAGCTAGAGGTAATCAGGTCTTTGTCACCCGCACCAGTGCTCCAGCGTCTTTGGTCAACTCAAATCGACTTGTCGTTGGGGACAAATGAGCAAAGGTGTGACTTCAATACTAGTACAACTTGAACATATAACCATCGTTGTCCACGCTGGGTTGTTCCAAGTACATCCCTTATGAACTGGGAAGGGCGCGGTTGAACAAGTCATATGTTGACGGAGCCCTCGCTGAACAGACGACACAATCTGTTCGGGTGAGAGGTGCCATCGGACTATAAATACAAGGGGAATCTCCCCTTCCATCTGACTTCTCCTTTACACTCTTACAACCTCACAGTAGTCGGAAGAGGCAACGGGGAATCCCCGAGTAACCTTCGACTCTTGACAACTACAACAACAACCATGAGTTCATTCACTCCCCACGATATGGCACCTAATCGCCAACACATCGAGGAACAGAGTCTCTTCGAAGAGTACTGTGACTTTATGGGACATCCAGCCAGCGCCGATGACGGTGACGAAACCTTGCACCCCTGGAAACCCCAGAGCCTCGCTTCGATCCACGACGCTGGTTCGGAGGATTATGACTTGTTCCCACCTCTGTCACCACGCCGACATGGCCAACCTGACAGTCAACTCTCAAGCACCTGCTGCTGCTTCTTTTGGCAATCATCATATGCCTGCCACGACGGTCACTGGGCTCGGGGACCACCACCTCGACCTCCAGCCCATCGAGCAGCAACAAATCCAAGCAGGCCGGCGGCTACGGCTCCTCCACGCAACCAACGTTGAACTACCTCATCTCCTCAATCAGATGGACCTCAACTCGGACGTGTACGCCGCTGGTGAGAACTACTACTACCAGGCCGTTGAGCCAAGCGAGTTCGGACAGAACCCCGTGGACGACGACGACCCATCGATGCTTGGAGCTAACCTGGAGGTGCCGTACTAGGATTACGGCGCTGATGGGGTTCTGTATCCGCAGCCGCATCCATATATCGTCACCGACGACGTCCTCCAAAGCGGCGTCGACCTCGACCAGCACGACGACGCCGCTCTTCAACAGGCCACGGCTGTTGGTCTGTTGCACCACCAGCAGCAGCAGTTCGGCGCTGCCGGAGAGGGGGGCGCCAACATGAACGGCCTCGCCTCGCCCCCGGTGGTCATCCAGTACATTCTCACTGGGGACAACAACATCAACCTCATGATCAACGGGCAGACTCAGCAGCAGCTGGTCTTGGGACACCACGAACAGGGTGGTCAGTAGGGGATGAAAGGAGTGGGGGCGGAGTACCTAGGGAGTGGGTGTACTACTACTGGTTGGATGGATGTAAGCTAGTGAAGATGGGCTTATGCGGGTTGTATTGTACACGGAGTAAACTGCCTCAGGATAGCTAATGAATCTGGGACTTTCTCTGCATGGAAGTATGCTCGATGAAAGAAAGTGCCCTGACAGCGTGATCCATGCAGGATGCGTAATTCCTTAATATTATGTTACTGTATCCCTTAGTTACTAGTAGTACATTCAGGAAGCACAGTGACACCCTCTCCATGATCAGAGGGTAGTAGAAATCTCTTGCAAGCGGAGTAATGCATTTTTCTAGGGGATCCCAAAGTTGCCTCCCTATCTCTAAAGTGTCCTGTCTCTAGTACCAGTATCGCTCTAAATAATCGCTCAGAATCATGAAAACCAACAAACAAGAATCACTCAAAAATGGAATCCTTATAAGTGGACGGATTTATGTACGGCGTGCCCCCACGGCGTGTGAAGCCCCAGCGGATCTGGGAGGCCATCGCAATCTCGGTGTCCAGGTGCTGGGCAAACGTCCAGGTGAGCCCGGGATCCTTCTGGAAGCCGCGTCCGACAAGGGCAACATCCAGCCCATCCTCCTCCAGCAGCCGGTTGGCCTGCTTGCCGTTGGTGATGGAGCCGACGGTGGCGACCAGGAGCCGGTCCCCGACGGCCTTCTTGATGGCGATGGCAAAGGGCGCCTGAAATGCCGGGCCGGACTTGATCTTCTGCGCGGCATGCATGCCGCCGGACGAGACATCGATCAGGTCGACGGCCCCCTGCGCGGCCAACGCCTCGGCGAACCGCACCGTGTCCTGGGCCGTCCAGCTCTCGGCCGGGTGCGTCTCCTCGACCCAGTCGGTGGCCGACACGCGCAGGAAGACGGGCATGTGCTCGCCGACGGCGTCGCGCGTGAGCTGCGCGATCTCCAGCGACAGCCGGATGCGGTTCTCGAACGAGCCGCCGTACTCGTCGGTGCGGGTGTTGGCGTGCGGCGACAGGAACGACGAGAGCAGGTAGCCGTGCGCGTTGTGGATCTCGATGAAGTCGGCCCCGGCCGCCACGGCCCTCTTCGTCGCTGCCACCCAGTCCCTCTTGAACTGCTCGATGTCCGCGCGGGTCATGGCGATGGGCTGGCAGTGGTTGGCGTCGAACGGGACGGTGCTGGGGCCCTTGACGCGGCTCGGCCAGCCGCCGACCTTCTCGGTGGCCACGACGGCCTCGCTGAACTTCCACGGCGCCACCTCGCTGGCCTTGCGGCCCGCGTGGGCGAGCTGCACGCCGATGACCTGGTTCTGGCTGTGCACGAAGTCGATGACGCGCTTCATCGGCGCGATCTGCGAGTCCTTCCACAGGCCGAGGTCCTGCGGGGTGATGCGGCCCTCGGGCTGCACGGCGGTCGCCTCGATCATGATCATGCCCGGCCCGCGCTGGGCGATGCTGCCCAGATGCATGAGGTGGTAGTCTGTCATGTGCCCGTCCTCGGCCGAGTACTGGCACATTGGCGCAACCTTTTTTGTAGTAATCATGGTCAGTGATCTAGGTACGTATTTCTCGACATTGCAAAGCAGGCTGCAAAGGGGGCGGGGGCAGGTAGATTGATGCTTACACCAAGGCGGTTCTGGAACTTCACCCCGCGGATGGCCAACGGCCGAAAGAGCTTTGGGATTGGCTTTCCGCTCGACTGAGGGCTAGCAGCCGTCCCCGCGGGCGGGTTCTGCGCCGGCGTGAAGTAGGAGAGGCCAGGCGCGCGCTCGATGTCGACGTCGGGAAGTGATTGTGACCCCATCGTGCCGTCTTTCTTGCGTAGAGCGTTTGGGAGTATGGGGGTTGATTAACGGGATGTACTGTGTGTGTTGAGGGCCTTGGACAGAATATGGAAACACATCTTGAGGAATACTGAGACTCGTGTCGACATTTATATCAGTCTTCATCGCATGGAACACTTCCAAGATCCACTGTGCTTAGAAATTCGCTAGCATTCGGAAAATCTATAATATCGCTTTGAAATACATCTAGAAACTTGCAATTCTCCACTTCTCCATTTCGAGGGTTACACATGTGTGGGTGTGTGGATGCAACTGCCGTACTTTCCGCCTGTTCCTGCGCTGTGGTGGATCAAGTTCGGCATCTGCGAGGCGAGCACGTGGCGAGTTTCGAATTCCCTGCGCGATTCCACCGGACCGGCCCCCCCGGAGAGGCGATGATGCCATGATGGTACGGATGCGGCGAGGAGCCAAGAACCGTGGGGGAAGTAGCAACAAACTGTCCCATGGACGCCGACTGCTCCGTCACACCTTATTCCAGGTTACCAAGACTTTCCACATCACAGTACAGGCACATAGTACCGCATCCGATTGCTCGGATCATACTTCCCCTTCAGCGCCCGCAGCCTCTCCAACCTCCACTCCTCCCACCCGTACACCGCCCCGAGCGGCTCGTCCCCGTGCGCATAGTTGACGTACGCCTTCAGCCTGCCCGGCTCGTCGCTCCCGTCCACCAAATACTGCCGCGTCCTCCGCCCCAGCGCCTGCGCCACGCCGTCCAGCGCCGCGTCGGGTTTGTAATTGATAAACGGGGAGATCAGCACGCGCTCGCTCCGGTGCGGGAACGCGGTCGAGTCCGGGTCGACGGCCTGCACGCCTTGCACGGCGTGGCCCTCGATCAGCCAGAGCGTGCCGGCGAGCGCGGGGACCTCGCGCAGTGTCGCGTCGAAGTCGTCGTACACCTTCCGTAGCGCGGCCGGGTTGTAGGCCTTGAGCACCGTCGGGAAGCGCAGCGACGTGGAGCCGTACGCGCACCCGAGGCCGTCTGCGTCTTGGAAGGTGACTACGGCCAGCTCGTGGTAGCTGGCTTCGCCCGCTTGGGTGGAGAGCGGGCCGACGGCGTGGAAGGGGGCGGCGTATTCCCTCGCTGGACCGGCTGGGCCGTCGTAGACGAGGCAGAAGAAGATGACGGGCTTGGTTAAGGGATGTTAAACTTCAAATTGTTCTCGCATGGAAAGGCGGAATATAGTAACTTACATGATCCGCATCAATCGGAGGGATCTTGACGAGGTATGTCCACTGCGTGACCTCTGCCGGCTGAACTTGGAGCATGCGGTCTGCAAGCTCGAAAAAGGCCTCTAGCTTGTCTCCCGAGTAGATGAACGTTTCGTAGGCGTACTTGTGGGCCGGGGCGTCGTAGATGCGGTATTCCCACTCCGTGACGATGCCGAAGTTGTGTCCCGCGCCCTTAACTGCCCAGAACAGGTCGGCATGGCTATCTTTTGACACGGTGATCACCTCGCCATCGGCCAGCACGAGGCGAGCCGAGATGACCTGGTCGGCAGCGAGACCATACTTTCCTTGCAGGTATCCGTGGCCTCCGCCGAGGATGACGGCCGAGATGCCGACGTTTTCGCACACGCCAGTCACTATGATGAAGCATATAAGTTTCCACAGTTCCATTTCCTTCTTGCAGACGAAGGACAAAAGCTCACCTGCTCGCTTTCCAACCTTTTCCAACTCACTCACAACCTGCTTTGCGTCCGCTCCGCCGCCGATGATAGCTGCTTTGCCGTCCTCCAGCACTCTGACCTGGTTCAGGGAGCGAAGATCAAGTTGGATTGCGTTCTTCGCGTTCCCGAGAGCGTCGGTTGCCCCGTGGCCCCCGGCTCTCGCCACGAAAGGGATGTCATGCTGAGCGGCGAAGCGTATCTTGGATAGTGTGGTCAGACCCAGCTCGCACTTTCTGTGGTTCTCATGGACACTCACCGTCTGCTGCACGTCTGCCTCGGTGGCCACTCGAACCACAGCAGCGACCTCCGGCGCGTGCCACTCTCTCCACCGATCCGTCAACTTGGCGAAGTCAGCATGATCGCGTAGAGCGATAGAGGCTCCCGGTGATAGCAGCAGACCAAGATCGGAGAGAATCTTCTCTGCCATTGCTAAGTCTGTTCGTTTGAAGCATTGAGAGAGGGGGGAGGCAAGTGATCAGAGCAGAATCCGCCGAGGCATCATGATATGGACTAAACAGGTACCTGGTAGTTAAATAGGCACTTACTGTTTACGCCCCTTCATCAGGGCGGTGCAGGTTGCATTCCATGATCCCAGCCATCCCACTGTGTAAAGTGACGGTCCAACAGCCGATGTGTAAGCCCTAGTTCCACTAGGTTGGAATATGGATAAGTGTCGAATCCGAGGCGGCCAATCGCTGCATTATTATCTGCACACCCGGCGGATTTCTCTCTGTGATTTAGACAAGCTCTGCGGGTATCGGATGCGCTAAGGGCGGCAGTGCTCAGGGGGTCATGCCTAATGGTAGCCTAGAGGTGATCGCAAGATCGCCTTCTGTATCTGGGCCAGATTGCATCTGTTCAATAACCACAACTGGCTGCCAAAGTATTGTGATAACTTGAAGTTATGATACGCATCAGTCTCTGACATTAGAGCAGGCATTCAGCGGAAATACTCAATGTTTAGACAACAATTTTTCGACGTATTAAGGCCTTGATGATCCCAGGAACTATGCCGCACACGATAACGCTATTATCACCGCTCCATTTCCCACCTTGCTATTCACTAGTAGTGTCTCGCAAGCATCCCGGTCGTGTCATGACACCCGACATACTCAAAGAACTGCTGGTCCTCGTCCAGAACCGCGACCTCATGAAACACCCTCAGCGTAACCTCATTGCGCAGCGTTCTCGCATACTTTTGAAAACCCCCAAAAATGGCCAAATGCGTTGGATGCTCCCTGCTCCACGCCTCAAGGCTCGCAAGTTCGTCAAAATACGCCAACCCAAACGTCCGGTCAATCCCCCCTCCCCCCTCCTCCTCCGCTGCCTTCCCCGTCTTTGCATCAACAATCTCCATAAACCGGCAACTGTAACAGCCCACCTCCTCCCCACGATCCCTCAGAAAATCCATCCCCCGCGTCAGCACCGGATGCATCGTCTCGAGGTACAGCTTCCGTTCCCCGGGCGTCGTGGCAGACCAGTCCTGCCCTGAGCGAATGACAGCGAGGTTCTTCTTTCCCGGCACGATAACCCGGCCGCTGCTGCCGCTAGTAGTGGGGAGTTTGATATGCTCTTTGCTCCCGGCGAGTGCGTCAGTCTGCGAGAGGGGGAGTCTATCGCGCATGCTCCCCCAGTAGCCGTGTTCCTGAATTGGACCGCTCATGCACTGGCCCATGTGCGCGGAGCCTTCGCGATTGGATTCTGTGTTGAAGAGGGTTTCGAAGCGGTCGGCTGTTGGGAAAAGCACCTCGAGAAACCAGCCGTTTTGGAGGGTCTCGGGTTGGAGAGAGCGCCACCAAGTCTGGAAGCCGGATTCGGATGCCCAGGTTTCGTAGGCGGGTTTGCTCGGCCAGTAGGCGAGGGCGGCGATGTTGTGGAAGCCTTTGTTGTCGGTTGCAGATGCGAACTCGGAAAAGGACGGCGGGGTGGCTGTTGGGGCGGTTAGGAAGCCTGAGAGGGTTGAGATGGAGGTTCTAGTAGCGGTGTCGGAGCGGGTTTTGTGTTGCGCGCCGATGATAGCGATAACGAGCTGGGAGATGTCTTGGGGAAAGCGGATGCTGTAAGCCGGATATGGGGGCTGGAACTCGGCGTGTGGCAGCCGAGACGGTTGAGCGCGCGGGCACTGGAGATGGTCTGGGATTGCTGAGGAGAGCATTGTTGCGTTTCTTTTTGGTTCCGCGGGCTGACTTTGCTAGGCTGGGGGGTATTGAGGAAGAGAAGGAAGTTTTCGACCTCGTGGCGGTCGCCCTACTTTATGTCTTATCCCCCATGGCACGCACCCTCTCCCCGGCGCACGATCCCAGCAAGTGTTGGACACAATGTCTCAGCTTCATCGATGCGAGGTAATTGGGAGATGGAGATCAATTTAGCCACTTGACGTTTCTGGCGTGGCAGTAGTACTAAGCCGAGTGGAATGGGGTTACTTACCTAGGTACCTATCAGGCAAGGAGGGCGAGCCATCGGTTAGGGAAAGCGGCGCGACCTGCTTACATCAGGAAACCTGCGCGTCCCCTTCAGTTTTATCATGGTGTGGTCGTACAACAGGCGCCCGCTCCATGCCTATTAGTGTTTACCCCTCTTCTTGAAGTTGTCACACACGAGGTGCATGAAACGGGCCCTGGGTTAGGATCGCGGCATATGGCAGCTGCCAAGGAGAATGCGCAACTCCTCGCTGCTGGCTGACATCCGAGCTGGACAACCGGAACGTAGCGACGCATTTCGTCATGGTATCTGAGAATGCGCTTCCGTTGCCAGAAATGACCGCGGCCGGACCAGCCAAGGTAGGTAAGTACCGAGACATCAAACCTCGTCTCGTTTATTAGTCTCGTGATCCACCCCCCTCGACGACCCAACCGCAACAACAACCTCCTTCTGGCGCCTGTCCACCCCCAGCCACAAGAGATCCGGCCGACTGTAATGACCCACAATATCCAAGAACCCCTTAGTTGCCGTCGTCCTTGCGACGTCCAGGTCGGCATACACAATCCCTTCGTCGACGCCTGTGCCGTCGCCAAGCGGAGCTGTCAACCGCCGCCCATCAGGCCCAATCACGCAGCTATGACCACCGCCCGGCTGGCGACAGACGATGCCGTCCTGCGTCCTCATGGCCGCAATGCATTCCTGGTTGCACACAGCGGTGGTGTGCACAACATACGCAGCGCTCTCGATGGCATACGTCTGCGACAGATTCAGACACCCCTCGGCCGACATACTCCACAGGCCGGGGTCTTCGATGCCAGCCGACGGCGCAATGGGCGGCCACATGGCGACGTGGATGGTCTCGCCCTGGGAAATAGTGTGGTACTTGAGCAGCGGCTGCGTGTGCTCCCAGCATGCGAGGCAGCCGACGTTGACCGTGCCATGGGTGCCGAAGTCGACCTCGACGACGTTGGCCAGGTCTCTCCCGGAGCCGTCGCCGAAAACGGTGCGCTCCATGTGCGTGGGCTTGAGTTTTCGACGGTGCATGAGGACTTCACCCCGTCGGGAGATGATGGCTTGGGAGATGTAGATGCTGCCTGAGGGCGTCCGTTCGGAGAAGCCCAGCGCGACTGCGACTGAGTGATCTCTTGCTGCGGCCTTGATCTGGTCCATTTCCGGGGAGTGGATGGATAGGGAGTTGTTGATGTACTGTGTTTGCATCGCAACATCTACCGGGCGCGCCCTGGTTTCCACTGTCAGAGCACGAAATAACGACGCGTTTGTTTGACCGAGCTCACCAGATCCAGGCTGGGTAACCCGGGACCCAGCACTCGGAGAAGGCAACGAGTTTCGCCCCGCCCTTGGCTGCTTCGCCAATGAGGCCGCATGCTTTGTTAACTGACGCGGCGAGATCAAGATAGACGGGTTCCGCCTGGACCGCGGCGACGCGAATGGGTGTCGTCATGGTGGTGGTTGTCTGTGCTGGCTGTTGATGTGTAACGTTGGAAGGAGGGGGTAATAAGGAGGGAGAAGAATGGCCGTCGAAGCCGGTCGCACAGGGAGACGTGTGTGTAACGCTCTTATTACTAGTGCTACTAGTACTTATTGCATTATCATTAGGCCGCAACAGGACATGCAGCCCAAGAAATGAGACCGCTCTTACATCACCGGGCTATATATAGTAGCCGCGTTTGTTGGCGTCTCCGTCGGCGCCGTGCAAGAATGCCTTCGACGCTGGGAAAATTAACAGCCCCTTGATTCGAAGCCTCGAAAGGGCCGTCCTCAGAAGCCTTCGGGATCGGATGAGCGGTATATCGCATTTCTTCTAAAGATGAACCGGGGTCTCGCTATAAAAGGCCTAGTAGCAGCCACGCGGTCTAAACTCTGGACTTTGAAGTCTAAAGTCTCCTAGTCAACAATACGTCGATGCCCCCGCGCTCACAACCCCCGTAAATGGAAAGCAAAAAGACGAATATCTCTCTCAAAAAAAGATGCTCAAAACAGGTACAGTTGGGCATGAACATGTAAAAGCCACTAACGTATCTTATAAGCGAGCCGGCCATATAAGCGAGCCGGCCACTCTCCACTACACTACCAACAATATCCTCAATCACAAAACAACAACACTAGGAACTAACAATAATTACATCAGAAACAGATGAATCAGACCCTTCTGCACCCTCCTGGCAAGTGCGGGCATTATGGCCAGGCTTGCCGCACACACCACAGCACCGAACCCTCGTACGACCCCCCCCGGCACCACTACCATCCAGCTATATTTCTTGCATTTCCTCCCCACGTACAGCCCCCTGGCTTACCACCTCCTGTGCCTCCTGCACAGTAAGTGATCCTCCAAGCCGAACACGTGTTTTTTTGGCTCTCCGGCGCTTGCTTAGCGCCTGTTTAGCCTTGCGGAGCGAAGACACCTCTGCCTGAAGGAGGGCCACCTGGTGCATTATAGCTATTGTACCCTTGGTAAGCTAGTCCATAGTAGCTAACATTGAAGTCGGGGAGCTATTTTGATGGTTGGCAATGCGAGTCTTGATAAGCGTTGACTGTGACTCGGCTTCTCGAGGGTTATATAGTATCTGGAAGACCCAAGATTGTACAGTGCCTGGCCGTGAGATTAGGGGTATTAGTATACGAAGCTTGATATCTAGCTTTGAAAGCACCCTCTCTAGATTGTATGGCATAAGGCCAGCCCCTGTAAAACCGCCCTATATATTCCTCTTGGTAATAGAGGCAAAGAAGGCTGTGCGAAAGGCATAAAGGAACTCGAGCTTGCTTATATAGTTGATATACGCACGTACTAAGTCCTTAATCTGGCAACCGTACGCCTGCTTTAACGGCCTAAAGCAGCCAATATTAAGTGGCTAGAGGAGGTAGGAGGAATGTAGAGGTATGCAGAGCGTGATAATGTTGTTCTACTGGCAATAGAGCTCGAACTCAGTTGAGTAGTGGCTTTTATGGCTATCGAGGATCAATAACCAGTATTTGCCCTTTGTCTAAGGCGCTATATAGTAGTCGAAGTGCTTGATCCAATCAAGGCCTACCGCATTGGTAGTCTAGCCATTCTCGGTGGTTGCAATATACCAGTCGGCTAAGAGGTTGCACTCTTGATACCAGTTGGCGAGGTAGTACTATGCAGCTAAGATGATGAACGGAGGGATAGCCTAGCCAAGGGCATTGACGCCTTAGATTACCGTCACCTATTCGCAGTTGCCAGGCTAGGCTAGCTTCGCCTTGCCACGGCCATCCGAGGTTGTAACTACTATACCCGGGAAGATAATGCCTATTATAAACCCAGTCTTATCGAAGTTATAGATATCATCATCTACAATGCTATACTTGGCCTTAATATTCCGTATAAGGGCAAACCATTCGCCAATAACCTTCGGATCCTCATACTTGGCCCTCTGGTAGTCGTATCTATACGTATAACACGTCCAGAGCTCTAGCTGGCGTTTGACAAAGTTATACGCCCAGAGCTTGCTGACAGGGGGCGCGTTATATACGCGTAGTAGTTGGTTGGCCATATCTTCTATACCACGCAGTCTCGGCGGAAAAGCTCGCTTAGATAGCTCAATTATATACTGAACAAGAGCCTTCTCTTCGGAATCGGTAAGCCGGCGCGAGTTGGGCGTAGTGTCGCGTCGTGCAGGCCGGCCCGCTAGTCGGTCTTGTAAGGTTGTTCGTCGAACGTCGTAGTACTTCGCTGTAGCCCTTATGCTTAGTTTTTGGTCTTTTTGTATCGCTTCGAGGGCTAGGTTTATCCTAGCCTTGTACGAAGAAGAAGACATGTTAGGTTGTAAAGAAAATCCGGTTTTAAGCGCGGAAGTGATGCGTCGCGGGTAAAGTGGCCGGCTCGCTTATATGGCCGGCTCGCTTATAAGATACGTTACCGTAACTCCTTATTACCGTAGTTACAATGATTTTACCCAGGCGTGAGACCAGGGCTTACAAAAGCAGGGTGACTTCGCAAAGACATCTGTCAGCACTGCGCACAGCAAGCGGGGGATTACTCAGGTGGCCGAAACCATCTGCGGGGATGTTGGTCGCTTATTAATTTACTATCCGTATGCAACCCACCAAGGGGTCAGATGTGACGCCCGTCTCTCAGTATATAATGAGTGTTCCGCTGCTCACTACCTGCTCCGTCTTCCACTTCCTCGGCCCCGTTCATCATGGATCAACAACGCCCCTCTTCTGCTCTCGAGACCGGAGACGGCGTCCGGTTGCACTATAGCCAAACCGGGCCCAGTAGCGGGCAGCAGCTGCTCTTCCTCACGGGCTGGCGCCAGACGGCGGCGGAATGGCGCAAACAGGTGGAATTCTTCTCTTCGGCCGGCTTCCGGGTCACCACGTTCGACTGGCGCGGCCATGGAGAGTCCGACAAGCCCGAGTTTGGCTATCGCATCAGCCGTTTTGCTGCCGACCTCAATGACATCCTGACGCGACTCGACCTGAGGGACCTGACCATCATCGGGCACTCTATGGGATGCTCCGTCACATGGGCATGGTGGGACCAGTACCCCGACGCTCGGGAGCGCATCGCCAAGTTGGTCTTGGTCGATCAGCCGGCTGCCTTGGTCCGGGATCCGCACTGGACCGACACGCAAGCGGCGCAAGCCTCGGGCATTTTCACTCCCGGCGCAGTGTATGATCTGGCTTCTGACATGGCCGCTCAGGGCGCGCCGCTAGTGAGAAGCATGTTCACCCCTTTGGTCTCCGAAAGCGACTACGAATGGATCCTCTCGCAGAACAGAAAGATGAGCGACGCGCACGCAGCCGCCCTGTTCCTCGACCATGCATTCAGAGACTGGCGCGATGTCTTCCCGCGCATCACTGTCCCGACCTTGGTCCTGGGCGGAGAACTGAGCATCGGCCCACCGGCGGAAATGAAATGGATCGCAACGCAGATTCCGGGCGCCCAGCACTATATCTTCACGGCTGCCGAGAAGGGAAGTCACTTCATGTTTTGGGAGGAGCCCGAGAGGTTCAATTCGGTGGTTAAGGACTTCCTTACACACTAAGGGCCGGCTTCTACTGCCAAATGTTCTCGCCGGTTCGTAGATAAGGTAGTGCAAACAGGGAGTGCGTGGAGGGGTACCCTGTATGACAACCACTAAATCATATCTACAAGGCCGGTGATCGTCCATCTTTAACTCCATTCATTTACACTATCTCTCAACCACATGAATAGTTATCGGAGGCATGGCTCAGGCTTTCACTTACATATCGGCCGCTGGAGTAGGCCCCTGTCTTGTCCATGTACAATACATGTACGTATGTCATACGTATCCGTCGCCTTTGGCTCGACCAGGGCCTGCTATGACTCCGGGTCTCTGACATGTTCAGAATACTACTAGTAATCATCGTATGCTGCTCGCCTCGGATGCTGACCCGAGCAGAGATATAGGGCCACATAATATGCCGACCTGCCCGGAGTTTAGGAATTGGCGCGACCTGTTATCCCCGAGGATCCGCGAGATCGCAACGTAACTTGAAGCTAAGGTACTCTATTTATATGGCTGCCTATCTGGAATTTGAATCCTTGCATGCGAAGGTCTCGCAACTTCAAGAAGAAAGTACCAGTAGCTTGCCCAGCTATCTTCTACCATATCCCTATTTCTCGGTTGTCATAATCCACGAGCACCATGTTGGACAGCGAGGGCATTAACGTTGCGCTCGACCTGATTAAGGACAGGTCCAAGGTTCTTGGGCTGACCGTCGGCTCTCACAAGGTCGAGCCCGGCAAGTATATCTCACGAAACGGTCAGTTATTGAGCTCCAGGATCAAAAAGCCGATACTAACAAACCGCGCATGCAGAAGCGAAAGCCGCTCCGCAGGTCAGCTTCAACTCGCTCTCGCCTGACCGCACCTATCTCGTCATCTGCATCGACTTGGACGCCCCATTTAGTTCTTTCAGTTTCATGGCACCGATTCTGCATTGGCTGCAATCCGGTCTCAAGCCCAGCCCAGACGGCAGTGGTTGCCTACAGTCCTCGGAGCCGCCCATCTCCAACTACCGCGGCCCCGGTCCTCCGCCGGGCGCCGCGCCCCACCGCTACGTCTTCCTCCTCTACGAGCAGCCGGACGGCTTCGACGCCAAAAAGTACGCCCCGGCCGGTGGCAAGGATATGGGGATGGGTCCCAGGATACGGTGGAATTTGGATGCTTGGGTAAAAGAGGTCGAGTTGGGCCCCGTGTTGGCTGTCAACTACTTCACGAGTAACTGAAAGTGGAACCTGGGCTGGATGTGTTTTGTCATTTGAGCACTACTGCCTAGATAGAGATAGGTACTTTTACCAAAGACTAAGTCTTTGAATCCAGGTGGTTCGGATCTAACGGCAACTTGAACGCTATTGTGGACCATAATAGCGTTGCCATTGATTTAGCGCCGTCATACTAAAGTACGCGACTTTGCTCACGCTTGCCAAATAAAGCTTTCAAGTTTGGTATTGTCTCTGGGATCCAGCCATCTCATACGACAACGGATGAACTTGGCTTATTCGGGTTCACATGTCAAGACTCTCACGAAGTCGGTTAATCAGACAAAACTGATGTATCCGTAAGTTGTTTACAGGCAAGAAGCTGCCTAAGGTCTTAGTGCACTCGTGGAGTCGCACTAACGGACAATGCATCGCAGCAATCTCTCTTAGCCTGTGCCGATGTGACGGCACAGGATCCCTGGATCCACCTAACACACGTTCCTGCAGCAGTACTTAATGTCTGCTCAGGCCTGCTAGAAACTCGGCATTTTGTTGCTTGTTTCCTGTAGCCTTGCCTAAGCTAAGCGTCCCTTCTTTTGGTAGATCGTGCAGCTGATAGCTTCACACCACACTCCTTATTACTGGCAAACCCATCGTCAATCGTTCTTGCAATCATGACCAAGTCGGTTCTCCCAGCGTTGGCGCTGCTCATGCTCGCCACGCCCGCCCTATCGGCATGCGGCACCTACACCTACGGCACCTGCGCTGACGGGATCGTGCACTGGTTCGACCCCAACACGGGCGAGATTTGTGATCCGCTCAACTGCGGCGGCGACCGTGCAGGCCCCCTAAGGACCGACGTCCCCGGATGCCCCGCCTACAAAGGCACCCTCACGCGCCCGACAGAACCCTCCTACATGCCCTGCTGGACCGGATTCAGTTCTACCGCCGCCGCCACCACTACTGCGGCCACAACAACAACAACCGTCGTCTCCTCCCACTCCTCGGCAGCGCCATCAGCGAGCTCGGGATCGGGGCAAAGCCAAGTTGGCTCAACCACCGCGGGAACGGGCGCCTCGTCCACCGCGCCAGCCGATGCTCCGTCGCCAACCGCTAGTAGTACCACCATGCTGACCACCACGGCTCCGACATCGACGTCCCCTGCGGACACTGGTACCGGTGCGGCGGGTGCCAGCAGCACAACTGTGTCAACGGGCGCCGGAAGTGTCATGAGCGGCTCGTGGATCGCTGTTGTCGCCGGGGTCGGTCTAGGGGCTCTCGCCATTTTCTGATTCTGAGGTTTACGTGACCTCCTCGATAGCATTTCCGTTGTTTGTTGCCTTGTACTTTCTATCAAGATATAGATCGTTGCATAGAAGTGGCACTTATGAGCCGTACGATACTGTTTTTGGGTCAGTAGGAGGGTATGATGGATTGTATGAGGAACAATGTCAAGAATGCCTGGCGATGGTGGGGCTCCTCTGCTGCATTGCCCAAGTGCGTCGAGACGATCTCGGGAACATAGTCCCTGAGAACGTTGATCTGTTTGTTATTAGCTTCCAAAAGCTGCGAGTAGGTGCCATGAATCACCGCCGGAAAAATCGAGAACAATCTTAGATATTAGCAGTCTTGCTAACATGAACACAGCTTCTGGGCTGGCGAGGCATACTGTGTTAACCATTCCCAGTAAAGAGATGCAGCTGCGAATACTCATGGGCACCCTTAGAGATGGTGGCATAAAACGGGCTGATGACGGTTTGGGCGGTCTGGGACTTGGGATCGGAATGTCAACATCTTCGGCTGGCTGCACTTCTTCAAGCGATGCTAGTAGAAGAGGGCAAGCCGCGCAGTGTCGTTACTGGCGCGTATCAACTATTAATCAGTATGCTTGCCATCTATAGTCCGTGGTAAACATCTGAAGACCGGACTCTGTGCCTGTATGGCTTTTCGCTGCTTCCCTCCAAGCCTGTATCATCTCCTGGTCCAGGTAAAACACGGGTTCGCACTCAAAGACCAGCTTCGCCCCACGACGTGCAAGCTGCCTATGGCCCATACCCACGCGACAATCGATATCTGGCGAGACATTATCGGTTACGTCGTACCAAATGCTCAGACACCTGTCTGTTCCGACGGGCGGACTCAACGAAAAGTGCATATCGCGGAGCGCCGGCATCTGGCCAGCAGCCCGCGCGACGGCTAGTAACAAAAGGCCCAACCAGGTCCAAATCGTGCTCCTCGCGGAATGGATACAATATCTCGTCGCCGGGGGGCCCGCTGTAATCTGAGTCCGGCGAGTCTATCTCGTCCTCCGAGTCCGCCGAGCCGCCGGTGCGTTGCCGGAAGCGCCATTCACCCGACGGGGCGATGGCTCCCGGGTCGATGGAGTATCGGCTTATAATCGGCCAGAAAGGTACATGGCGGTGGTTTAGTACTGCAGGCCCGGATGGCCAAATGGCCTCGCGACCGACTTCAGCAACTAAGGTGAAACAGACGAGGCGTTGAGAGAGCTTGTGTAGGGCTAGGCTTAACTTGTCGTTGTTGTCCTTAGTCTGTTCCGTCCAGGATGCTGGGTATCGGGAAGGAGTGATCGCTTGGTGTGTATCTGTCGTACCGGAGCTTAAAGTCCCGGAGGCTTGAAGGCAGCATTGGTAGCGTCTCGGCAAACTCTACGTGTTCCCTGGTTAGCTGTCGGTGCCTCCTGTTCTATAGAATGCTTAAATAAGTGCTTGTTGGCAAGGAATCAGGGCGCATGGAAGAATACCGCTTCAGGCAACAACAGTGAACGCCGTTAAAATAGAAGCGAAAGAATAAAAAGACAAGAAGATAAAAGAGGAAAATGAATGGTGCGCGGAAGTAGGAGAAACGAAGGGCAAAAGGGGCCAGTAAGGGGTTAAAAAGGAGGTAAAAGAGGGAAACGTGAAGGAAACGAAGAACCCTACTCACCTGCTCTCAGCCTTTTCCTGAGGCCTGCATCCCGCCTCTCGTTGTCACAAAGTTCCCAATCCACCTTCTCTAAACCCGACATCTTCAACGCCATAAGACACAGCGCGCGTGGTGCAAAGTGCCGATGACATGTTGGGAGGACAGATAAGACGCAGGATAACGTTTGTTCCCGCGGTCCGCGACATGGAACTTCGGAATGCAGTGAACCTCGGGTAGGCGATTCGCTACGTCCTCTACCGATTCACCTGCAGCCGGTCTCAACTCCAGGTACGAGCCTTCGTAGCGGATATTGGTGACATATCTCGCCTCGGGTTGCTTTGTGTCGCTAAGGCACCGGGCCGTCAGGGAAAGCTCGATTTTGGGGCGATAATCAGTCGTCGCGACGTCAGCCACGACCAGCTGCTGCACGCCCCTGCGCCCACCGCCATCCCCGCAACCGCGGTCGCCGTTAATTGAATTCGTGCACATGCCCGACGCCGACGCCGACGACAACAAAGCAAACACCTTCCGCACAACATCAGTAAACACCGCGTCGTTGGCGGCCTTGTCGGCATCATCCTCGATCCGATGCCGCGCCCTCTCGTCGTACAGCGGCAGTAGCACATCGACGTGGACGGAGCGTACGAAGCGGTACAGGCGCTCCGGGGTCAAGGCCTGGGCCGCGAGTGGCGACGCCAGGCGCTCCAGGGTGAGCGTGATATGCGCGAAGGTCACGGCCTCGACGCAGTGTTGCCACACGCGGGACACGCTTGCGTAAGGGGCAAGCGAGGGCGCTGGACCGCCGTCGCTTCCCATGTCGCTGTCGTAACTCCCACGAACATCAGCGATGAAGTACGTGATGATGTTGGCGGTGATCTCCACTGGTAGGCGGTCCATTTCTAGCGGCGCAATCAGTGGCTCGGCGTCTGGGCCCTCTTGTGGTTCAATGTCGGTTTATTTGTGGAAATGCGTCAAAGGCCGGTTTTGAATGCTCGGAGTCCTCGGGTGTTCCGGTTTATGGGCAGAATGCCCTGATGCCTCGGGCTGGGAAGCCTGGGATTGGGTTGTGCTACGCTCAATGCGCGGTCCTTGTTGCTGCTGTTGGTGTTTGTCCTGCCCCTCCTCTCCAGACCCGTGTGGGCCAAGTTCATGTTCTCCACGGACATGGCTGAGTGAGGCCGGAGAGCGAGTGTGTCCAAGGATCGGTCCGGTTTAGCAAAGATGCTTTGGATTTCAGAAGGGCCTGCGTCAAAACAAGCAATAGCCAAGAAAGCCAAGGCGACAGGTATTGTACTGTACATACAGTACTACACTGGATACATAGACACGTAAGGTAAGGTACCGAAGGTACCTTAAGTAAGCACAGGTAAGTACGAATGGACCACTATATACCTTACCACAAGTACCTATACTTGCAAGCACCAGGTACCGTGATGAATCAAATGAACATGTACACTATAGTATAGTACAGTAATTACCTCAGTTATAGTGGCCTGGGCACTTACACCGTGAAAACTGGAAAACGCACTATGTTAATACAATACCACCGCGAACCGGCACGTCGTCTACTACGCCGGTATGGCATTCCCGTCGAGGGGATACATCTAGTGAACAGGTGCAAAAGCCACCACAACACCTAATGCACCAACATACCACATCGTATGTAAGACGTCTCCGTCACAGTGAGAGAGGGGAAAGGCATTAGGCCAACACCTCATAGCTAGGTCAGTCTGGTCGGATGACAGGGCTCAACAACCAAGGGTCACGGACCTTGCTAGGAAGTGTCCTCTAGTATATAGGTACCCAATAAGAGCTTAGAAGAGCTTGGTGACCATGTTCTTACAAGCTCTATTCTTCTCATCCTTTGGGCGGTTTCTCCATACTCGTGTGCGAAGACCTGACACATCGAGAAACAGTACAATGAGGGATCGGTATCCTCGTTGTGAGCAACTGCGTTACAACTTACAATCGACGAAGTGAAGCTGGTTCTCAGACCCAACCCTGGACATCACCGCTTTGATAGCCTGTACAGTCAGGTACCTTACGTTGTGTAGTATGTCGTACGGAGGACATCCAAACTAACCCAGACTCCTAGTGGAAATACAGAATTGAACGCTAAAGACTGATCTTCATTTGAACCCGCTAATTTTCCGCCAACCGGATTTCATGCGCGTGTCCCGCCCCCGCACTTCCTTCTCTTCCGTGAGGCCAACTCCCCGCATATTCGTCTGTTGACTGGAGCTTAGCATGAGCTTCTTTGTGGAAGATTTGTTCCCGAATGCTCGGTCCGGAGTGTTGGGACGCGCAGTACCAGGATTTCTCGCTCTAATATGGCTGCTAAGCCCGGCCACGGCCATTATGCTCCAATGAAGTTGACGACCTTACATGACCTTCCGCAAATCATGTTTTCAAGGATGAGACTATGGCAAGGGCAGATAAGTAAATAAATCAAGCTTCCGACAGGAGATCGGCTTTGGTACTATCTAGCTTGGGTTACTCTGTCCTGATTCCTACTTGTGTCCTTTGCCCCCTGATAAACGCTGACATGTTGAGCCTCAAGGCTCTGCTCCTCCTTACGGCATCATTTCTGCCATTGGCAGTAGGTGGATCTCCCCTTAACTCTCGGCACTCTTCACAGACCTACGCCAAATGCCAAAGAAAGACATCCAACCCCTTGGCAGGATGCCCTCCGAAGACCATCTACGTGAGCCAGAATGACACCAGGGCCAGCTTCAAGTCAATCCAAAGCGCCATCTCTTCTATCCCGAACAACACCGAGCCCTATTTCATCCTCATTGCTCCTGGCGTCTACACCGAGCAGTTGAATGTCACTCGACGAGGGCCGCTGGCCCTTCTGGGCATGTCCGACCGCCCGTCGAGAAGGCAGCCGTACTCCGATATCAGCACCGATTCGAGCAGCCAGAACGAAGTCCAGGTGTACTGGAACTCGGCCAACCACGATGCCCTGTTCCTGGACAACGCGTACACGCAGACATTGACGGTTGCGCCAAATCTGAACGCCAGTCTCACTGGTGCCGGCCCTACCGGATTCGCCGTTCCCGCGGACACGCCTTTCGGTTGCACTGACTTCCGAGCCTACAACATCGATTTCCACAATGAGTTTGTGCCCTACTCGTACGGACCGGCCCTTGCCGTAGGTGTCAGCTACGCGAATGCCGGGTTCTACTCGTGTGGCTTCTACAGCTGGCAGGACACTGTAAGCCTAGACCTTCCATCGCTACATGGCGGTTCAAGCGTATGCTAAGCATGAGGTATGGAACAGGTATACGTCGGCAAGCTAGGCAACGCCTACTTCTACGACAACATCATCGCCGGCCAGACCGACTTCCTCTACGGCTTCGGCACGGGCTGGATCGAGCAGTCGACCCTCTCACTGCGCAGCTGCGGCGGCGGCATCACGGCCTGGAAGGGCACCAACACGACGTTTCCCAACAAGTACGGCATCTACATCGCCAACTCGCGGCTGATCGCGGCCAACGCCAGCATCGCGGCCGAGATCGCCGGCAAGTGCGCGCTCGGCCGGCCGTGGAACGCCCAGCACCGCAGCATCTTCATGCACTCGTACTTTGACGCCAGCGTCAACCCCCGGGGATACGTCCAGTGGGGCAGCACCGACCAGCGCGTCAACAACTACACCTTCATGGCCACCTACAACAGCTACGGTCCGGGCTACAACGCCACGGCTGAGCGGGAGAGCAACATCACTTTGGTGCTGGACGCGAAGGGTGTGGCGCCGTACAGGAAGCCCGTCGATGTCTTCATGACTCCCGAAGGCAGGCAGCCTAATGTTGCGTGGATCGATTCTTCGGTGTTGTAGGATGCTGCAAGGACTCGCCGCGGCTGGGAGGGGTGGATTTCAATATCTAAGACAGTACAGAAGAGTAAGGGCTGTAAGGCGCTAGTAGTGCAAAACCGAATGAAACCTGACGGAGAATAGGTGTCCGTCAGCCCAGTTCCCCAGTCAAGACTCAATTAGCCAGAACAACCACCAAATGACCCCTTCTTTCTCCAGTTTCCGATCCCGGACCACTTACCCAAGACGTGTACCGATACTGCACGAGCAACGCCGCGTCCAAGTCAGCGAACTGTTATCTGATAGCCAAGCAAAGAACAACGTGACGCGGCAGTCGATGTGGGAGCTTCCTGGTTCGGAAAGGACACCCGTCGGAAAGTTCCCAATTCCCCGCGCTAATTCGCCGGCTAGCGGTAGTCGATCTGCGGGTGGTCCGCGCGGGAGGTGCCACCCTCCAGATCCAATCACAGCTAGCAAACCCCCTCGTGCTAAGAAGGCAAACTCGCGATGAAACAAAATGTATCTTTTTGAAGGGTGCAGGAGGGCGCCACCTCCACCAGTCAATGCAGCCATAGCCAAGACACCGGTCTACCCCGACAGCATCTGCTGAAATTCAGGGGTATCATGCAGAGCATGCCTCACAAAAATAGAGGAGCCGGCTGCGGACCTGGGGCAGATGCCGCAGATACGCCGAGCTACTATCTCGAGCGCGGTATCATCGTGGATTGTGGACGGGGCTCTAGCTGCTACAGGAGATCGGCATGGCCCGTTTCGTGACCGAATAAACCTTCCTTTCTTGGACATCGCTCCTCACCCGCAGGAACCGTGGACAGGCTCCTGCTATTTCCTGATATCCTTTCTCCACGCTAGGGGCCCTAACATCTACGATATAAGTGTGGTGTCGCCGTCGCAGGGCGTCCCTTCACTTTCAGACTCAGTGCACATCAAGGTCTCGCATCTGACGCAAAATGGTCCAGGCAAGAACGCCCCTACCTACCTACCCTTCCCATTCGTACTACTAGTGACACCGGAACTAACAACCAACCAGCTCTTCCCCACCCTGCTCGCCCTCCTCGGCGCCGTCGCCGTCTCGGCCGCCCCCATCGGTGAGACCGCCGTCGAGGTAGAACAGGTCGAAGCTAGGGCCTGCGCCTACACCTGCGGCAGCGTGTGCTACACGACCACCCACATCCAGTCCGCCCTCAACAAGGGTTACTCGCTGGAGGAAAGCGGGAACGACATCAGTGAGTAAACATGGCAGCCAACCCCTTTTTCCCCAGCCTCCTCCCTCACCCCCGGCGGGTTGTTGGTCCTTCAGGGTGATTCGATATTGATGCGTGTGTCAGACAACTATCCACACCGGTACAACAACTACGAGGGCTTCGACTTCCCGACCTCGGGCCCGTGGTACGAGTTCCCCATCATGTCGAGCCACAGCGTCTACAGCGGGGGGTCGCCGGGACCGGACCGTGTCATCTTCGACTCGGACGGCAACTTTGACATGCTCATCACACACACGGGGGCGAGCGGGAACAACTTTGTTGCCTGCAGGTCGGGCTAGGTTGGCGTCGCCGGATCTACTAGAGAATCACATATTAACCTGAGAATCTTTGTGACGGTAATAGGATGTTCGGGTGATATTTCGCGAATATTAATCCGAGAATCCTGCCACTTGAGGACTCCCTCACATGTCCAGAAAGCATCACGGGCAATACGAAATGATCTCTGTTCCGAAGACTACGAGTCTATTCCGGTAGAGCACCGTATCCCGGGCTTCCCACTGGTATACCCATCCCCTCCACCTCGCAGGTAGTAGTTAACGCGGAAAATTGACACCATACTCGCCCGTCTCGTACAGAGTCCGGACTGGGACCCCGCGATTCTCTGCGACCAGCCCCATGAGCTGCTGTCCAATGTCCTTCATATCGTTGTACTCTTGCAGACGGCGGATGTATGTATTCACAGTCGCCTCGGCGGGTTGACTAGTTGACGTGCGTCAGCGAAACATAGGTGACCCAGGCCTTGGGTGGCTCCGTACCTGAGCTGTGCTTCCTCTTGTTTCATCTCACGGCGACTCCGGAGCAGGGCCGACATGGTATCCTGCGCCTTTGAAAAGGCTCGGCACTAAGAGTTGGTTGGGAAATATTAGATATTAGGATCTTTCATGGTCAAAGACACACATCCAGGGCCCAGTACAATCGTCATCAATTCACCCAGGCGGCCGTGCTGTTTGACACGCGCCATCAGCCATCTGCATTCTGTATTCTGGAGCGGTACCCTATAATACATACCCTCAAGAAATCCTCAGCTTGTTTCCTGCCCTCGGCGGCGATCTCGATCGACTCCTCCGAGCCTGGCCCGGCCACCACGATTATCGTCTCGTTGTCACTGCCGAGCTGGACACGGGCCTCGATATACCAGGGTTGAGCATCCTCTAGCACAAGCCCCGATGGTGTTCGTTCGACCTCGCACAGCCACCGCTGGTAATCCTCCAACCGACTCTGGAGCCTAGAGGCCAATGCCTTTAGATCTCCATCTGACTCGATTGTCCGGGCGAGCCATTGTTTGAATGACGAAAGAAGGGAGAGCTGAGTCTGCACGGCGGTATGGATCACATCGTCGCCTTCGCCTGTTCGGGGCGTGCTGCTGCTCTCAATATTGGTTGCGCCTGCCGCCATGTCGGAATGCAAGTCGTCGGGTTGAACGTTTTGAGGGTTGAAGGTAGGTCAATAATTTGGGGTGTCAGGGTTGATGCAATACAGTGTGGAGACCGGGAAGGTAACACTGTGGGAACCGAGGTGCTATTGAGAGTTAAGCACGCTCGGGTGACCACGAGAGATCTCGCGGGTTTGTTGGGCGCTCCCCTGACGGCACAGAGACTACTCTTCAGCTGCCGCGTTGCTGGGTGTGTCCCGTCAAGCTGCTGATGCAGCCGTGCCTGCCCAGCACATCACTTCCGCCCAAATAGCTCCGTACCCTAAGTCATTTCGCGGCAGCAGAACCGACCCTCGACGCTGCAGCGGCTGACGACTCTGCACCGGGGCCAAAACCGCCCGAGATCCCCGCCGTCGCCGCTTGAATGTATGCATCAAAGGCCTGCCGGCCTTGTTGCCAGGCGTTCAAGATCAGGCTGGCATGGACCTCCCGTGTGTTGCTCTCGTCCGCATGTATCCAGAGCCCGATGATCTTTTTCCCCGCCGATCCGTCTTCGGCCCCCTGACTGTTATTTGTGCCCGCATCGTCCTCGAACCGGAAGACCATCAGCTCCTCGACGACCTCGAAATCGGTGACGCGCAGCAGATCCAACACCAGATTGTCCATGCTGCGGCGGTTGAGGACAAACACGCAGACGCGCGGCAGCTCCTGGCCGGTGGGCGTGACGATGGGCTCCTGCTCGCAGACGAACATGGTGCCCTCGATCCCGTGCTTCTCCCATCCCTGTGTCGCTTCGAGGAAGGTGTAGGAGACGGCGTTCGCAGCGATGGCCAGGATGGACCGGATGCTGGGCTGGTAGCGACGCAGGACCCGCAGGCTGAGCTCGGTATTATCACGCGCGGGCTCTGGGTTGGGCGCCGCTGCCATCTGCTCGCGGTTCTCCATGTACTGGGCCGTGTCGGACTCGTAGTCGGACGCGTTCACTTGGCGGGGTCCGCTGTTGCTCGCATGGTGGCGATGTCGGGCTTTTCGGGGGGTTGGTCTGCTCATTGTTGTGGGGAGAGGATTGTGAGATGCTTACGGCTGAGTTTTGGGATCGTTGTGCTCAGTGAGGTCTTGAATTGTGGAAGGTGCTTGGTTGAGCTTCCAGAAAGCAGCAGGCCACGACGACAGAACGGCGACCCACTTTACCTAGGTACAGTACGAAGGTACGTACCCGGATTATGAGGCCGCTTCGGCTTTGAAGACAAAGTCGGCCTTAGGACTCGGGTTAGGGTACAAATCCTAGTTGCAAGTTGCAACTCACCTACAGTGCAGATTACTACTAGTTAGTGCTACAGCGGATAAATACATAAGGTATACGCTCTGTCCTCACTGTTAACCTGCCATTGGATGCAATGCTTGGTGCAAGGCTTAGGGGTTGTATTAGAGAGACCATAACGACCAAAGTGCCCGGCACTTCCGCCGTAGAGCTATTGGACTGTCAGACAAGGAAACGAAGGAGACATTCCGGCCTGATGCCGCTCCATTTTCCCTCTCTCAACGCCGTCCGCTGACTTTGCTCCCACTGGGCTTGCTCCCGCTAGGCTTGTTCGTGCTGGACTTGGCCACGTTGTTGGACTTGCTCGCGTTTTGCTAATGGCTCGGTCAGCTGTAGCATTGGTAAAAGAAAGGAAGATGGAAGGGACCCCCGTCTCCGAGTCCCCTTTCATTACCTCTTTTGTCAAATCTTCGCAGAGGTAGCATTTGCAGTTTTTCGCATGGGGGCACCATACACACGGGACTTCCTCGTCTGCCGTAGCGTCCCTGACTCTTGTCCCTTTGAGGCACAGACCCTTGCACTTTATAGGCATTTTATTAACCTGTTTGCATTCCGGGCACTGCTTCTTGATAATCCAGCACATTGTGGGGATTTTATAGCTTTGTAGTAAGTGGGTGTATAAGTGGTTGTCGAAGATCGGATGAGTTTGGTTCGATGCAAGGCTTGTTGATTACTGGGGTGTTCGATGAGATGAAGAGAACCTTGAGGGTTTGAGGTTGGCTGAACTTCGTTATATAAAATAGTCTTCACTGTCAAGGTAGTTTCTCTGCCTGCTATGCGAGCCTTTTCTACACTTGATGTCCTGAGTCCGCTATCGAAAAAGCAGCCTGTTAGCGACTGTTTTGTGGCAGTGGTTGCGCTTCCTCCGACCACAAACGAGACTACCGAGGCATCGCCGATGCACCCATCACAATGACATGAGGCTCGGAGCGCAGTGCAGCCGGGAACGGCAGACAAGTGGATTTACTTAGGTTTACCTAAAAGGCCAAAACAAAGTGAGCTCGCAGCGAATCCTCCTCTTTACAAGGTTGCCTGGCGATTCGACTGCGGCGCATCAAACCACGGCCGGCCAAGGAAGCGGGCCGGCTTTGAGGTAGGAGTGGGGATGGCATTAACATCAACGAGGAGGCACGGACGGGGGAAAGATCGCATCTCCGAACTTTGTTAACAGATCGAGTTATAAATTTTTATAAAATACTTCAGCTGCAACGACTAACAATACCCATCGGCAGGATTCCTCGGAATGTCATCCGAGCAGATACAGATACAGTTCTGCACCGGCGGCACCGGGACGCACTGGATCTGACAGGTAACCTCGGGCGGACTTGTCCCTCCCCCTCCACCACCACCACCTCCTCCTCCTCCCCCAGAGTTACCACCACCACCACCACCACCACCACCATCATTCCCCTTCACGCCAATCCTAAAACTGCCCCACCCCCCGCCGGGCGCGCCCGTGTCACACTCTTTCGTATTCGTCAACTCGGTCACCCAGAACTGGCTATCGGCACAGTTCTGATCCTGGTACAGATAGATCAGGATGTTGCGCCCAAACAGGTTGTGCCCGACGCCCTGCGAGAACGAACTGAAGCGGCTGCCGTCCGGCGGGGCCAGGCAGCCGAAGCTGCCCGAGTCCGGCACGCGGATGCCCCACGACCGGGACGGCTTGCAGCACCCTTCGTCCGAGTAGAGCTCCAGCTGCAGCAGGTCGTCGCTGGCGGGCACCGGGGTGACGCTCGTGCAGGAGGGCGGGGGGTTGTCGTCGACGGGCTGGGACTGGGCGGAGGAGGCGATGCGGAAAGAGCGGTAGGTGTCGGAGCCGAAGAGGCAGGTGTCCTTGTTGGAGAGGTCGGCCTGCGCCCAGATGGCGTCGGCGCAGTTGGCCGAGGTGAAGAGCTGGATGTGGGTGCCCTTGCCGAACATGTCCTGCCCCACGGCCTGCTTGATGGCCTGGAAGGGCGCGTCGGCGTTGTGGCACACGTCGAGCTTGCCGATTGCGGCCGTCTCGACGGGCGTGCAGCAGGTAGTCTCCTTGAAGAGCTCGAGCACCACGGTGGTGTCGGACTTCTTGGTGGGCGGCGCGCTGTTGCACGAGCCGGAGCCGGAGCCGGAGCTGCCGCCGTCGTCGTCCGAGATCATGAAGCTCTGGTACTGGCCGGACCCAAAGTAGCAGAGGTCCTTGTTGGACAGGCTGATCTGGCCCCAGGCGCGGTCGGAGCAGTCGCGGCTCGCGTACTGGCGGATGTGGATGTTGCGTCCGAAGAGGTTCTTCCCGACGGCCTGCGTGGTGCCCTTGAACGGCTTGTCGGCGTTGTGGCAGACGCCAAACTTGCCGATTCTGGCCGTCTCGACCGGGTCCGAGCAGCAGCCCGTCTCGCCGAAGAAGCTGACCGTCACCGTGTCGTCCGAGTCGTTGTCCGGCTGTTTTGGGGTGGTGCACTCCGGGTTGCTGTCCGTGTCGGCGATCTTGAAGCTGAGGAAGGGCGTATTGATTGAGTTGGCGTTGTCGTAGCACGTGGCCGAGTTGGTCAGCTTGGTGACGGTGGCCGCCCCGGTGCAGCCCTTGCCCGTGTAGGTGACGATGTGGACGCCCTTGCCGAACATGGCAGACCCGACGGCCTGGGTAAAGGACTTGAACCCCGTCGGCAGATTATTAGCATCGTGGCAGGCGCTCAGCGTGCCCAGCTTGATGTCCTCGAAGAAGGTGCAGCAGCCCGAGTCCGAGTACAGGTTGAGCGAGACTGTGGTGTCCGACGCCACCGCCGGCTGCTTTGGGGCGCAGGTTGCTGCTCCGGCTGCCGAGATTTTGAAGCTCTTGAAGGGCGTCGAGAGCGAGTTGCTGTTCTTGAAGCATTGGTCTGCGTTGGTCAACTTGTTCGACTGCGGACTGCCTGCGCAGTCGGCGCCCTCGTACGTGAGGATGTGGATGCCCCGGTCGAACATGTTGCTGCCGACGGCTTGCACGAAGGATCGGAAATCGGCATCGGCATTGTGACACGACTCCAGTGTCCCCATCTTGATGGTCTCGACCGACGAGCAACAGTCGGAACCGGAGAACAGCTTGAGCGTAACGGTGTTGTCGGACGCGATGGCCGGCGCCGCGGGATCACACCCCCCAGTGGGCGTAGAAGGTGGGACCGAGGCAAGAGTGTGGTCGACGGCGGCGATGATGTTGAAGGGCCCAATGCCGGAACGCGGGTCGGTTGCTCCTGCTGGCGGCCACGCGGGGAGAACCGGGGTCGTGTCGTGTGTCACCTGGATTTCGAAGAAGTGGACGTCGGAGGGAGTCGAGCCTTGGAGGTAGTTGCCGGCCTTGAAATAGCTCCTCGGCGCGTCCAGCTGGTATGTGGAGAAGACCTGCGGGCTGCCCCCGTTGATGACCACGGAGAGCACATTGCTCTCGTAGCGGATCTCGTAGGTAAACGTTTGGCCAACGGGGATGTGGCCCGCCGGGGAGGTGAGCTGATTGCCACCTGCACGGGTCTGCTCCACGCCGAGACTCAGGTGACCGTTGGCGTTGTAGTACAGCTCGGCCACGGGCTTGGACGAGATAGCATCGTCAATGTGAATCTGTCCGATCACGGTGCCTGTGCCGTCGCCGGGCTGCGGGCAGGTGAGGCGCGCAAACAGCCGGTTGACGGGCTGGTTGGGATCCCAAGAAGCAGTGCGCCCCGTGTCGGGCTCGACCTCGCGAAGCTCGGTCCGGCAATGCAGGCTGTGCGGCGTCGTCACGCAGCCGGCTGACTGTGGAGAGCCGGGCACTTTCATGACGAGGGCGCCATCCGAGCTCTCGGTGAAGAAGTAGTCGGAGTTCTGGTAGCCGCCGCAGCCCTGCAAGCTGCCGCTGGAGATAGTGGTCGGGCTACCCGTGGTGCCGATGGGAAGCTGGAGGTTCCAGTACCGCATGTCGAAGTTGCCGCCAGGCGCGCAGCCCGGGTTCAGTGCCTCGACGGCCCATCCCCCGTATGCCAGGCCGAGCAGCAGTTTCTCCAGGGGCGACATGGCTGCTGGGCGTGACTCCTGGCCGAAGGTAGCGGAGACGACTCTCACTCAAGAGGATGGCCGCATGGGAGGTCGCCAATGATAAAGGCTACATTTTTGCCTCCTAGCTCCTTTCCCGGCTTTCATATCCGTGCGGGTGCTGTACCGGCGTTCCTCATGCGTTCTTTCCGCAATTCGTTGCATCCGGCGCCGTGTGATCCTGTCATCCTGACCTGGTGCGCATGAGTAAGAACCCCCAATAGAGCAGTGGATTGGATTTGGGTGTATGGGTTCGGTAGGACCAGGTACGGGCCGATTATGTCGATTCGACTATGAGTTGAATCATTGGAAGCCCTGTGGTAGCCTGATTGCTAGGGCGGATTTTCGGGACGCTGAACTCATCCAGTGGAGATCGACTTTGAAGTTTGAAGATTTCAGTGGGGTAATAAAGCTGACAGAAACAATCGTGCAGCTCCCAACTTGGTCTATTTTCCTCTCCTTACTGAGCTGAGCAAGTTCGCCAAGGCAGCAGCGTAAACTCTCTCCCTTGTGGATGCACGCTGACAGAGAACAATCAATAGTCTCTTCAAGTGTAACATTCCATTTTAAATGTTTACTATTCAACAATCGGAGACCCAAAGCGACGATGCAATGGCGCAAGCCAGGAAGCTGCAGATGACCACTTCGTCCTGGATGGACTGCACCGCTAAGGATCCCGACCCCCCTAACGGATAGCCTGGCAACTGAAGCATATACATGCAGCCATGTCTCCTCTTTTGGCCCGACAAAGCTTTTGTCTCTGGTCTTCACCGTCTAGCCTGCTTTCTTGACAGACGGGAGGCCACATCGACATGACCCAGGCCAGAGGAACGCCAGCCATGGACGTGGCACGCTCACTTCAGATCGTTGCCGTCCTCCTTTCCTTGCTGAGCATTGGAGCAGCCCATCACATACCCGCGCGTCTATCACGACCCATCTTTGCGCCAGACACGCTCAAGCGAGCCACCTCGCAAGACCCTTCCTGCCCGGACGGGTTCCTCTGCCTCCAGCAACCATGTCCCAGCTCGGCCATCTGCGCGGCAGGCGAGATGTGTCTCAACTTTGAGGGCACTCTTGCTTGTGTGCCACAGGGCGCCTCTTTCTGTGCCCTGAACCCCAGCTCTTTCGAAGGCGTGGGCTGCTGGAACGGAATGTGTTGGTTTGTGCCCCTGGTCCCCCTAATGTTCTTGAGATCCTTGAGGAGAAAGCGACTAAATAAGCCAACCATTCCAAAGCCACGGTCAATGTTATGCATCAGATGCCGTGTGCTGTGACAATCCGGGAACCCAGTGCTCTTTGGGTCGGGCCTGCAATGTGTGTAGTCCTGGCCAAAAGTGCGCAAATGGGGGCTGTTCTGGAGACACAACCGCTGTTTTCCCCGTTCCTCCTACTAGCACTACCGCCAAGACACCCAGCACTAGCAGTTCGCCCGTTTCCCCGCCTGCCTCTTCGACGACTCGCATCACGACGTCCACTCCCCGGCCAAGTACCAGTAGCAGTAAGCCAACGACAAGTGCCGCCCCTCCAACCACACCCACGACTACTAGGATCACGACTACCCCGAAGCCAAGCTCTTCCCCTAGCACGACCGAGCCGCCAAAGCCGACTACGGTGGCCTCTGTTTCCCCGTTCCAAAGCCCAACCTGCATCCAAGATTTCACTGACGCCAGGGTGCTGGTCAATGGCACGAGCACCGATCTGAGTTCGATGGGCATGACGGTGGAGAAGTGCATTCAGCTCGCCCAGGGATGGCAATATGCCGGTGTCGAGTACGGCGGGTGAGTTCGCGAGCAGCGCCGCATCGTGTTACTTTGTGGGAGGATCTGTGCTAACTTGCACCTTCGCAGCGAGTGCTGGTGGGGGGATAGCCCCGTCAACCCGCAAGGGGCAAACGCGGGGGATTGCAGCCAACCTTGTGCCGGCGACGCCGGCGAGCTCTGCGGCAACGGCAACCGTATGATCATGTACCGAGACACGACTTGGGTGGTTCCCACCCGGCCAGACCTGGGCAGCCAGGTGCAGGAATACTTGGGCGTATTGGCCGAGCTGCAGCAGGCGATACAGACGTGGAACGACCTCATCCAGCAGGCGATCGCGCAGCAGAACAGCGGCAGTGCCCGGGTGCGCCGCGCCGACATTCTGACCCAGATTGCCGATGCCCGGGAGGCCATCATACGCCTCCAGGCAAGGTGGCAGCAGCTCACGGCCGCCATCACACGGCACTTCAAGACAGGGGACAACTACCGGCTTTTGGAAGACATCGAGATGCAGGATCTCGCCCAGGTATACCCCCCCGTGGAGGAGCAGCTGGTGGCGATTGCCTCGGATGCTGCCGTAGTTGCCAACGTGGGGCTCAGCGCGGCCGCCATCATCGCACAGAAGGCTATCACTACGCTTGGGAAGCCCAGAGTCATCAGGGGCGGGATCGTGGTCGTGGCAGCGACCGGCATCTTCAAGATCGGATTCAGCCTCCTGGACAGCCTCGTCGGCGGCGAGGGGAACACGCCGCAGCCCTCCCAGTCCCTGCCGCCAACCATGCCGCCGACGTCAACGTCATCGGCGACCAGAACGTCCACTTCTCGGACCTCGTCGAGCACGTGCACCTACACGGAAGGGCCCACGCCCGTCATCGTGGTCACCAAGAAGGGCACCACGCTCTCGCAGTTCCAGGAGCTGGTCAGCAGTCTCCCCGTCGACAAGGAGAGCGAGACGCTGACCGACTCGTACCTGCCGAACTGGGCCTACATCGGCGAGATGGACCGCTGCACGGCCGAGACGCTGTGGGACAATCCGATCGTGGAGGCCATGACGCTCAACCGGCCCATTGTGATATTCGAGAGCAACGACGTCGACCCGAACACCATCAACCCCAATGCCCCGCTGGCAAAGCGCGTTGTCGTGTCCAAGACGGACTACAACAACAGTACGGCCGACGCCCACCGACGACGGAGCCGCGGCTCGGAAGCCCCGCTGTCTGGACGCACCCTGGCCGGCGATAAGCGCTATGTCTACCAGTCCGGGAGCGGGACGCACGTCCGCTGGATAGCGGGCCAGTCGCGGCAGAGGAGGAACCTCGGGCAGTTCTACGACTTCGAGGAGTACCTCTACGACGACAGGTCTCTGAAGCCGTCTGCGCCGCCTCGGATCTACGTCGTCGACACCGCGTTCCTCACCACCCACCAGGACATCTCGAGCCGGGTGAGGTCCGTGATCGCCGTGAGCGGGAATGCCGGTGATGTGGACAGCAGCCACGGAACATGCATGACATCCATCGCGGCCGGGGACTGGACGGGCGTATACAAGGACGCCGATATCGTCCTGGTCCAGGCCCGCTTCAACCAGGGCCAGCCCGCTGCAGCCGTCGACACCGTCATCAAAGCGTTCGGTGCCATCCTGCGAGACGTACAGGAGCTGGGACTGGGCGGGCAGGCTGTGATCAGCATGTCGTTTGGTGAGCACACATCCCAACAAAGCGTAACCGCCTTGAGAAACGTTACTACTAGTACTTGGTAACCCCCTTACTTACAACTTACGAAACCACTCCAGGTGCCCCGGCCCGCTACCTCTGGTACGACGACGCCGAGCCCGCCTTCCAAGTGCACAACACGGACGCGATCGGCGTGTACCTGCACGCGCTGTTCGAGCTGGGCGTCGCGGCGGCCGCGTCGGCAGGCAACCTGGCCAACAACGCGGACGCGGCCGACTTCGCGCGTCTCGAGGCGCACACGCCCCGCCGCAACGGCGGCGCCGACTCGCCCCTCGTCGTGGTCGGCAACGCCGACGAATCCGGGAACCGCTACGTCACGTCTAACCACGTCGACACCCACGCCAGGGGCATCCTGACCCTCTACGCCCCCGGCGTCGACGTCCTCTGCGCTGTCAAGACCGCCACCAACGCCTGGGGCAAGGAACCGCCCGGCACGTCGCAGGCCACGGCCGCCACGGCGGGGCTGATGGCGTATTTCCTGAGTGATCCGGCCCTGAGAGCGCAGTTTACCGCTGGCGGGGTGGGGAATATGCCCATGCGGCTGAAGCAGTACCTTATCGACGTGTCGACGCAGCAGAAGGGCATTGGTGGGTGGGGGGATCAGTTCACGGATACTCTTCCGCGGCTGTCGAGCGGGGAGAATGTCGAGTGTGGTGGTGGTGGTGGTGGCGGGAGCGTGGTGCAGGGCGCGCCGCCCGTGCCGGGTTACGTGAGCCCGCCGGAGACGGCGTTTGGGAGGGCGCTGACGACGGTGCCGGTATCGAGCGGGCTGACTGTGGTTTTGCCTGAGGCTTTGAGGGTGAGTTTTTGACTTTTCTGTATGCCTGACTGATTATGTGGCTTAATGCTGACTGGCGCTGAGTTGTAGCCGCTGTGTTATAACCGTCAATAAGAGCGATAGGAGGCTGGTTCGAGTTTATCGAAGATCAAGCTATATCCGGTACAAGTAATCTACCATGTTAGTCTGTCTGGACGGAGCTTGAGGGATCGTATTCTCCTCCTACGGACACGCTGCGTTTGACTCGGTTCCGGTTGGCCTGGCCTGCGTAACCCCGTGATGGATCTCATTACCCGGATTGCCGGTTCGTTTTGCTAGCCATCATTTCCCAGATTGAGACTCCTCGCCAGAGGGTAGGTCTAGGGCACAGGTAATGCCCATGCGGTAGGGGTACAATATAGGTCTTCTTTGCTGTGCCCGTAGTCTGTGAACCAGGCTTCTTACCTGGGTTTTCACTTTCACTCTGGCTCCAACCACGCTTTTCCCCCGCCAATGCCTCAACACCCTGGCCTGTCCTCGACATTGGCCTCCAGCACACCATCCAGTGGGATCACTACAGCCTCATCAATGGAGAGCGCCTCTTCCTGTTCGGCGGGGAGATGCACCCCTTTCGACTGCCGGTGCCGGAGCTGTGAAAGGACATCCTGCAGAGGATCAAGGCCATGGGCATGCGCATGGTGTCCATCTACACGCACTGGGGCTTCCACGCGCCCGCCCCGGACAGCGTCGACTTCAGCACCGGCGCGCACAACCTGACACGCTTCGTCGAGATGGCCCGCGACGTGGGGCTGTATGTCCTGGTGCGGCCAGGGGCCGTACATCAACGGAGAGCTCAGCGCCGGGGGCATGACGCTGTGGGCCACAACAGGGGAATACGGCACCCTCCGGCTGAACGGCACGGCTTACACGGGACGCGTGGATGCCGTACATGGATGGGATTGCGTAAGTGACCCGGCCCTTCCAGATCACCGAGAATGGGACGGTCATCATGTTCCAGATCGAGAATGAGTACGGCAACCAGGGGAGGGATGTCACCAACAAGATCCCCAGCCGGGAGACCATCTCGTACATGTAGAAGCTGGAGGACAATGCGAGGAAGAATGGCATCGTGGTGCCCCTAACGCACAACGCGCCGAACCAGAAGGGCAGGGCGTGGTCTAAGGACTACGATACCGTCGGAGCTGGCGGGAACGTTGATTTGTATTGTTCATCTACCCACGAACCCCCGAGCCTGAACCCCGACTAACACCCGACTCCCCCTCTTGCCCTTTCCAGCCACAATGCTGGTCGTGCGTCACCTCCGACTGCGGCAGCGTCACGCCCTGGGCCGTGTCCAACTACCACGACCACTTCCAGCTGTGGCGCGGCCAGCCCGACAGGACCCTCCACGTAAAAGACGTCAATGTAAAGCGCCAGCAAACCCCGACCCCTTAACCTATGACCGTCCCCGTTATTATCAATGCTGACTCTGCATTAAGGATCTCTACTCCCAAGTGCTGGCCCTCAACAGGGATTGGATCGCCGACCTGGCCAACCCCGACCAGACGCTGCATGACTACGGCCCGCGCGTATGCGGTGCCGACAGCGGCATCGCCACGGGCGACTCGGAGAAGCTCAGCCTGCAGCTGACCAAGCTGCGCCAGCTCGCAGGGTCGTGGATCCTGGACGCAGGCACGTGCCACCGGCTCGGATGCGGCACCAACGCGGGGGTGTACTGGTGCAATGTGAGTTATTTTACATTACTTTGTCTTGCCTTACCCCTTAGCCACTATTACTTCCTCAGATTCCCCCAAGCGAAAAGGAAGAGAAAAAAAAAAGAACTTTGAAGCTGACAATGGTATACTCCCCAGGACAACGCATGGAACATCCGCGCATCCGCCAAGAGCCTCTACCTCCGCGGCTCCCACGTGCGTGACGGGTGCTGCCACCGCACCGACGGCAGTCTGTTCGGGGGCGATCCCATGTCGGGCGTCGAGGCGTTCCCCGACCAGCACAAGGAGGCGGCGCACTCACGCGTGGCCGTGGGATACGGCAACTGCGAGGATCCGGTCGATGTCGTTCCTCTCGTCTACAGCTTCCCTGGGAAGCTGGGGGTTTGTCTGGCTTAGGTTTATGAAGAGGTTTCGGGTCTTCTTCTTTTTTTCTTTTTTTATTTGTTTTTTCGTTTTTCTTTTCCTCCTCCGGATTAATGGACACAGGATCCCTTGACGTTCTGCTGTCCCTAGGTTTCCTCTGCTTGTACTTTTAGATCAGTTCATTGACGAGCAGTCACTCCTTATAGGCTGTGACAGTAGGTGTAGGCTGGCCTCCATTTACAAACAGACGCACCAACTGCGTACAAGTGTGGAATACTGCCGAGAGTTGATATCCAAGGTCATGTCCATATGATTGATTCATACTAGTACTCTCTTCATCTCAACTGCCTCCAGATGATCTTGTTCATCTGTTCTTGTCACCGAGGGAGCAAGTCAACAACTGGCGTGTGGCACAAACAACCCGCGTCCAGCACCTCTTCTTAACGGCCACACAATCTCCGATCTTATTTGATAGGTCTACATTACCCCAGGCCCCTGCATATCCATTACGTTGCCCTCAATACCACGCCGTGCCGGGAGTTGTTAACCATAATGGCTGCCAGCCAATTGTGTGGTCGGACGCGGTGTGAGGGGAACATCGGCATATGGCGATGCCGTCCGGCTAATGGAAGGCACGATCTGGGCTCCAAACATAATTTCTTATAAGGCAACGAACAAGCTCGTAGAAGGCACCCAAGAGTTCCCTCTTGGGGGCATGGCTGTTCCCAACATCTCCCCTTACAAAAACCCAACATCTTGTGACTTCTTGAGTACCCACTAGTGGTATTTTCCGCCCCTCTAAACAAAAAAAGAAAAAGATGGCGCTCCTCATCCCGCTCGCGCCTTCTCTGCTCGCCAACAAGCGCATCGTCTTCATCTCCTTCCTCATCGCACTGGGCCAATTCCAGTACGGCTACGACAGCGCCGCCATCGCCGGATTCCAGTCGATGCCGGGCTTCCTGCGCATCTACGGCCACCGCGACGCGGCCAACCCGCTGGGCTGGAACATCAGCACCGACGTGCAGCGGCTGATCCAGTCGCTCATGAACGTCGGCGGCTTCCTATCGGCCGTCGTCATCTACCTGTGCCACACCCGCGTCTCGCGCCGCCTGGGCCTGTGGACGGGTTGCGCGCTCGGCGTGCTGAGCATCTCCTTGCAGATCGGCCTGCACAACCTGGCGGCGCTCTACGCGGGCCGCCTGCTGCTGGGCATGTCGAACGGATTTCTGGTACCCTACTGCGTTACCTACATGAGCGAGTCGGCCCCCTCCCTGCTGCGCGGCCCCATCGTGGGGATGAGCACGTTCCAGACCTCGCTGGGCGCGCTGTTCGGCATCCTGGTCGACAACTACTGCGAGCCCTACGGAGGCAACCGGTCGTGGCAGATCCCGCTGGCCGTCATGTACGTCGTGCCCGTGTTCCTGGCCGTGTTGTTGCTGTTCCTGCCGGATACGCCGCGGTTCTACGTCGCGCGGGGTGAGGAGGAGAAGGCCATGCGGGCGATCCGCAGGCTGCGCGGCACGCAGGACGAGGCGGTTCTCCGGCGGGAGGTGGAGGATATTAAGAGCGCGTACGAGCTGGAGAGGGCGCTGCATGCGGGTGTGCATCTGCGGGATATGTTCCGCGGGCCGGACTTGAGGCGGACGCTGCTCAGCTACGGCGCGAATGTTGGCGGCACGGCCACGGGGGTCACCTTCATGGCCGGCTTTTCCGTATATCTCTTTGTGCAGGCCCGGGTGGGATCGCCGTTTGCGTGGGTCATGATCTCGCTGGCCATCGCGCTGACGGGCAACATGGCGGCCTTTCCGGCGATGCGCTACTTTGGGCGCCGCGAGCTGCTCGTTGCCACGTCGGTGCTGTCTTCGGCCGCCATGTTCGCCATGGCCATCGTCTACACCGTCTCGGGCACTACTCCCGGGGCGAGCAGGGCGCTGGTCGGGCTGAGCATCGTGTACACGTGGGTGTATGGCATCGGCCAGGGTCCCGTGCTGTGGGCGCTCCTGACCGAGATCCCCTCGCAGCGGCTGCGCTCGCAGACGGTCGGCACGGGTTCTGGGCTGAACTTTGTCGTCGGTTGGGCCGTGTCGTTCTTCACGCCCTACTTCATCAACCCGGACCAGCTTGGGTGGGGCCCCAAGTACGGGTACATCTGGGGCGGCAGCAATCTCATCCTGGCCGTCTGGGCATTTTTCTTTGTCCCCGAGACCAAGGGGCGGAGTCTCGAGCAGCTGGACGAGCTGTTCGAAAAGGGGGTTAATGCTAGGAAGTTTTCGTCTTTTGTGCTAGAGCGACAGCTGGTGGATGATCTCTCCAGTAGCGCAGATCGAAAGGGCGTGGAAGATCGCGAGGCTGCTGTGGTTCAGGTCGAGGACTCGGAGAAGAGGTAGTAGGCAGCGGGGTCACGACGGATATATAAGTATATGTTCGAACCCTTGGTACAAGAATATTCACCATATCTCGTTTCCATCCTCTGTTTGCTCCCTTTAAGTGAGATCCACCAGTATCGGTGTGTGCGTGAAGGATATAAAGGGGACCAGCCCCCTTAACAAGACAATATCCACCCATTTCCCGGCCCGAAAAAGGAACTACTAGTACATACTAACTAACCACCATTTGCGGTCAGCGGCACGTTACCTTCTCCCCCTGATGGTCTAGTCTAGATAGGAGGATGATCCCACAGGTAGTAGTGCTCCAAGCCGTGTCTCAAGCTGCGTGCGGATGTGTCAGCCCCTTCGTCCGACTCTCATCACACCTAAAGAGAGAACAAAGATCAATACCTCTTCATGTCGTACAAACCTGGCGGCGGGGCGCCTACCATTCCCATTCCCGTTCCCATTCCAATTCCCAGCCCGGCTCCGGCCCTGCCATCTCCGCCCTGAGGCGGCTGCTCGGGCTTGAGCAGGATCCGGACCTCCTCCCTTCGCTCAAACTTCCTGTACGCGCGGGGCGCATCCTCGAGGTCCGCCTCGACCGAGAAGATGAACCCCGGTCTCGCCCGGCCATTCAGCACGAGGTTGACCAGGGCCGGGATCGACGTCTTGAACTCTACGAGCCCGGACCGGATCTGCATCTCCTTGAACATGAGCTGGCCGATCGGCAGCTGCACAAAGGGGCTGAGGTGCTCCAGCCCGGGGGCCGGGTTGGCGGGGGTCTCGGGCACGTAGACGCCGATGATACCCAGCCCCCCGCCGCCGCGCGTGATCTTGATGGCCTCCTGGAATACAAAGTCCTGCTGCGGCTTGAGCTCGGCGTTGAGGCACTCGGTGCCGACGGCGTCGACGGTGCGCTTGACGCCCGCGGGGTTGAGGCGCAGGATCTGCTCCGACGCGCTGCCGCCGCCGCGCGCAAAGTTGATGGGGATCGCCCCGATAGCGGCCGCCTTGGCCAGCCGCGAGGGGACGTAGTCGATGACGTAGACCAGCGACGCCCCGCGGATGATGGCGCTGTAGGCGACCAGCAAGCCCACGCCGCCCGCGCCGAACACGGCCACGTCGTCGCCCGGCTCGAAGCCGGACCAACTCAGCCCCGTCCACGCCGTTGGCCACGCGTCGCACAGCGGCAGCCACTCCCGGTCGTCGTACTTGTCGGGGATCTTGACCAGCGAGCTGTCGGCCCAGGGAACGCGCGCGTGCGTGGCTGATGATTTCCCGCGTGTCGATTGTTAGCCAACCTTTTTTTTTTCTTTTCTTTTCTCCTTCTTTCAAAGGTATCCGGAGCCAGGGACGAGCCTCTTCCTAAATAAGTAAACGTTACTGGTTCTTACCCTGTAGGCCCTCGGTCAACCCAGTCAGCGGGCCGCTGCCGTACGTCTGGCGCGTGCCGTCGAGCACGGGCAGGATGGTCGGCTTGTCCCGGAGCCGGCCGTCCTCGGCGAGCGCGACGACGAGCACGCGATCGCCCACCTTGAAGTAGTCGACTGCGTCGCCGACTTCCTCGACGATGCCCACGGCTTCGTGGCCCAGGCCGTACGGCTTGTCGGACTCGGTGAAGCCGAGAATGCCGTGGTAGATGTGCAGATCCGATCCGCATATCGTCGTCGACGTGATGCGGACGATGGCATCTTCCGGTGCCTGGATCTTGGGCCGTGGGAAGTCTGTCACCCTGACCTCGCGGTTGATGCCCTCCCACAGAACACCCCTTATGGTTTTGGTTGGTGACAGCTTTGAGTCATTCATGTCTGCGGTGGTGATGAATGCGTTAAGGCGGTCACAAGTAGGGTGGGAGAAGAGATTGGATGTATTCAAGTGAACGTAATGATGGTTAGTGAGGTCACTGGGCTTTCTCCCCTACTTATGTCTTCCCAGTGAATTACCGATCTTCACGAAGCTCAGGATATCCTCGGCACGGAGCATGGCCTCATTCTGTAATAGCCTCCTAAAGGATTTCAACAGGTAAAATGCGAGCAGGCCAATGTCGAGATTCCCTTCTCTGTCTCTTGTGATCGACCAAGAACTGTCAGTGATGGCGGACTCCTAATCATCTCCGGTGGAGGTGGTCAGACTCCTTCCGGCGCAGTCAACTCAGGTAAAGGAGCATGAAGACATCCCCCTCTCAATCAAGACAGGATCTAGTAATGAGATGTAGCATAGCCGCGTTTATTCAAGACCAGGCTGACGTATGATTGGTGAACGAATATCCGAGCCGTCAGAAGTCAGAACGATCTCGCACTTTGCCGTATTATAGCGAGCACCCTCAATCTATACCTCGGGCTGTTGCGCTACAGCCACCCGCCAAGCACCCATCACCTGCCCTGTCGGGAAACCTCGCCTCGGATCGTCAGTCTGGGCTCACCACTTCATTTCCTTACCTGTAAGGAACCCGAATCAGGGGGTAGGACCAGTGACTTTTGGAACGGTGCCCCCATTGTTCGACTTACGGAGTGCTGATATGACTTGGCGCTTGAAGCGAATGTTCGGTGGGATCCAAGAACGAACTTCCCGAGGGTCGTGTACGTGCCCCGAGTCCAAGTGACCGATTCTGAACAGAGGCACGACAATAGGCCGATGGGGCCCATGACTGCTTTCTTCTGGAAGATGGCTGAGATGCAAGTGAGTCTCCTCAAAAAACAACAACTGGTTTGAATTCCTTTTTTTTTTTTTGCTTGGCATATGACTATTAGAACAAAGCAAGCGCATTAGGCGGCGACGCGACCAAGCCCGGGTGGTTCAGGGGCGCCGAGGTCAGCAGAAAGCTGTATCGGCCCGTCTTCTTGCAGTACTCGCTCAGCGCTTTCAGATCCCAGAGCTCGCCGATGGACATGCCAAACTGGTTGAGGAACCACATGTGCAGGACTGAGACAAAGTTAGTAAAATACTTCTCCACCATTACGATACGTCTTCCGGGGTAATGCTCACCCAGATCCGAAATCCCGCCGACCGTCCCGTCGGGCTTGAGCGCCGGAATGGCCTCAAACCCGTGTGCGTCACCCGCCACGGCCGCGAACCGGTGGTTCCACACCCAGCGCGCCGTGTCGACCGTGCCGTGCACGCCCGACAGCGTGCCGGCCTGGAACTTGGCAAAGTCGGCCGGGGTCGGGGCGGCGAGCATCTCGGTGTAGCCGGTGCGGACGATCAGGATGTCGCCGTGCTTGAACTCAACGCCCTGGTGCCGGGCCGCCTTCTCCAGGTCGTCGGGCGTGATGCGGTACCCGTCCAGCGGGTGGTACGGCGTGCCGGTCGTCTCCTCGTGGTACCGCTTCCAGTCGATGAGCACGCCGCGGCCGGCGAGCGCGCCGCGCGCGTGCCAATGCTCGATGGTCGGCAGCGGGTTCTCGGCCGTCGACTGCACGTGCAACCCCTCCTTGGTCGGCTGCAGGCCGTTGTACGTCACGCCGTCCGTGGTGACGTGGCAGAGGCTGTCCCACTGGCTGCTGAACTGCGTGTTGAACTCAAGCTCGTCGTCCCAGCCCTCGCAGTCCATGCCCATCTCTCGCAGCGGATTGGCGCGATGGACGGGGGGCTTGCGGCCGGGGAGAGGGAATTTGATGCCATTGAGTGGCCAGCTGTTCCGGTTTTTTACAATTCAGCTTTTTTCCTCTCTTTCAATAATCCTGTGTCGGATAGTAGTGAAATAGGAGCACACACTTCAGGGAAATGGAGACGCCGTCTCGGACCTCAGCAGCAGCGGCCGCCACGATTTGGGGCGTGAGGAAGTTGAGCGTCCCCAACACGTCCTTCTTGCCATCTTTGTCGAAGATTCCCCAGGCGCATCCTTGGGGCTGTCCCTCAACCGGGGGTAGGTCGTCAAAGTCGGGAACGGAGCTAGGATCCATGGCTGAAGAATGGGGGACGACTGATGTGGCCGCGGGGAGAAGGGCTTCGGGTGGAGGGGACGGTGGTGCCGTTCTCAGGCTTTTACCACCGGGGCAATATTGGCTTCCTCAACTTTGCCGGGTTCGTGTTCGCACCCGCGAGATTCTCCGTGCGTCAATAGCTTTATATACCTGCACCAGGCTCGTATCATAAGGTAACATCACGATTGCCGCTCCTTCTTAACCTCAAGCAGCAAGCGGCCCCGCTCCGCTCGTCCAACTTCCCCGCAAGTGACGCGAGTGAAAGAGCCGACATCGTCCAGTAGAACCAGTACAGACATGAGGTTTGGATGCTGCCTGATCCGCTCCTGAACCGATGTGTCTTGGCGGCGTTTGACACGTCGTCGAGGTCTGAAGGATGCCCAATTGCGTCGGACAGGCTCATGCGCATTGCATGAGACTCCAACAAGAGAGCGCGCGGGAACGGCAACCCGCTGAACACACCTGAGGTGCTCCACGGGCACTCCTAGTAGTATGCACGAGCCCCGCCAAGTTTGTTACCCCTCTGTTACTTTGGGCAAACACCTGCAGACACCATTTCCCCTCGTGCTGCAGTCTGGCTCCTGTCGGCATCATTCTCGCCATGGAAAGCGAATACGATAGCGTTTATCGTTTTCGGATCGACGTGGCTCCGTGGCCACTCTCGAGTCGCAAAAGTTCCAATCTCCCATCCCCGCGCCATCCGCCATGCGCTTCTCCGCTTCGTGCCATGCCTGCATTGACTCTCAAGGCCCAGGCTTTACGGACTCATGAATCGCCCGGGGGTCAAGTAGCAAGAGGTGCATAAACCGACGCATAAGCCGACACCCCTGGGTATACAGGAGGCAGTGTCTGTCCTAGTATTTAAATAATCAGGCGTTCCTTCAGCTGTACTGCACTTTCAAGTCATAGCTCCCTTTGACGCCAGCTCCATCCATACCTACTCTTCCCACAATGGCGGCCTCTACCGACAGTTCGAACGGCGCTGTTGCCGGCCCTACCCCGGAAGACCTGAAGCTGTTGGAGCTCAGCCAGAAATACGCCGAAGAAGCGACCAAGCGTCTCCGCCCGGAGGGCCTCAGCCAGTTCGTCCGCCTCAAGGAAGCCGGGAGCGAGCGGTTCCGCGCCCTCGCCGAAGACCCGTGGGCCGACCACGCGGCGCTCAACGCCAAGCCTCCGATCCAGGACGGCGCCCAGTACAAGTTCCTGATCCTGGGCGCCGGCTACGGCGGGCTTCTCTTCGCCGTGCGGCTGATCGAGGCCGGCCTGGCCAAGGGCCCCAACGACATCCTCCTTGTCGATGCCGCGGGGGGGTTCGGCGGCACGTGGTGGTGGAACCGCTACCCGGGCCTGCATTGCGACGTCGAGAGCTACACGTACATGCCGCTGCTCGAGGAGACGGGCTACATGCCCGAGAGCAAGTACGTCTCGGGCGCGGTGCTGCTCGAACACGCCGAGCGCATCGCCGCGCAGTGGAAGCTGCACGACAAGGCGCTCTTCCGGTCCAGTGTCAGCGTGGCGCGGTGGGATGACACGGCGAATCTGTGGAAAGTGGAGGTCACCGAGGGCCGCGGACCGACCGAGCAGCCCCGTGAGCTGAAGCTGCAGGCGCGCTATGTCCTGATTGCGTCGGGTATTCTCACCAACCCGCACATCCCCAAGATTCCCGGGCTGGAGTCCTTTGCTGGGCCGATGTTCCACACGGCTCGCTGGGACTACAAGGTCACGGGCGGCAACCCACGGGACGCGACCCTGACGGGGCTCGAGGGAAAGCGTGTGGGGTTCCTGGGCACCGGCGCAACAGCTATCCAGGCGGTGCCCCGGCTTGCGGAGTTTGCGAAGGAGCTGTATGTGTTCCAGCGAACGCCGTCCGCTGTGTCGTGGCGAGGCCAACGTGCGACGGATCCGGAGGAATGGTAAGTTTGGGCTGAAATATCCAAAGCCATGGACAATCTTCCCTGCTTTCTGGGCGGGTTGCTGAAGGCCATGAAAAACAGGAAGACGAAGATTGCCTACAAGAAGGGCTGGCAGCGGGAGCGGATGCTGAACTTCGACTCGTACATGACCGATGCCGTCCGAGAGGGCCAGGAAAACATGGTGGCAGACGGCTGGACCGAAATGCCGGCGTATTCTGCCGTCCTGGGCTCGCCCAGGTATCCCATCGTGGAGCCCACGCCGGAGAAGATAGCGCAGCATGTCCAGAGGCTGCACAAGCTCGATATCCCGCACTCAGAAGCAGTGCGGGCGCGAGTCCAAGAAATCGTCAAGGACCCGGAGACAGCGGCCAAGTTGAAGGCTTGGTACCCAACATGGTAGGCAGCACTTGAGACGACGCGTCCACAGTATAGACCTCTGACAAGAAACGCAGGTGCAAGCGACCTACCTTCAGCGACGAGTACCTGCAGGCATTCAACCTGCCCAGCGTGCATCTAGTCGACACAAACGGCAAGGGCGTCGAGTCAGCGACTGCAAGTGGCCTTGTGGTGGCCGGCAAGGAGTATCCCCTCGACATCCTGATCCTGGGCACCGGCTACGTGACCCCCGGCATCGGCGGGGGCAGCCCAGCGGTGCGCACGGGCATCACAGTCTACGGCCGCGACGGCAAGTCGCTGGACGACAAGTGGCAGAACCACGGCGCGGCGACCCTGCACGGCGTCTGCTCCAACGGCTTCCCCAACCTCTTCTTCGCGCCCCTGACCCAGTCCGGCCAGGCCGCCAACAACGTTTTTACGCTTGATGTTGGAACCGAGCACGTTGTGCACATCATCCAGCAGGCCGAGGTCAGAGCTGGCGGCGCCGAGGCGGCGGTTGTCGAGGTGTCGAGCCAGGCCGAGGAGGAGTGGTCGCTGCAGATCATGCAGCGTGCGGGATGGTTCGCGACCGTCATGGGTTGCACGCCGGGCTACATCACCTTGGAGGGCGAGGCGCTGCGGCAGCCGCAGGACCAGGCCGGCATGATGAAGCAGGCCAGGGCCGGCAACTGGGCGCAGGGCATGGCGTCCTTCTTGAAGGTGCTGCAGGAGTACCGGGCGGACGGGTCGCTTAGGGGGATTGAAGTTGCGCCTGTCAGGGCTGGTTAGTCCGGCGGAAGATGGGCGTTCGCTAGTAAGAGGGCGCTTGGTGGCCAGATACCGAAACTGGGCTGTACAATACGACTCGAAAATGGGCAAATGGTCTCTCGTACCTTGATCGGTCAGAAGTGCTTTTGGCTGTGTAGTGCAAGATTGAGGTCCTTCCCGGTGCTCCGCCGTCAGCAAAACTCTGTCCTACTAGTGTGCAATTTCGGGCCGAGAACTCGGCGAGTCGGCGTCGGTCCCACCAAAGCCGGCCTCGGAGATAACAGCCCCGCAATCCCTTGTCTGCCTACAGCTTATGCCGGCCGGTCGACACAAGCCGACTTACACCTCCGAGTCATAAAATAAGTATACAATAGCGTCGATGCCTCAACCACTTCCACACACTCGACAACCGCTTCTTTCGTCCTTTTTTAACCACCTAACCCCTCCCGTAAACCACGCAGTCGCTAGGAAGGATAACAAAAATGTCGCCGAAGCCCACCGCTGCAACACCAACCCTGACCCTCTTCCGCGGCTTCCCGCAACACGACCGCTACACCCCATCGCCCTTCATCAACAAACTCGAGACCCGTCTGCGCATAGGCGGGATTGCCTACCAGGTAGGCGTGGGCTCGCCCTTCACCGCGCCGCGCGGGAAAATGCCATACATCGAGCTCCAGGACGCAGACAACGTCAACAGCAGTACCAGCCCCACGCCGCCCACAAAGCTAGGCGACACGGCACTGATCACCCGCAAATTGGTCGAGGATGGGCACTTGGAAGATCTCAATGCGCGGCTGACTCCAACGCAGAGGGCGGCAGATCTGGCGGTGCGGGCGTTATTAGAGGATAAACTCTATTTCTTTCAGGTGCGGTCTATCTCCCCCGGTCTTTGATTAACCCCCCAAACAAAGCCTGGAATAGAAAAAGGCATAGGGGTCGCCCGGACAGTGTCAGTAGATATTGACTTTTCATTTGACCAAAAGGGCCGCGAGCGGTGGGTAGACAACTACCACACGATGCGGGACACGGTGCTCGCCTCGATCCCGTACCCGCTCCGGCTGGTGATTGGCCTGCTGGCCTACCGCAAACATGCACGCACCCTGGACGGACAGGGCGTGCTACGTTTCAGCAAGGAAGAAGCTGCGGCAATGCGGCTCGAGATCTGGGAGAGCGTCAACGCCATGCTTGTCGAGTCTCGCGCCCACGCCGCTAATAATAAGGCGGGCAACACTTCCGGCCCATTCTGGGTCCTCGGCGGCGAGAGCCCGACCGAGGCGGACCCGGTTGTGTTTGGGTTTGTTGCTGCAGCTCTTGATTGCAGGATGTAAGGCTCCCCGATTCTTCTAACTCCGAAGAGATTTATGCGGAGAAACCTGTGCTGACGACATCGTAAGGGCTCCGGAGACTGAAAAGATTGTTCGCGGTTTTCCTGTTGTGGTAGAGTATGCGAAGAGGATACACGATAGATACTTCAGTGACTTCAAGTGTTGGCGGGATTAGACTTAGACCGAGGGCTGCCACAGCAAAAATCGTCGTCTAATACGTTTCTTGTTCTTTCTAGCAACTTCTTTGTGCCTCGTGAAACCCCAATGACAGCACATCCTTCGTCCACTGCACGGCCGCGATAGCATAACCTTCCTCCTAGTAAGTCCTCAGCAAAGCAGCAAACAGCTCCCATCAGTATCATATCGTCAGATATTACACCCTCATTAACATTATGTCCCCAGCATCACGTCTCCAACATCAAATGCCTATACATCGAGCCGCAGACATCACCACGGTCGCCGCGCCCCCGTCACGCCCTCGTATCGCCGGCCTCCACCCGTTCCCTTGACGGCATTCGCCCGCGGGCGGTGCCAGGGACCATCTTTAAGGATTTACGAGGTCTCATGGTCTTACCACGGCAGGCATGACGGTTACGGGGTCGCCGGCTACTTCTTCTTTCGTGATGAGCGCCGTGGTGTGGCTCCTTGTTGACGGGCGTCTTGCCATCCGGATGTTCTACAGATTTGTCTTCGGCGGCGGCCTCCAGCCATACATTCAAGCGCAGTGGCGGGCCGCTCTTGTCGGGGTAATCGTCGTGGAATTTCTTCAGCGCGTCGGGGTACCAGCCGCGTCACTGCACTGGGTGTTGAGACTTCCCTTTGTGTGTACTTCTCGCGAGTGCTTTTCTCATTCCTTTCTTGACCAACTTCTTTGCCCGGGGGATTCGATCCCGTTTGCCCCGGTAGGGGATTGTTGGGGAACTTGCGTAGATAGTGGGGCTTGAAGACTGTCTAGCCTTCCCATGATTCGGGGACCTTGAGGTGGTACGCCTTGCCATCGCTGACCTTCTGGATGACTTCCTAATGCTTCTGGATGGCCGGGAATGATAGTTTGTTGCTTGGGCGGCTTGTGGTTTCTGCTGACTTCTTCAAAATGGCAACTTCCTGACATAGACCGTTGTGTCGCGAAACAGCTCGGAGTCAAAAGGGCACTCCACCTCCACATAGTGTTCCTTCAACATGCGCTCGACGCGGGGAGATGTTGGATCATTTCTGCAATATCGTCAGCGGAATTCTTATTGACGGATCTGCATACCCACAGAGACTATGAACTTACGTTTCAAGTAAACGCCGTTTGTACGTATCCCGATGCCAGATCAAGACAGCGGGCCGCGTAATGTCCGCCACGATCTGGCGGACAGGTATCGCTGGGTGGATCGCCACCACCACGCTTTCCTGGTCGATCTCGAGAAGCGCTCTGGGGTCGTCAAGCACCGTGACGCCCAAGGTGCTCAACATAACCCTGTCTACCGTTTGGTAATCGGGATCTTGAGCGTAGCAGGTAACGTTGGTCCCGCCCTTTGCCTGGAGGAAACCGCGGACGCTTAAAACCAACGCATGCTGGGAGGCCGAGGCTGCCCTCTCTGACTGGCCGAAGGCATGAGAGCCCAGCGCAAAGGCAACGACCTTATTGATCCCGGTCGGCAGTTTGACACTGTCCACTCTCCCTTGGAAAATGGACTTGAGGCGGCAGAAAGCCTCGCTGGCCCGCCATTTGCCGTAGTATTTGATGAAGTCTTCTTGAATTTCGGTTTTCGGTGGCATTGGATAATACTGGATAACCTCCCTCGTGGTCGCATCGATCTGATCTGCCTCGTGGCAGACGGACATTGGGAGATACCCGCATTCATGGTCGTGAACGCTTGGGGAGCAAGCGCTGCACGGTTGGATTAAGCCCATCATCATCTCGATGGGATGATAGCACAGCCGGGGCTCCTTTCTGAATGGAGTCAGTAAACCACGCAAATCAAAACCTCAACGGCCATGAGAGAGGCACAAGCTCACGAGGGGAACTCACAAGATGAAGGCTGTGCTGCTTCCGCTGACGATCTCGCCCACCCTGAGGCGGAAGGCCACAGTAGCCCCATCAACGCCGGTAATGAAAACACTTTTCTCCGAGTGACCGTCAATCAGGATGCTGTCGAAAGCGCGGACGGCTTCCCGTATCGCTGTTTTCGTGAAGAATGGGACGCCGGAGGCGTAGATCTGCTGAAGTTGTTCACGCCGGGTGGCTTCGCTATTCCCGCACCCCTTGGTGCGCAACACGAACGTAGCCGGAAACATTTTGGTAAAGGAGAAGTAGTACGCGGGCTACTGTCGTGGAATACAGAGAGGAGTGAGAGGCCAGTGGGGGAATCGGCGTGGAGGGTGAGGATGGGAAGGTGAGGATGGGGTAAATACGGCTGTTTAGTTGTGTAAAGTCGGTGGTAAATTTTAACGTGTGTGGGGAACTCAACAAATAATCCAGCAACTAACCCAGCGGTAATTAAGGTAGGGGCAGTACTAGTACTGAGTGTGAGTGTTGCAGGACCAAGCTTTGGTGTCCAAGGACGGTTGTGCCTTCCTGATATTCGCCACGACGAAGGCAGGATAGCGCCAAGCGAGCCTGCTCACACAAGCAACCTGGAAAGTTACCTGCGGTTATGTTGGACATGACGAACTTCGAAGTCCGATACCTTGTGTGCTCACCGCTCCTTGAAAACGCTACTCGCAAACCTTCCACATATCGCCGTATTCTCTGGTTTGGCTGGGAACATTCAAATCTTCGTCCATTACATGCGTCTTCGTGGTCTTTGTCCTACATGGTGCAATGCATTGTCTAGCCAAGGAATGCTATTACGCTACCTGAATGAACATCTAGGTTGCCGTCCCAGGGGCGGTTGTTCGCGATGCGTCTTCCTGCCAAAGAGCGATCCTTCTTCTCCCCGCCATCCGCCGATGCGTGTGCCCCCTACTCTCTCGATCCCGTCAGGCCCTCGGACCCAGACACAAGCATAACAAGCATTCCAAGCTTTCTCTAGTATGGTTAGCCCGTTAGGTCGGTCGGAATTAGTTTCACAAATCCTCACCGTCTCGCTTCTGTAGAGTCCTCCGTACGTAGGCACCTAAGGCTCTAAGCTCGTCAGCAACCCTTCCACATGAATCAAGCGTACCTGCCAGTTACGAAGTCCAGAGGGGCGCATCGACCACTGCTTTCCGTGAGTCTTTCGGCACTGATAGGCTCGCGTCTGATAGCAATCCATGGAAGGCTGGATGTGGTGGCAGCATTCGGGTGCTAACTACTAAGCACACATACCCCTTCTTAACTCATCCAACCAACTCTCAGAGCGCTCAATGTATTAGGCAAGACAAGCCATCTCTTATTGCCACCGTGATGATGCCACCAAAAACAGGAACACGTCCCCAGTCAGAGGCGAAGATTCACAGTAAGAGACTACTGCGGATTGGAAGCAGCAGGGAGTTACTAGTAGTTCCAAAAAGAGGAAGACATTGGACCCGTGCTTGCGATTTACCGTGCTTGGGGAGAACCTGGGAACCATCCTTGAAACCATCATGCTTTTCATATGTCTGTTAGTGTTACTAGTACTAGTCAAAGCCATCATCACCACAAGTCAGCTGGGGTAGCCCTGGTCCACGTCAAAAACAGTTGTTTTTCTATTATCCAGGAGGCTAGGCCCCTCTTAACATAGCTGCGTTTTCTGCGTTTTCTAGACTTCCAGAACTCCGTTGCGCTGTTGGGTTCCTCTAGTCACAGACAATTATGGCTCCATATTAGTAGGTACCATATCGCCTATTCTCAGCTTCACAGTAAGGTATTTGGGTGTAATGGACCACAGTGTACTAGAAGACCACCCACGGACAGCCCGGTACTGTACCATGTGTACGTACAATACGGATTACAAATACCTACACGCTTGTGCATCTGATGTATTCCATTCGTCTATGCGCTCTCCACAGTGGGGCAACACAGAAAGCTTTCTGGTGCGTGTACTACCCGTGCTTGCGGCCTTGTTACAGAGCACAAAACCCGGCGCCGGAAACGTTCGCAGTATGTACTCCGTACTTGCATTTAATAATTATGCATAGTAGCGCATCTACTTACCGAACTTGGAGCCACGATCACGGGAGCCATTGCGATTGAGTTCTAGCGCGGCTGAAAGTTCCTAATTGCCCGTTATCTGCATTTGGACCTCTTGCGATTTAGGCTTCCGTACATTAGTACAGTACATACCTCGCGCCACGGCCACGGGAATAAGCTTTTAACCCCGGGAACGGGCATTGATACATCGGCAGTAAGCCTGCATTGCTGGCTCAAGAATCCCTGCGAGTATGGAAATGGAACACTGTACGGATTATATGCATAGTGATTCGCTGGGGATATCACCGCTGTTGGTTGGGAGGCTTGCCAGTCTGGTTGAACGCCTGGCGGCTTCAATCTTCTTCTCCTTGCAGGTTCGCTCCGTCTCTTTCTCCGCCGGGTTCTCCAAGTGCTGGCAGGACTGCAGGTTGAGTACAAAAACGCAGAGCTGCTGCCATTTTTCAGGTATATTTAAATTGAACCCTGCAACGCATGGAGGTACTGATTCAGGCATCAACCAGAGACCAAGACGGTGCTAGGAGAAAAGCTTCGCGATGGCTGGTCCACACACGCCGCCCATTCATCCTGCAGTCCCGCCACAAGCACAAATAGATTCAGACCGCGAGAAGCAGGAGACACAAGTACAGCCTGTACTGGAGAATCAGAATAGACAAGCGGACCAAGATGACAGCGAGCACCAGGCTCCACACACCATTTTCAACACATGGGAAAAGCGGTTCATCGTCTTTGTGGCTTCGGCGGCCGGCTTCTTCTCGCCCATCAGCGCGAACATCTACTTTCCGGCCCTGAACACGCTCGCGGGTGAGTACGGCGTGTCGACTACGCTCATCAACCTGACCATCACCGTGTACATGATCTTCCAGGGCTTGGCGCCCTCCTTTACAGGCTCGCTCTCCGATAACATCGGCCGGCGTCCCGTCTACTTCCTCTGCTTCGCCGTCTACATCGCTGCCAACATCGGCCTGGCCCTTCAGCACTCCTTTGCGGCTCTCGTCGTCCTGCGCTGCGTCCAGAGCTCCGGCAGCAGCGGCACCGTTGCCCTCGCAAACGCCGTCGTCTCCGATATAGCAACGGCCGCCGAGCGTGGCGTGTACATCGGGTATGCCTCGCTCGGCGGTGTTCTTGGCATGGCCCTGGGGCCTATTCTTGGCGGCGTCCTGATCAACTTCCTTGGCTGGCGTGCTATCTTCTGGTTCCTGGTCATCTGTGCTGGCGTAGCATTGCTGATCCTCGGGCTTTTCCTCCCCGAAACCGGCCGGTCCATTGTCCATAACGGCTCGGTGCGGCCGCCGCGGTGGAATCTGAGCCTATGGGATCTCCTCCCAACAGCCAAGCGTCGAAGAGCGACCTTCAAGCGTCCGGGACCCGTTGATGGTCCCAAAAGGGGCTTCATCAACCCCATCTCTACGCTTCGGATCTGTAAGGACAAGGAAGCCTTTATTGTGCTCCTTGCCAACGGCATAGCGTTTGCGGGTTACTACGCCATCGCCGGCGCCATCCCCTCGCAGTTTGCCGAAATCTACCACTTCAACGACCTCGAAATCGGCCTATCCTTCCTCCCCATTGGCGTCAGCAGCGGCCTGTCCACCCTGACCGTTGGCCGCGCCGTGGACTGGAATTTCGCGCGCCACTCGCGACTGCTGCGGCTGACGCCCGAGGAGGCAAAGCAGAAGAACCGCGAGCTCGGCGACTTCCCCATTGAGCGAGTCCGCTGCGAGATTGCGCTCCCCATCCTCGTCCTCGCCAGCGCATCCACCATCGTATACGGCTGGGTGCTCGACTACAAGACGAGCGTGGCGGGGCCGCTGGTGATGCTGTTCTTTGTTGGCTTCTGCGCAAACGGATTCTTCACGATCCTGAGCGTGCTCATGGTGGATATCTATCCGCGGGAACCGGCAACCGCCACGGCGGCCAACAATCTGGTGCGTTGTTGGCTTGGCGCCGGCGCTTCGTCTCTTATCATCCCCATGATCAACCGGATGACGAGCGGCTGGGCTTACACGTTTGTCGCGTTGCTTTACCTGTTGCTTGCGCCGCTGCTTTGGATCGTCATGCGTTCGGGGCCGAAGTGGCGATCCGAGCGCGTGCAAAAGGAGAAGGCGAGAGATTCCGATTAGTAGCGAGGTTCATGCGCAGGCACGGTAGTAGATAACTGCCAGTTGGTTGTCGAGGATGAAGGGTCGGTCTGACAACTCACAGGACCTCGTCCAGCTAAGTATCGGGCAAATCAGTGAGTGGACAGTACCGCCCACCTTAAGCCACAACATGGTGCCGCTATCCGGTTCTAGGCAATCGAAATCGCCAGTTAAGCGCCGGCACTGCAAGAGTACAGAGTACTTATAGATAGACTCGTGCTCATTCTCGTTCGTCCACGGCACCGACATCGGTGCAAGCTCTGCAACCTTTTCGCTGGATTCGTCCTAAGCCACGGGCCCATTATCTATCTATTTGCGGTCCCAGGACAATAATGACAGACACGAGCTACCGCTATCTGCCGCTCCGTCCCCATCTCAAGGAGATCCGTCTCCTCACGCTCTTTCCGGCAAGCGCAGACACCGCCGCCCCTCGGTGTTCTCTGGCAACGCACACCCTCGGCGACCCTCTTATCCCAAGTTACAGCGCGCTGTCCTATGTTTGGGGCAATCCCGCAACCACGTCGGGCAATCCACACAATCACAATGTGATACACTTGGATGGCCATCCATTCGCGGTGACGGCCAATCTCCTGTCCGCTCTCCGGCACCTCCGTCCGCCTGCGACAGGGACTAGTAGTACTAGTACCCAGTCCATTGTGCTCTGGGTCGATGCCGTGTGCATCAACCAGAGTGACCTGGATGAGCGGAGCCAGCAGGTGGCAATGATGCGGGATATCTACGCCGGCGCTGGGGAGGTTATCATATGGCTTGGGGAAGACGAGGAGGGCGAGGCTGGCGCGGTATTTGGGATTATTCAGGAGCTGGAGGAATTGAATCGACATCCGCGCGTCAAAGATAGGGACGATGAAGAGGTGAAACAGACTCGCCTGCAGCTGATGCGTAAATGTGCCAGCTTCCTTTTTGGGCTTGCCGAGGCTCGGCCCTGGTTTTCTCGCGTCTGGATCCTTCAGGAGCTTGCCATGGCCAGGAACGACCCCTGGGTGATGTGCGGGTGGAAGCGGGTGCGGTGGTCGGCACTGGTGAATACCTGGAAGGCCATAGCCAAGGAGGTGTTTACCGAGATGGGGATGGTGCGTCGCAAGGAGCGAGACGGTGAGTATCAAAACAGTTCGTCGGAAGCTGGGGACAATACGAAGGCTTTGAAGGAGACCCCCGACTCAAATGACGACGACGGCACGGAGGTCCTCGGCAAGCTCAAACTCGATCTCCTGGACGACCTGCGCAGTACTCGATGTTCGGAAGGGGGTGTGGCACTCCGAAAGCTGCTCTTGATCTCGAGAACATCGCAGAGTACCGACCCCAGGGACAGAGTCTACGGCCTGCTCGGACTTCTGTCTCCAGACGACATCTCATCACCTTCTACCATTCCTATTCCTGTCGATTACCGGAAACCGACCTGGGAAGTCTTCGCCGACGCCATGTCTCATCTCTTTTCTCGCGGGGAAGGTCCGTACTTCCTCTCGGGCGTATTCCTCCCAGGTCCTGAGCATACCTCCCCTGCCTCTGACTGGCCATCCTGGGTTCCGGACTTCTCGCGCCAAACCGCCGAAACGGCGGCACAGCCCTCCGGCATCCAGTTCCACCCCCCAGCCGAGACAGGCGGCGCATCTGGCGCCGGTGCGAACTGTATCAACGGTCGGCGTCTCCCTGATAAACGGACACTCCGCATCGAGGGGCTCATCGTCGGCGTCGTCAATGAAGTCGTCCCGTTTGGAAAGTCTCTCATGGACGTAATACAACAGCTCCCCCTCCTTGAGTCTCTCGTGCTGTCCGCCAAGCAGCGCCCCTGTCACATCCAGGGCTGTGATCCTTCCATCGCACCCTTCGTTGAACGGTTTAGGAACCAAGAGCCGCTTTGGAGGATCCTGATTTCAAACAAGCGCTACATGTCGGGCTACAACATCGCGCCCGCATCCTACGAAGAGCTGTACCTCGGCCTCCTTAACCATGGGCCTAGTCGCTTAGACATGGAGTCAGATCCCGGTCTTCAAGAACTTGACGCCTACGAGCGCTGCTTGCGGGATGGCGCCGCCGGCAAACGGGCCTTCTTCACGACCAAGAACGGGTTCGTGGGCACTTGTGTCCCAAGCGCCCGCGCCGGAGACCTTGTGGCCCTCTGGTTCGGATCGCCGGTGCCGTTCGTCCTGCGGCCAGCTACCACTACTAGTGCTACTCAGCCGCCGGTGGATCATGCTGATGATCGAGGAGCAGAGAGGCAGACATATTATTATTTGCTGGTCGGGGCGGCGTATGTCGGGGGCATCATGGGTGGCGAAATGGTGGATGAGTTGTACTGTGAGGATCTGATGGACTCTGTGGCCTTCTATGTCCAGTGAGTGATCTAAATCGCTAGAATGCCGAAGGCATGTACAATACTACTATTAGTACTTCCTTGATACCTCGGTGCCTGGACGATAGGTACCGTAGCGAATGGGCCACGAGCTCTGTGCGGGAGCACCAACTTCGACTGCGCTCTTCTGGCCATTTTGCTACCTACAAGAATTCGCTCTCACCCGGCCATCAATATGAATAAAAGTGCACGGAGAAGCCACGCATATGTCTACCAAATACAAATGCCTGCCACACATACATAGGCTTCTGAGGCGATACCTTGCGACCGCCCGGGATTAGAGGACGCTTTTCGGGCTTTTCAATTACTAGTATTTAGTCCCCTTGGACTATCGGTCCTCAGCGGACTACAAACTAACAGCTACCACCATCCTGGCATCCGCCACCTCCCTCAACTCGCTATAGAGAACCACAGACTGGAATGGTTGGACGATATTCAGGATCATTTGCCCAGATGATCTCAGAGTAACGTGTCGGATACGTCACGAGAGTGAGTGGAACACTGGGGCTGGAAGGGCCTATATATAGATGAATGGATGGAGATATAAACCTGGAATTCATCTCCCCATCGCTCACCCAGTGTTCGTTTATACGTTTGGCAAGTAATCTTCCGTAAGAAGAAGACTTGACAGAAACCTTGCATCAAGCTCTCTCACTCATCTTATATAAATAACACCATACCATCAACAAATAAATCATAGGCAGGCACGGCATGACCCAACCCGATGCTTCGCGCATCCAGTTGTCGCAGGTTTGGGAACCCCCTCTTCCCCCCTTTTACCAGTCCGCTATTGTGAGGCGACTTTTCTCGTCTAACGAGCATAAACTCGTATTAAACAGGCCAGAGGCGGCAGTGACATGGGCTCCGGCAGCTTTGCCGCTCGCGCACAGTCTGCCGGAGACAGGAACGCTGCTGCGCACAGCGGCGGGGCTTCGGCCGTCAGCGGTGGTTCCGCCGGTTCGAACCAGCAGGGCACTGCTGGAGGCACAGCCGGACAAAAGAAGTAGAGGAAAGAGATTCTGTAGTAGCAGTAGTGTGTAGTAGTAGTGGTGGTGGTGGCGGCGGTGGTGGTGTACCTCTATTGATAGGGATCCAGAGAAGCAAAACAGATATGGGCATTGTTATAACCAGGTTCCATGGTCTCCTGGCAAGGAAGCGGGAGGACACCCTTGCTCAACCGTAGTAGAACTGAGCAAAGCTGACGCTCCATGGGTGGGGGACTTGCTCCTCCGTACGAGCACACATGTTGAGTGTCCTTGACTTGAGTCCTTGGTGTCCGGCATTGCTGCAACCACTGCAAACACCTCCTGAGGCTGATGCTACGACCTCAAAGCGCTTCCTCCGCCGGAGGTTGACCAAGGTCTGCTGGGTTTTCTCCGTGGTTGCCATGTTGGAGGTCGTTGGATGGCAGGTCAGGAGCAAGAGGTACTTGTACCCTATGGGCAGTCCGTTCTGTACTAATTTGATCGTTGGTACAATACCTTTCTCGACGGCTGATGTGTCTAGCCCCATGGTCGAGGTCAGATTGACAGAACCTGGTTGAAGCTCGAAACGAGAGCAGTGTTAGGGTTATGTCGGGTCTTGAATGCCATCAACAAACGTGGTGTCCCCATGTTACATGTTTCAATGTGGGCATCGTAGCAGATCCACATCATAAACACCACACCGGGTTGAGCGAAAGACAAGCGGAAATCTGTGATGGTTACCCTATTATGACTTGAAGGCGCTTCCTGGCGCCGCTATCATGTGTCGTTGGTTTTGTCATTCCACGCGAATCACAGTGCCCGACCCAAGTAGCTGAAGGAAAAGAAGAGAGAAGAGGTACTGTACGACCTGTAAGTGAAGCCGCCAAATCACTCAACTGGAAACTAACCTAAAGAGTGAATAAGATACTGACAGTAGATCGCATACTTGTGAACCCACCGATCCGATCGGTTCCCTTCCTAAGCACTGGACCGGACTAGACGACCGAGGACCAGACCAAGCAAAAGCCTGGCTGACAAGAACCACAACACCAAGTGACCACGTCTACAACCCATTTGGTATAAACTACCTAATCCATGCAAGAAATACGCACAATCGCGGAGACGGGCGTGACCTTGTCCTATCCCGGGGTATCGTTGTTTCCTCATGCCCCTAACACCGTCATGGTAGCCCAGCCATTCTCCCTCCCATAAGCTCCATACTAAGCAGCTGCAGGACCTCCAGAGTGGCTGGCTTGGTGTTCGTTAGCAGCAAGTCGCTGCTGCTCCAGTATGACAGCCCCCGGTGTCGAGATATCCATATGAGCGTGGTGGATAGGCGTCGAGTGGTTGGGCTCGGCCGCAATCACATTAGCCGTTGTTGGCCCTGGTGCGACGGCGGACTGCGGATGCAGAGCGGGTGAGCTAGCAGTATCGGCGGTCCCGTCGTTGTCGGCCACATCACCATTGCCCTCTTCCTGGCCTCTAGAACTCTCCTGATGCGCAGCAGCGATGGGGGTATCCAGCGTTGCAGGCTCGCCCGGAGTAGTAACAGGCACAGGAATATAAGGAGGGTGGCCGGCTACATAATGAAAAGGCTCAAATGGAGTCTCCGTCCCTTCAGGCTGCGGTGTCTGCGCGGCTGGGGGTGGTAGAGGGATAGTCCCCAAGGCCGCGTTGAAGTCCAGCACAGTGTTCTGCTGGTTGTTTAGTAATGGGTGCGTGTCGAGGACCATCTCGGATGCATCTTCAAGACCGTCATCGTCGTCTATCGCATCCACCTCTCCGTCATCGAAACCACCGTCGCCGACCTGCAAGAGATTGGGCAAGCCTGCCGGTGGCGGAGCCGTGTCAGGAAAGATGGCGCCGTCTACGGGCGGAGCAGCCCGTATGGAGAGTGGCGCTTGTCTGATCCTGTTGAGATGCTTCCGCAAGCCAACAACTCCCTGGCCGGAGAACACGCAGAATACCGCCCTCTGGTGTTCGGTGAATTCTAACGGGCAGTCAGCGACGGCTTCTTCTAGAATCACATGGGCTCTGGATACTTACCGGGTGGAGCATCTCGGGAGAAACCCTCTAGATCCTCTCTCAGGAACGCCTGTACTCCAGTCAAGCTGAGGTGTGTCAGCCGAGGGCACGAGTTCAGAAGCTTGATAATGCTCTGATAGCCAGGTTAGTACTACTAATACAATACCGCGATAGAAGAGGGATCATGGCTTACATCCTGAGTCAGGTTGGTACAGTAACTGAGGTGCACCCTCTCAAGGCAGCTCTGGCTGGTGCTATAGTCGCTCCCGATGATGTTGCCAGACGCATCCCTGCGCATTCGCGGCCGGCGGTTCGCGTTCGCCAGGGCCAGGACACTGGCGTCGGTGATGTTAGAACATTTTACAAGCCCGATTCTCTTGAGCTTGGGCAGAGCAGCCAGTTTCGTAACCGAGTCGTCCGTCAAGAGCGTGCAGCAGCCGAGATCAATGTAGCGAATTCGGTTGCACGAATTCACGAGACGTTTGACGGCATCATCCGTGATGTGTCCACAGTGGCCGAGGTGGAGATAGTGTAAGTTTTTCCCGAGCTTCGAGATGGCGTAGACGGCTACGTCCGTGATGTTGCGGCACTTCTGCAGCACGAGATTCCGCAGTCGCGGCGCCACCTCAACGATCTTCTCCACGGCGCGGTCTGTAAGCCTTGTGCAAGAGCCGAGGTTGAGAATGCGCAGATTCTCATAAGTCCTGTTGGGAGGTAGCGAGAGGAAGGCGGAGTCATCGACCAAGTCGCAGTTGGCGAGATGGAGCTCCCGGAGCGACTTTCCCTTGGTAAGAACCCTGCTGACCGGTTCGTTGCCGATCTCTCGACACTGGTGAAGATCGAGCTCGAGAATATTGGGACAATTTTCGGCAAAGGCGAGGACTGCCTCGTCGGTAATCTGAGTACAGTTGTTGAATTTGAGCTGCGAAAGGCTGTCAGTTGGCATGTGCACAATAGCTTGGTTCAAGATGTAGACTAGAAGTAGCGCTGCCTACCCGCTTGATCTGTCGACAGTTGCGAGCAAGCTGAATGAGACTCTCATTCGAGATTCTGCGGCAGCCCGACACGTTCAGGCCTTGCAGACGTGGGCAGTGCTTGGCGATGGCATAGATAGAGGTTTCACTGATCTGGTCATTGAAAGCGACGTCCGCGGTCGTCGACGAGGGGCCCATCGAAACATCGAGCGAATACAGACGACTGCTGCTCGATACCAGGGCGATGACTCCCAAGTCCGTCAGGTTGGCACAGCCCGTAAGGGTGAGGCGCTCAACCCGCGTACACGCAGCCAGTGGCATCACGCTGCCGTCATTAACTCTCCCGGCGAGGGCAGACAGGTTCAGGCGCTTGACGAAGTCCCGGTAAGCAAAGTAAGGATTCTCGAGGGCGAGCGTCCTGCAGATGGATTCGTGTTTCTTCCATGTTGTGCAAGATGGGCGGTGCCAGAGGAGGTCGACGGCATTGCGTGACCAGCGCTTGCAGACCAACATCACGTTGAGAAGATCCGACGGCGTATTGAGCCTCGCGAAGATGGCGATCAGTAGCTCGTTCGGCAGGCGGTCGATGGGCTGGATGCACTCGTCGTCGGACACGTGCATATCCTGAAGGTTGGGCATGCCGAGAGAGGACTGAGAGTCGTCTGCAGCGAGAAAAAAGTCGGACTCTTCGTTGTCAGGAGGGACGGGCGACGTTGAAGACGAGGTCGACCGCGATTCTTCCTGCGGCTGCTGGGCCGTCTCGGTCTCTGGTTCAGCATCGTTGAGCACGCCGCGCGCGCCCCGGTCGTCGGCGACCATCCCGGCGTCGACTCGTTGGCTCATGGGCGCTGCTTTCTTTGCTTATCTCCGGAGCGCTGCCGCGATGTTGCGGTGAAAGTTTTGGGATGATAGGAGGTAGGGCGATCGAAGGGCGGATAATGTGGAGAGGGCTGTTGGCCAACCCCGTTAATAATGGTTCAAGCCGGGAAGGGCCTTTGTTGGGGTGACGGGTCTGACGGAAGTTGACGGTGGGTGCCCCGGCCCAAAATAGCCTGGGTTCGAGCGGGCTGCTGGGAAGGGGCAGGAAGACCAGGGGGCCTGTAGCCTGTAGGACCAACAAGGAGCAGGTGTCTGAAACGAGAGCTGCGCTGCACGGAATGACCTGGGATGAGAAGGCGACCGAGCGAAGCGTGACCGACTGGCCCGTTCGGTTGAGAGCGAATACCACGAATAGGCGGAAGCAAATAGAGTTGTTCTCGATGAAAGCAATGGAGTTTCGGTTCTTTGCTGCAATGCGCCGACCTCTTTCTAGACGATCGAGGGATGTCGGCAAGGGATATGCTGTGGTAACGTAAGGTAAGGCCTCTTGTGGCTGTTGCAGGACGGAAACTTGGTAGATCGAAGGGACTGGTTGACGGGCTGCACTGGGCTGCAGCGTAAGGCGGCCAAGCGGGTGGGGCAAACTTGGTTGGCTGCTTCCCAAATGATCATACCGTAAGGTCAACTGGCCGTTTCTTGTGATTACCACGAGATTGAAACGTCGCTACGGATAGATCGGTCGGGGACTCGGGATGATGTGGAATTGGTCAAACCGAGCTTATTGGAGTTATTGAATCGGCAAATGTTTGGCTAATGCGTAGAGAAAGCAGCAATGGAAGGAGAAGCAATGGAAGTAACCATACCGTACTTCGGATACCTACGCGTGGTACATAGGTACCTATATACAGTACTAACGTAAACTGTGGACGTGATGACAACTCCAGGGCTGCTTGCATTACCTCACGAGGAGCGCATGAGATGCCATGACTTGATCAGTGTCGTAGGCCGATGTGACGCCGAATAAGACACACAGAACAATGTACCTACCGTACTCACGTAGTGCAGCCTGCGCGATCCCGAAATTCAAGTATACGGACAGCTCGGGCGACCAGACGTGACTCTGAATGACCGTCAAGTTCCCGTAATAAATCCCCCGCCTACCCGCAAGGCCACATGCGAGGCTGTTGAGTGCGGCTTAGCCCGTTCATATGTCCCGCTATGACGTCCATCCCGCCAAGACCGCGACACTGCACCTCTCCGCTCGTACCTTAGGTGCTCAACTTGAGCTTTTGGAGGAGAGCATGACAAGAGGCCGGTTTTTAAGGCGCTAGATAAGGTAAGCCAGCAGATAGACCTAACTGCCTTTGCCAATAAGACCCCGCGATCTCCTTCGGCTCGAATGAAGAACAGTTGAGAACAGACTTACACTACGGAGTACCTACGGTTGATTTTCGACTTCTCCTGCAAGCCGGGGCACAAAGTACGGTACGGACTGTAGTAACAACAGGCTTGGCACGCCGGACCCACATGATGTGATTTGTGTAGCTGCCGAGTGCCGACAACACCTGACTTCCGCAGTCATGAGAAGAGTCAAGGCTCAGGAGAAGGAGAGCCGACCGTTCTGGTTCTGAGAACCTCCGACAGCACCATGTTTCGGCACACCGCACTCCGACTTGCTAGGCCGGCAAGAACCGCGCCGTTTGTAACACATGCGCCCAGGCGCACTCTATTCTCTCGTCGCGCCGCGAGGTCAAGCCGGCCAGTCGAGAACCTGAACCTCCAGCGCCTGTCGCAGCAATCCGAAGAATACCACCGCAACCGGCGCATTTTTCTCTGGTGCGGAGCCATTGCCGGCGTGGTGTCCTTCATCTACACAGCTTATAAGCTTAAAGTCGAGCTATCAAAGCCTGCCAAATTCGACACCAACCTCGCACCATCAGACCCGCTCGCAGGTGCCAGCGCGGCGGACCGTAAAGTAGTAGTCTACGATGAGGAAGGCGACGAGATCGTGCCGACCGGCAACAGCACGGTACCAACCTTCCCGCGCAGGATTAACCTCCCTTCCTTCACAGCGCCACTGTCCACCACTTCCACATCCGAGGCCGCCACCTCCCCGGGGATAACCTCGCCTTCCGACACCACTGAATACACGCTCGTCGGCCTCGGCTCGCGCACGGTGACCTTCATCAACCTCCAGGTCTACGTGGTGGGCTTCTACGTGGCCACGGCCGACATCGCGACGCTGCAGAACGCCCTGACCAAGAAGGTCAACCACATGGCGACGACGCTCGTCCCCAACGAGCGCGAGCAGCTCCGCAGCGCGCTCCTCGACCCGGCCGAGGGCGAAAAGACGTGGGACGAGCTGCTCGCGGCCGGCATACCCGCGCGGTCCGCGTTCCGGGTCGTGCCCGTTCGCGACACCGACTTCCACCACCTCCGCGACGGCTTCGTACGCGCCATCCAGGGGCGTGCGGCGGCGCTTTCCGGCAAGCGTGGGCAGCCTGGAGCTGCGGAGGACGAGGCTTTTGGCGAGGCCATGCGGCAGTTCAGGGCGGTCTTCAACCGCGGGAGCGTGCCCAAGCGGAGGGAGATGCTGCTTGTGAGGGACGAGACGGGCCGCTTGAGCATTTCGTATGATGCGGGCGCCAGCAAAAAGGAGCAGCGTCCCGCCGGCAGGCAGTTGATTGGTGTTGTAGAGGACGAGCGGGTGTCAAGAGCGCTGTGGCTGAATTACCTGGCGGGGAAGAAGGTGGCTAGCGAGGCAGCGAGGAAGAGCATTGTGGAGGGTCTTATGGAGTTTGTGGAGAGGCCCGTTGGCACCGTTGCGTCACAGGTAGTTCCTGTTGTGAATGCGAAGGTGTGATCTGGACCATGTGGTCGTGTCCTTCAATCGTCTGTATGAGTACCAAAGCAGGAATTGCTAACTGGCCGCATAACGACGGCCTTGTACACTGAGAAATATACATGAACACCGTGGGCATATATAACCTGTCTATTATCCTTGGGTATCCCTAGTTTAGCCGCTGAAGCAACCAATATCCAGCGTTCAGAGAGCACCGGCCTCCTTCAGCAGCTCCTCGATCTTCTTGCCGTTCTTGCCGTTCTTAACGACGTCCTCGAGATCGGAATTGCCGCCAATGTGGACCTTGTTGATGAAGATGTTGGGCACGGTGCGCTGGCCCGTCATCTGTTGAAGCGCGTCCTGGATTGTATCGCCGTCGCTCTCTTGGTTGAGTTCGATAGCCTTGTACTTAGCGTTCAGCTCGTCGAGGATGCGCTTGGTGTTGTTACAGTAAGGGCAGTACGACTTGCTGAAGACCACTGTGAGGAGCCAAGTCAGAATTGGCCGTTCCGGACGTGTTTTAAAGTGGAAGATATACGTACTGACAGCATTGTCATCGATCAGCTGCTGCGCTTTCTTCTGAGCGGCTTCCATGGTTACTGAAGAAGTTGTGCCGAATAGTCTTCGAAAGATGAAGGACATCAGGTTGATGCGGGGTGGTGATGTTCGAGATAGAGCCGACGAGGAAATGAGGGGCAGGTGGGCTCGTATTTAATGGACCGAAATTATACACTGCAGTACCGGTTAGATGCAGAAAAAATGGCAATGGCAATGCAGAAGATAATTGCGACATTCAACGGAATTTGTCATCCCGAAGACCGCCCGCGGTGCCGAACCGGGAAGTTTCAAGCACCTTAGACACTGGCGTATTACCTACAATTCTCATCAATCTGCCTCCGTAAAACAACTGGAATCACATCCATAGATGTTGAGATGCAAAAGATGCTGACCAAGCGTCAGGCTTTGGGAGGCCTTTCCATTTGTGCGGACTCTGCGGAGCGCCGCATCAAGCCGATGACGCAAATGGTCTGTGCGGCGGGGTGCCCGATAGTAAAAAGGGAATTTGCGTCTACGAGATGATCTGGAGAAGACCAGATCAGTGTTGAGATGACCCGGCCGATACGTAGCCGTCCTGGTAAGGTGGCTCAGCCGGGTACATCGTGTACAATAGATCAAAAAGTGAAGCTATTCAGATGCCATTGCCGCCTCCAGGCAACTTTGAGTACGAGCAATGACCTCATGCTCGTCCCATGATTTACCTAAGGCGAACCGATGGACCTCAAGATCTTCGGCATGGCTTCGCGGATGACTGTGGTCCAGTCGGTTGAGCGAAGCGTCCAAGCGGCTCAAGCAAGGCAGGGTGATCCTCTATGTACGGATCCGAACTCAAGGGTCCTGCCCCCATCAACCTGCCGGCCATGGTGGTAGCAGATGCCCAACGCGGCATCAGGCACATGCCCGCCCCACCACCGAAAAGGCCAACCAATGCTGCTCGGGGTCGAGTTTGCTGAATCAACCGAACCTAGTGTATTCATTTGTTTCATGTTATGACATCGCAGGACATACAATCGGGTATCAGCGGGATGATGAACGACCGTTGTGAGGTGGATATCGCCGTTCTTGTAGTCGAGTGCAGCTTGGTGACCAAGAACTGCCCTGCGCGGCCAGCGACTCAATTCATTGGGAACTGCTGAGTGGGGCACAACTTATACCCCCTGTCCGGACAGTCCGGGGTGGCCCGAGTGGGGTCCTTCTGGCACGGGATCGGCCCAGAAACTCTGAAATTTAGCAGCCCTAGCCATCAAACGACCGCGCACCCCAGCTGGCCGAGAAGAGACAAACAAGACCCAACAACTGGAGTTGGCCTACTTGCCCCAAAAGCGGCGATCATCAAGAGACGCCTTGTTTCTTGCCAATTCCGGAACCTTGGTGTGAGGACAACTCAACCCTGTGCTCCCATCCCCAAGGCGGAGACGCCTAGCCTCAATCCAGTCATCGGCAGCCCGCGTGCTTCTGCTCCGACTGATGCATCCGCCTAGCAAGCATCGCACTACCTTGCGCCGCCTTCACCGTACCAGGCGACGAACAGGCTGATATTTATATTCCGCCTGCCCCTGCAACCTTCTCTTTCTTCCTCTTCTCCCCTAGGTCGACGGCGTCTCGTCGTAAGACCACCTCACAGTCGCAAACGTGGCTTCCGGTTCGGGAATCTGGGCATCACCAGGTGTCGCTTTCGCCAACCTCGCTGGCAACTTTACTCTGGTCCTGCAGAAGTTTCCCCCGTCGCTGCAAAGCTACGTTGATAGTGCTGCCGATCGTCTGGCTGGTGCAACCGAGTATCTCCAATCAACGGCCGGCATCTCACCGACTTTGCTCTACGGTACAGCCGGCGCCATCTTGTTGCTCGGGGCCGTGCCAGCAATCGCAGCACGGAACAGATCAAACACCAACAACTCCAGAGGCATGTCGCGCTATGGCTTCTCAGCCCGAGGGGCGATGTCGCCCTTCAACTCCTTCAGCTCTCAGGACGGTGTCCCCACTGTGACCAGTGAGGATTTCAGCTACATCACGTCAGCTGATCTGGAGGACCATGGTCTCGACATCCCGCAGTCCTACACGACCCATTCCCAGGTCGTCGACCACGACCACTATTCGCGTTCGGCGCCTGGTCCGGCCTATAGCCGCCCCCGGCCCGAGGACGATGTCTTGCTGATTAAGCACCAAGGCGTGACATATCCGGAGCACTTCCCAGCATACTCCATCGGCGATGGAATTCTCTTGGTCAGCGACGTGCGGGAACGGGTCAAGATGATCCTGGATCTCTCCGACCGCCAGGCGAAGCGACTCAAGCTGTACTACAAGGGCCGGCGTTTAAAGGACCTCGATGTGCCTGTGCGTAAGTACGGTGTCAAGGACAACAGCGAGATCTTGATGGTTCTGGGGGATTCGAATCAAGGGAGCGCCAGCGAGAGCGGCGAGGAGGTCGTAGTCGTTGGGCGTGACGGGCGGGAGAGGTACGAGAGGTCCCCCAGAGTTGGGAACTCCAGCAGGTGGGAAGACCGAAGCCCGCGGGACAGCACCTCGCAAGGCGGTCTAGAAGTTCCTGCAGGGGGCAACAGGAGGAGAGCCACCTCGAGGGTCCGAACTCAGTCACCCGGATCAGCGGCTTCTACGGCCAGTGCCCCCGCCGCTGTTCCCGTCGGGGTTCCCGGAGGCCCCATCGAGAAGCTGAATGCCATCGCCGCCGACTTTAACAGCAAATATCTACCCGCTTGCAAGGAGTTCACCGCCCGGCCGCCCAGAGACACCAAGAAGCGCGCCGAGGAGCACCGCAAGCTTTCGGAGACCGTCCTGCAGCAGGTGCTATTAAAACTTGACGCGGTCGAGACAGCTGCGGAAGAGGGAGCACGAGCCTACCGGAAGGAGCTCGTGAATCGGGTGCAGAAAGTTTTGAAGGATCTCGACGATGCGAAGAGCTTGAGCTGATCACCGGTGTTGCTCCCGCCGCTTGCCGAATAATTCTGTCGCTTCCATCCGACTGATGTGTCCCAGGCCGGCTTGACAGCCGTCCGGCATCTTACCCTCCGCTTCTAATCACACAACACTTCTCGACTCACTTTCCGAATGCGTACATCTTGGCGGGCTTGTACGGCGTTTGTTTTTAATACTCCTGTATTGTACATATTCAGGCGTCCGCGTTGTGGGGTGCGGTTACCTACATTGAATAGCGATAAGAGCCTATAGCATTCTCCTTTGTTGAGCGGGCATTCGACCTCCCCGTCGCTGGAGGTTTCTGATGGATTACACTGTTTCTCTCTGAGTCTGACATTTGCAGGCATTCGGCGCCACACATCAGTGTCCTTTCCCATACGAAGATCTGTTGATCAATAAAGCAGTCCTTTTCCCCCTCGAACCACCCCCGTCAGTACAGCCAGTTGAACCTCCCGTGCAATATGTATTGTTGTCAACATGCATGATCATGCACACTCATAACGTGACAGGTTGCCTTGTGGGAATCCTTGAGGCTGAGTTACACCATCGGCGAGAGGGCTTCTCATGTCGGCACCGTTGCGCATCTGCTGATTGCCCGCTCCATGGGCTCAGAGGCGGGGTTTCGTCCACGCGTCAGAGGTGCGGGACCGCGGAGTTTTGGGCGGCGTCATATCCTGCTCCTGGCGCGCCATACTCAACCGCTATTTGTTTTCTTGTTCTAGCAACATCAGTTGCATCTGATAGGCACTGATATTCTCCATAGTCCATCCCCTTAATCCGTTCCAGTTGGGCGCACCGGGGTTCATGTTGCTTGTTGTTATCGATCAGATAAGCGAGTCAAAGGGCTCTTGAGCAATCTTGGCGGTAGAAACCGGAGTGCGGAGTACGGATACTACCTAGTGTATTGGATGTAGGTGGGAGGTAGGTATGGAAGCGGAAGAAAAGGCTTCCGAAGCGGTGCGGATCCCACTGCTGAATTCTCGTCCCCACCATGCGGAAGCCGTAGGTCTAACCCTACCCTCTACTGCCTCAGGCAGAAAATCACCGCCCGCTCGTGGACCTCCACCCCATCCAAATTCAGCCTAGCGCATTTCGGACCGGCCGACTGCACAAGGCCAATTTTCCAGTGCACACAAAAAAGCCGAAGACCGACCATCAACATCATAACGGTAAGGAAGCAGCCAGCTGCTACTCGATCAGCCGGAGTGTGACTGATCAGCCCTTTCTTTCTTTCTTTTGCCCAGGTCACCACGGCAAGATGTCTTCGTTCGAGTCTGTGGTATGTTGATTCTCGTCCTCTTCCATTGACGTATCCCCAAAGGTCCGCGAGGTGCTGGTCGTCTCAACTTCGCGACGCAACACGAAACGACAGAGCGCACGGAATGACGACCAGGTGACGGCAGGGCTTGGGGGACTGAGAGAATTGCATGTGCAGCAACGCTGACAGCACTTTGCGCAGGTTGTGATCGATGGCAAGGGCCACCTGCTTGGCCGCCTGGCCAGCATCGTCGCCAAGCAGCTGCTCAACGGCCAGAAGATCGTCGTCGTCCGTTGCGAGGCCCTCAACATCTCCGGCGAGTTCTTCCGCGCGAAGCGTACGTACCTCCTTTCTCGCCCTCGATATCCGGTGGATCTGCGTATTCGAGAGTTGGACAACATATCCGAACTGGAACCTCGAGCCCCGATGTTTTGGGTCCTGGATATCAATGAGGGATGGCGACGGAAGAGAGAGAAAGAGGCTGACACGATCGGGAACAGTCAAGTACCACGCGTACCTTCGCAAGATGACCCGCTACAACCCCACGCGCGGCGGTGAGTCGAGTGTCCGCGATCCGCTGTTAAAATGCCGGCGATTCTGACAATCCGCAGGTCCCTTCCACTTCCGCGCTCCCTCCCGCATCTTCTACAAGGCCGTCCGCGGCATGATCCCCCACAAGACCGCCCGCGGTGCCGCCGCCCTTGAGCGCCTCAAGGTGTTCGAGGGTGTCCCGCCCCCGTACGACAAGAAGAAGAAGATGGTTGTTCCTCAGGCCCTCCGTGTCCTGAGGCTGCAGCCTGGTCGCAAGTACTGCACCGTCGGCCGCCTCAGCCACGAGGTTGGCTGGAAGTACCAGGACGTTGTTGAGAGGTGGGTTCAGCATGGGAGATTTGGGACCGCGTCCCTGCGGCTAGATGCGCATAAGAATGCTGACACTCTGGCAGACTGGAGGAGAGGCGCAAGGCGAAGGGCACTGCCTACTACGAGCGCAAGAAGCTGGCCGCGAGGCAGCTCTCCGAGGCGAAGAAGACGGCGCAGGTCGACACGAAGACGGCGGAGGCCCTCGCGGCCTACGGCTACTAAACATAGTGGCCAAACTCGCACACCCTCCTTATCCTTTATGCGATTTCACTCTAGATTGGCGCGGCGGTTCAGGGCATCAACTTCATTTGCGTGGATGGTGGGGAATGGCAATGGCTATCCGACTCACTGTGCGTCCCAGGCTTGGGACCTCATAAATACATGAGATCAACCAATGGAGACCGAGGTCGCACTGGATGAAGAAAGCACAAACCGAAAAAAACAATACCCGGCTCTGGCGGATAGGCGTTCGTGATGTTGTTGGGCAGAGGTGCTGTTCAGTCAGGCCCCTCGCGATAACCGATGAATGCCTTGGTCAGCGCCCCGCTCATGCTGAATTAAATGATCATAATCTGTACTTGTGCCAGTTTAGCTGTGAATGCGAAGGGACGAGCTCTGGGGAGCGGGCTGATGACCTGGCAGTGGTTTTTGGTCGATGGACATGCATAATAAGTGAATCTCCGGTGACCGCTGCCAGTTTGTCGCCAGTTGATGGCATATCGGAGATGGTGGGTACAATGACGTACTGATATGGCCTAGAACGCCCAAGTATGCCGAGAGCTCGAGAGTACTTTGGACTGGAAGGCCCAGTCCGGCTCAGTCACGATATCAAACGCGTTCAACGGAACTGTCTGGTATGCACATGCGGCATAAACCCCGTTTCTATATCTCTACCTAGGCAGTGCAGAACCTTGCGGGTCTTGATGGCGTTATGAAAAGCCTATCACGTTGTCCTTGCGTAAGGTAGTCAAACAGTTCTATGGTTTGTACGAGAGATCTTGCTTATCAATGCAACTCTCTAGGACGAAGCTAAATTATCGTTTCCTCACATTGTACTTTTGAGCCAAGTAACTCAAATATTTTCTCTCTCTTTGCTATCCAGCCGAGAATCTACATCATCTAACCCATATCACCAAATCCTCTCTCGGATAGGAGCCGCTCACGGCGAAAGGTCCGTTTACGGGGATCCTAGTGGGCTTCGATTCCCGCCGGATCATACCGATGGAGGCTCAGGGTGACAGCATTGTCGTTCCTCAAGTGTGACTTGTGTGTCTGTAATATCCCTTGGCACTCAGGTATCATGGTTACAAGATGTAATGGTGGCAAAGGAGTAAATCATACTAGTATCTTTCTAAGCCTACTAGCAGTAAAGTATCGCTCTGATATCGAGGGTACCTTCTGATGTCCGGTACCTGACACTTCACTTACCTAGTCCGAATTCTCAGCTCATGACTCACAGTCAGGCAAGGTGCGGAAACAGTCCTTTCATGGCTTCAATCAATTCACGGCTTTGGTGATGTCCATGTGTGGGCAATAGAAGTTCCCTTCCTTTGACAGCAACCGGACTTTATTAAATCATTCCGGCAAAGCTAGCAAACTCTCCGAATCAAATAGTTGAAACGGTGTCATTGGACATTCGGACAGGTCCGCTACTAAGGTAGAACAGATTGTCACTGCTGTGTACACAGCCGGGACGGTGGGCTTACACGGTTTATTACGACAAGTGTCGTCAATCATCATCGACAAGAAACCGGGTACAGAAGAGAGAAAAGATGAGGGCAAAGACTACCTAGACATGGACCACAATAGGCTTAGTAGTTAATAGGCAAGGTTGGTAGTCTGAGAATTTACGTAAGTCTGGCAGGCTACTGAAACACCTGAACAGCGATGCTCGAGTAGAAAACCAGAATAGTTCCAAACAACCAAGCTGTGAACAATTAGCCAACGGAACATAATGAGCCTAGACACTTCGCTTTCCAGTTGCTCTCATACGGCATCAAAAGATGAGAGATCCCACAGACATGCTTCACCGAAGCCAGGAGGTTAATGCGCTTTGTGTATGGCCTGCGCAGCGCGAATCGCTTGTCTATAGCCATTCTCCATGCGCTGACATCCAGACACAACTATCACTTGTCATACTTAGATCCTACAAATACAGTCCCTCCGGCTCGCCCTCCTGCTTTGTACGCAACACTCTTTCTCTAGCAGCCCGGAAGTCAGCCATCTGCACGCGCATGCGGCGCTCCCGCAGAGCCATGAGCCCGGCCTCGGAGCAGATGGCTTTGATGTCGGCACCCGAGAGGTCGTCCTTTTGGGCAATAAACTCCTCCAGGTCGACATCCTCGTTTAGCGACATCTTGCTGGTATGAAGGGCAAAGATCTTGCGCTTGGTGTTCTGGTCTGGGTTTTCGAACAAGATCTTGCGATCGATACGGCCGGGACGGATCAGCGCCGGGTCGAGCGTCTCGATCTTGTTGGTAGCCATAATGACTTTGACGTCTCCACGGTCGTCGAAACCGTCCAGCTGGTTCAGAAGCTCCAGCATAGTCCTCTGCACTTCACGTTCGCCACCTGACGTGGAATCGTACCGCTTTGTACCGATAGCGTCGATTTCGTCAATGAACACGATGGATGGGGCGTTCTCAGCGGCAACCTTCGGAAATGTCAGTAACAGAATCTTGGGGCTCCTCGATGGGTGCTTACCTGGAACAACTGGCGGACCAGCCTGGGGCCATCTCCGAGGTACTTCTGGATCAGCTCACTACCAACAATTCGCAGGAACGTGGCAGAAGTCTGGTTGGCCACGGCCTTGGCTAGCAGCGTCTTCCCTGTGCCGGGTGCGCCGTAAAGAATGACGCCCTTCGGCGGTTTAATACCCATCTCCTCATAGAGCTCCGGATGCAACAGCGGCAGTTCGACGGACTCGCGGACTTCCTGAATTTGTTGCTCCAAGCCGCCGATGTCCGCATACGACTCTGTCGGCGCCTTATCCAGCTTCATGACGCTCACAGCCGGATCCGTATCGTCTGTGAGAACACCGACAATGCTGACTGTCTTGTGGTGCAGTAGCACGCTTGCACCTGGCTCGAGCAGATCCTTGTCGACGAAACTCATAATGCTGACGTAGTACTCTGGCCCGGTGGTGCTGGAGACGATGGCGTGGTCGTCGTCGATCATCTCCTCGAGTGTGCCAACGCCCATGGGACTGCCTCGCATGTCGTCGACACGGCTCCGTTCATCCGCCATACGGTCAGTGCTGGCATCTAACTCCGAAGTGGGCGCTGCATCATCCTTGGCAGTCTTCGCCTTCCGAAGACGCTCCTGGTTCTCGACATATTCCTCTTCGAGCAGCAGGTGATCGTGGATGCGCTGCATCCGCAGCAACCGGAGTTTGCATCGGCTCGTCGGGTAGACGGGAGGCAGCTTGGCAGCAGCACTCGTGCCAGCAGCCTTCTTCTTCTTGCGGCCGATCCGCGTGGTAGGCCTCGGAGGCGGCTCATACTTAGGCTTTTCCTTCTGTTGAGGCGAGCGTTGTTAGCAACGCGCTGAGTTGTGGCGGGCGTCGTTGACGCCGTTTCATCACCAGAAAGCCAACCTTCTTGTCCTTGTCATCCTTTCCATCCCTTCCGCCGCCCATTCCCGATTGATTTTGACCCTGCAAAATTCGTCAGGCTGCGTCCGATGAGGAGATTTTGCCAGGGACTAGCTACCATGATGTCGGTCCTGCACTCCCAACTGGAGGGTTTGCGCTAAGGATGATCGTGGAATCTGCAGAAAGGCTGGTGCGCGAAATGTGCTTATGGGGCGCTTCTGAAGAGGGTACGCCGGCGGCGGCCGACGGTGCGATCACGGCGGCTTCGAAGTCCTTTGGCTAGGTAGTTGGACTGTGGAAGCTTCCACACGTTGCTGCGAGCTTGGTTGGGATGAGGCTCCAGCAAGTCCAGGCGGCAGAGTGACGCGCCAACAAGGGTGGCGGGCGAGCAATGGAAGCCTAAACTTCCAGGCAATTATTCGTAGTGGGCCCACTGGAGGTCGATCTTATCGCCCCTTGCAGCTATCTTGATAACTTTGGAAAGCGCCAAGCTGTCTCGAGTCTCGGGAATCTCTGTGGTAACTTTTCAGTGACAACGATACTAATAAAGCTCGCGGGGCCTGCACCATCGGAGCTAGGCGTCTCTCTCTCTTTGTTGACGGCCTAATATAAGACTCGATTTATCCAGGAGCACGGGCAGCGGGTGGTCCAGACTCCAGACCGGAAAGCGCAGTTCGTCACTCGCACACTGTGAGGGGAACGGAAGCTGCAGCCAGCCCAGTACCTACCTTGCTGAATTATCCCACTGGCACCTCTCAAGGTTCCGACGAAGTGTCTGGCCAACAACCCCCTCTTGTTGCGTAGGAAGATACCGTGACATGTCTTACACATAGCATAGCGAATCTTTTTTCCCACGCTTCGCCACACGTTCTTTTACTCTTCAGTGCGGTTGCGGCCGGTTTGCCCTTGCTGATTTCATCGCACTATCAACCCCTCCAGAGCATTTATGTGGCTCTCGTTCCCCGCCACTTTCACTGACTGACTTTACACCTTGAACCTAACCACTCCGTCCCGGGCCATAACCACCAGCGATCTGTCATCCGCCTGTACACATCGCCGACCATGGCCACCACTCGCGAGCGCCGGATTGCGAAAGAGTTAGCCGACATTCACAACGACAAGGACAATTCGGGCGTTTTCGCGCATCCAGTGGACCCCTCGAACCTTACGCACCTTAAGGGCACCTTTCCGGGGCCGCCCGACACGCCGTATGCTGGGGGAAAGTACGAGATTGATATAATCATTCCGGACATGTACCCCTTCAAGTCTCCAATTATGAAGTTCGATACAAAGATTTGGCATCCCAATGTCAGCAGTGTGACGGTAGGTTTACAAGCCGGGCCCAGCCCATTCTCCTCTCCTCGGGCCGGCCCCAGAATACACATGCAACAATGGAGTAGACTGGGTAACCGAAGACATGGTTGAGGCTAATCCTTACTGAAGGGAGCTATCTGTCTTGACACGCTCGGCACGGGCTGGTCGCCTGTAGGCACGATCAAGATGGCGTTGATCTCGCTTCGGATGCTGCTCGAATCACCGAACCCTAAAGATCCCCAAGACGCCGAGGTCGCTAAGATGATGATGGAACACCCTGACGAGTTTGCACGGAAGGCGCACGACTGGGCTGTCAAGTACGCAGGAGCGCCGAGGCAGGCCATCCTCACACACAATTACCAAGCGACGCCGCCCCCAGTAGCAAAGAACGACCCTTCAAGGTACGTCTTTGTGGCGACGCAGGCTTCTACGGGATAGGAAGAGTCACGGGAAAGCCGTCAAAGGCCCAAAAGGCCACGGGGGTGGAAGGCTGCTAACATAAATGAAATGCAGATACCAAGGGTATAATAAGGACCTAGTGGACCGGTTCGTCAATATGGGCTTCGACGTTGACGCCGTGGTCGAGGCATTCCTCTATGTGGGTATTGACCGCAATGGAGGCGAGGATTACGAGCTGGAGGAAGCTTATATGGGGGATATCACCGCTCGACTTCTCGGTGAGCAGTAAACACTGTTCATGTCGGCAATCGCGCCGACTCTCGCAGAGATGAGCCCGGCCGATTCAGGTAACTGGGCTCGGTCCCGCGTCAATGGACGGCCAGTGCAACGGGCGGTAGGCGTGGGGACTTTTGAAATGGGTCCCGTGAACAGCGGGATCACCTCGAGCAATACAACTAGAGATCGTCACGTTTCCTATCAGCATCGGGAAAGGAGTTTGGGATGGGGATCTGGGCGGATTCGATGGGATTCTTCACTCCGTTGTCTTTTCTTGCTTGGCTTTTGGTACATAAAGTACAGATGTTGGTGTTCTGGCATGTCACGAAGGTTCAATCGTGACAACGAAATGCATTTACACTGCACCACTCAGCCTGCTGCCCTACTCTAGAAGCTTGATACTGTCATATGCTGCATTGTTGAGGTAGCGTTGTCGAAACAAAGTGCCAAAGAGGTTCTCGGTTCTTGTTGCCCGAAGCGGTACAAGATCCCGATCGTCATGAAAGTCCCAGAAACCGTAACACCCTACGACCTTGAACCTTACTCATCGAACTGACCACAGTTGATGACCGAGTATTCTTACAAAAGACTAAGAGTATCAATGATCGTTTACAGGTTCACCTGAGCTCATCGGCACCGTCCGAACAGGGCTCGGTGTTGCTAAATCTATATCCCCATATGATTTTTAGACGACTGTCACTACTAGGTGCCCAGGCAGCAGCATCTCATGAGTTCCATAACACACAACGGGAAATATGCCAGACCACCGAGTTCCCCAGTCTATAGATTCGATATGCTAGGCTTCTCCCGCTGCCCTGAACGGTTGCTGTGCGCACACCTCTGCCCCGGCAACTAACTCTCTACGTGGATCTTGGGCAGTGTGCATGTTCACTCACATACACAAGAGAAGGAGATCAACAATGTACAAAGCCTGGCACCCGCATCGCATTAACCCACTACAGCGCCAATTTAAAGGAGATCCCGTCTGACGAACTCGTCACGGAGGGCCTTGCCCAGACTAGCCGGCGACCTCTCGACAATGACGCCGGCGGCCTCCAGAGCCTTGATCTTGGAGTCGGCACCGCCCTTGCCGCCGGAGACGATGGCACCAGCGTGACCCATGCGGCGGCCCGGCGGAGCCGAGATACCGGCAATGAAGGACACGACGGGCTTGCCGCCGTTGGTGGTGTTGTTCTCGCGGAGGAAGTCGGCCGCGTCCTCCTCGGCGGAGCCACCGATCTCGCCGATCATGATGATGCCATCCGTCTCCTCGTCCTGGAGGAAGACCTTGAGGCAGTCAATGAAGTTGGTGCCGCTGAAGGGGTCGCCGCCGATGCCGACGACGAGCGACTGGCCCAGGCCGGCGTTGGTGGTCTGGTTCACGGCCTCGTAGGTGAGCGTGCCGGACCTGCTGACGATGCCGATGCGGCCGCGCTTGTGGATGAAGCCGGGCATGATACCGATCTTGCATTGGCCCGGGGCGATGATGCCCGGGCAGTTCGGCCCCACGAGGCGGGTCTTGCTCTGGGTTCGGAGCATGGCCGAGATGCGCACCATGTCTGGCAAGGCATGTTAGAAACGCTGTTCACCGCTGTGGTGCCGTCGGCCAGATTGGCGTACTAACCATGCTGGGGGATACCCTCGGTAATGCATACAACGAGAGGAATCTCAGCGGCGATGGCTTCCTCAATACCAGCGGCGGCGAGTGGGGGCCTGTGTATCGCAGCTGGTCAGCGCCTTGCTTGCGGTTGGATAAGAGGGGATCTTCATACGGTACGAAGATAGCCGTCGCGTTCGCGCCTGTCTCCTTCACGGCGTCGCTGACGTTGGCGAAGACGGGGAGGCCAAGATGCGTCTGGCCGGCCTTCTTGGGGTTGGTGCCGCCCACAACCTTGGTGCCTGGACAAAGACCGCGTATTAGATTCGGTGTGCGCTGGAACTCAACAAAGCCGTTGCTGCTCGTGGGCAGGTAAGTTTACCATAGTCGATCGCTTGTTGCGCATGGAATCTGGATGAGACTCAAGGTCAGTCTGGAACTCCCAAGGCCAGCCCCAACCGCAGAGCGTGTCGCAAACAGCGGGTTGCGATAAGCCGCGCAACAGCGCCAGGATAAGGCGGATGACGTGCGACTTACGTTCCCTGCTTTCCTGTGAAACCTTGGAAGAGAACCTTGGTGTCGCTGTTGATGCGGAGGTTCTGGATCGTGGCGGCGTAAGGGGACGTGGACGAGCTGTAGCTTCTCCGAGCGAGCTGTTTCAGGAGAGCGCCCGCAGGCCGCGATTGCCTTGAGAACGCCTGCATTGTGCTGTGTCCGGGGCGAGAAAGGAACAGGCAGGAGCAGCAATCAGAACGGAAGGGAAAAGGAATTGGGACAGTCGGCCAACGCAAGATGGCGGACCTGGTGGTGAGTTGCTCGGTCAATAATAATGGCATCCAGCGGCCTTCGTCATCCCCCGATCAGAGCGACCTTGTCCAAAATTGTCGCTCACGGGCAGCTCCAACCAACGGGACGGTTTCTCGGGTGCGCAGGGGTCCGCTGCGCTCATTGGTTGGGCTCCGATGTGGTGCCGTGCTTGGCAGCTGCTGCGGTGTTTTCGTTTTTCCGGTAACCACCCGATCGGGCCGAGCTGAAGCAGTGAATGAAGCATGCGGCTCTGTGCAGGGTGACTGCGGGCAGGCCGACTGAAACCAAGTGCGGGGCGGATTTTGACCACGGCCACCGTGAGGTTAGAAATCCCGGTTTGCCCCGCCAAGATTTCAGATCAACCAGATCTTCAACCCTTGAGAACATGACAGCATCGCAGGTTGAGGCGACAGTGAGAAAACGACCAAACGCAGCGGCGCAGCTGCTCCCCGAGAACAAGACCGCACACTGCTCTCAACTTGCTGAGTGTTCGTACAATGGCCACGACAACGGTAACGGCGACGATCCGGAAGAAGGACGCAAACCTTCCCCCGGAAAACGAGCGCTTCCTCCGCTGCTGCGCAGACATCGCCAACACGCTCATCGAAGACCATGAAGCGGCCAAAGATCCCTCTCGTCCCCGGAAAGACATCAACCTCAATACCCTGCGCGCCAAATTTGCAAAAAAGCACAAGATCAACAATGTGCCGCCATTGACTGCTATCATCGCCGCCGTACCAGAACACTACAAGAAGTACATCCTACCGAGGTTGATTGCGAAGCCCATCCGTGAGTCCGTCCGTTGCTGCCGCGGTTCTTTGAACCGTTTTAGACTGATATTTGCTAGGTACTTCCTCTGGGATTGCTGTGGTGGCGGTTATGTGCAAGCCGCACCGGTGTCCTCATATCGCATACACGGGCAACATCTGCGTCTACTGTCCCGGTGGACCGGATTCCGACTTCGAATATAGCACGCAATCTTATACAGGATACGAGCCGACCTCGATGCGGGCAATTCGGGCTCGCTATGACCCCTTCGAGCAGGCCCGCGGGCGGGTCGACCAGCTCAAAGCGTTGGGACATTCGGTAGACAAAGTCGAGTACATCATCATGGGCGGGACGTTTATGTCGCTGCCGGAGTCCTACCGGGACGAGTTTATCTCTCAGCTTCACAACGCGCTGAGCGGGTACGGTACACTGAACGTAGACGAGGCAGTCCGGGCAGGCGAGCAGAGCAGCATCAAGTGCGTGGGCATCACGATCGAGACGCGACCAGATTACTGCCTACAACCTCACCTATCCAGCATGCTGCGGTACGGGTGTACCCGTCTTGAGATTGGCGTACAGTCCCTTTACGAAGACGTTGCCCGAGACACCAACCGCGGCCACACTGTCGCGGCCGTGGCCGAGACCTTCTGCCTCGCCAAAGACGCCGGCTTCAAGGTCGTTAGCCACATGATGCCGGATCTTCCCAACGTCGGCATGGAGCGCGATCTGGATCAGTTCAAAGAGTACTTCGAGAATCCGGCCTTCCGCACCGATGGTCTCAAGATCTACCCAACCCTCGTGATCCGCGGCACCGGGCTGTACGAGTTATGGAGGACGGGGCGGTACCAGAACTACACCCCTAACGGGCTCATCGACCTGGTAGCGCGCATCCTCGCCCTCGTGCCGCCCTGGACGCGCATCTACCGTGTGCAGCGCGATATCCCCATGCCGCTGGTCACGTCGGGCGTCGAGAACGGCAACCTGCGCGAGCTGGCCCTGGCACGCATGAAGGACTTCGGTACTACCTGCCGCGACGTGCGGACCCGGGAGGTGGGCGTCAACGAGGTGAAGCACAAGATCCGGCCCAACCAGATCGAGCTTGTCCGGAGAGACTACACCGCCAACGGCGGGTGGGAGACGTTCCTCGCATACGAGGACCCGAAGCAGGATATCCTGGTCGCGCTGCTCCGGCTGCGCAAGTGCACGGAGAAATACACCTTCCGCGAGGAGCTGGTCGGGCAGCCAACCAGTCTGGTGCGCGAGCTGCACGTGTACGGCATGGCGGTGCCCGTGCATGCGCGCGACCCGCGCAAGTTCCAGCATCAGGGGTTCGGCACGCTGTTGATGGAGGAGGCGGAACGGATCGCGCGGGAGGAGCACGGCAGCGAGAAGATCAGCGTCATTTCAGGCGTCGGGGTGCGCAGCTACTACGCGAAGCTCGGGTACTGGCTTGATGGGCCGTACATGAGTAAGTGGCTGGACGGGAGGCCAGGGCCGGCGGAGTAAACCTGGGGTGCCCTGTAGACGGCAGTGGTCTGCATGGTATCGGATGGTTGCATGAGACTGTACATATCGGGCGTTGGATTGGTCTATGAGTGACACGAGCATAACATGATTTGGAAGGCGTTGGCGGTGGCACATCCGCGGATCTGATACGACTGGATAGAAAAGAATAACCCAGTGTCGTTGAAAGACAGCTGCTCCCTCGGCGACACGGCCATATATGCACACTGCAATATTGCCCTAGCTTTTATCCTTGCTCTTGTCCTCTTCGGTTGCTTGAGATTCCCGTGTGTACTCACGGTCAACGACGCATAGATCGTGTGCCGTTTGCTAATGGAAGGGGTAAAGTTTGTCCGTCTCGGACGGCTGCTCGGCGGCCTTTTGAGACGGTGCACATCAGGCAATATGTTGGTAGATCGTGCTCGGATTCCAGTTGTCCAGTAACGGGACGAGGTGGGAACGGTCATGATATCGTGAGAAAACGGACCTTTGGATTAAGAGATGCTTTGATATATATATAGCTTGTATTCTTGTTAACCTGTTTGTTGCTGTATTGCGAGCTGGTTGGGTTGGTCATCTGGCTAGTGGACGGAATGCGAAATATAATGACTGAGTATTCTGGGGCACACGCACGAGAACGATCGCTTATCCATGCTGAAGATCATAAGATCCTTTAACACCATGTTCTAGAATTAAATCGCATTCTCCTCCCGTTTCTCATATGATATAGCCCTTGTAGATTAAAATTTAGACGTAGCTCGGGGTCGATGTTGATTTCGTGTCGCAAGTTGTTGCAACTTCGGGGAGTACTAATGTATGAGATACTGACAAATCAAGCCTTGTCCTGTTCCCCTCTGCAACCTTCCGCACACCCTTCTTGACCGGACTCCAGCGAGTCACAGGGAGAAATTTGCGGGCCATGTGAGAGGGTTATGGCGTTGAGCAGCAGTGTGTATAGCGTCCAACGGGCTTGGAAGGAGCCGACAAGCTAAGACTGGTGCCTCGAATTCGCCGACAGCAGAACAGTCTGGTGTGAAATCGTGTCGGAGGAAGATCTTATCTCCAGGTATCCGACTCCTGTCGGCGAAGTCTCGTTGAAGAAGGTCTCAGGATGAAGAAAGTACGTCAGGAATCGCTGGAGTGGTCGCCCCTACCGCGCGGCAGCGGGCTGTCCCGCTGTCTGTTAGCTATAGCGACCCTTGGGAAGCGTGTTTCGATTGGGCAGAGTTTACCTACTTGCCAGCTGTCGAAGAGACGTGAAGAGACGTGTGCTAGACCGTGCTCGGATTTCAGTTGGCGAGTGACGGGACGAGGTGGGAGCGGTCACCGGGAGACGACGGCAGAAGGGCCAGCGCAAGGCTCCTGCATCACGGTACTGTTTCGGTTGGAACTTGGGCTCGGGTACCGTGGGACGACGCACAAGGTTGCTGCTCGTGGTGGTCGGTAGCCCAACACTTCACCAAGGGAGCAATGTAAGAGGAGCGCTTGAAGTCTTATCGCCCCAATTCACAGACCATCCCTGCCACTGAGGCCGCCGCTGAGGCTCTGCCGGTCTAGACGGGGTGTCTCGACAGACGGAATCGTCCGATAAGACGGCGATCAAGATTCTACAATGTGCTCGAGCTGAGACGAAGGGCCCGCAAAACGGAAAGGAAAACTTTGGCCTAGCCCAGGGCTTGTGGCCCCGTGCTCTTCTCTTGGGGCAGCCTCGTGGCGTCGGTCATTTCCGCCGCCCATTCAGAGAGGACGATGGGGATCTAGAACCGCATGGATCCCGCCCGCTGTCCCCTGCCTCTGTGATCGCCATCGGTCTGCGGGACGGAAACTCGGTGTATCGGCCTCGAGCGTGAGGTGGCCTGCTCGCAACTTGGCTCAACTCCGTGCTGCTTGCCACAGAAGCAATCTGTTCGCCAGGAGAATACTGATGCAAATCACCGGATTTGGTGCGTCGGAACTGGGGATCCATGAGAGCCATTCATTTGACTCCCTCGGCACTTCCATGGGGCTTGAGTCTTCAGGACCCAGGTGTCCATGACGATGTCTGAATCCGTTGACCTGCATCAGCTGGATGGCAGCTGCCCGAAGCAATGCTGGCCAAACACGTCGTCGGCGGTGTGCCGCGTTGAGACAGGCCCCGCCTCACGGGTGCAGAACCCTATTCATCCAACCTAAGAGACTCATCCATTATGTACATAACGTTATCAGGTACCGAAAGTCCTTCCTGCTTTGGCAGCGGGACGAGAGACAGAGCGCCGCGGGTCCGGCAGAAGAATACAGGGGCCGCAAGAGTTCCAGAAGCCGCCGGGCTTGACCCAAAGATAGCTAGCGAGCTTCGGAGTCCCATGTCCTCCGCCTCTGCGGTGCGTTTGAAGCGGGCTCGGACGCTTGATTAAAATTTGGGAGGTGATCTATTATCTGCGTCGCGGCCACTGTTATGATGTCCCCACACGCTTCCCGGTCCGCTGTCCTCGGTGAGGCTTCGATCAAGCGTCTCTCGGTTAGCTAGCATCCCCGTTCCTTGCTTTTCCTATTGCTTGGTTTTTATTGCTTCACCGTTACAATCATTCGCATCAGCCCGCTGAGCAGGACTTACTTTATGCTGCAGAGTTGACGATCCCACTAACTACACTAATGCACGGTGCTTTCTCAAGAAGCGTGCGCGCTATGCTAACCACACACAAAATTCGAGCGGGAAGAGCCAACCGCGCGATGCCACGGGCATGAGTGGATCTTTCTGGCACGTGAAGACGAGAGCTTTGAGGAAACATGATCTCTCTCAAAATGGAGGAGCAGGAAATCGGCGACAAGAAATGGGCTATGACTATACACATGTAGTCCGTACTGTAATCGGTACAATACATGCAATCTCGTGGACAGAAAACTGCCTAGCGGTACGTATCCGTAGTTCCGTACCCAAAATTTTTATCCGCAGGGAGCTCGGCTTAGCGATACCTTAGGCCCTGATCGGCTCGCCGTGGTGTGGTGTGGTGAAGAGCAAAAAGCTACATCCTGCGGCTTGCATTAGTGCGTGCGGTAACGTTAAGTGGAGGTGCTGTCATGTATTTGTGGGTCGAGAGCTTGGTATGGGGAGGGCTATGGCAAGGAGTGCTCACGGCCAAAATCCGTGGAGAGAATATCTGTGGTAAGGGACCCAGTTTTCCAAACTTTTCTGGGCAACCAAGCCGTTTCAGGGAGCGAAGCGAGGGTGGAGTCGAGGTAGCTACGAAGATCTGCTACAGTTTTAACCCTAAACTATTAGAAAGGATGTGCAACAGGATCCGCATCGGGTTAGAGCAATTCTGTCATTTTACGGCTGCATCTCGCGTAGTGTGTACTAGTAATCATCAATACTAAGCGCCATTGGCTGCCAAGCCCTGATTGACCCCATCGCCGTCGGCTCGGGAACGCTACCCAAATTCCGGCCCGCGCTCACCTCCGACTGGTTGATTTTGACTTCATCCGTCTATTCCAGGATCCTCATCAGTCTTGGGATCCAAATAACCACAGCTCGAGGATGCCGCCGCCTTGTCGGACTCTCTTCCCTCCTGGCCCCGCTGAGTAGTGACCATCCAGTTCAGATCGATGAGCCAGCCATATTCCCGCCTGTACGCAGCCTGCTGGGAGGACCAGGGAGGGGCCTCAAATAGAAAACGATCCATCAGGGTTTCGTTGCGCAGTGATGCGCGTGCTATCGAGATTTGTGACATCAGCAAGGGTTACAGACAAATGAAGAAATCTAATAGAACTTGATGGGCCACCAATACCTGTCAATTCAACCCAAAGGAGGATTCGGAGAAAGTCCTCGATCGATCGAAGTTTAACTTCCGAAGCTGTATGTAGGGACGACAACAATCCGTCAGCTTGGTCGACGGGGACACTTCCCATGCCAATATGCGAAGGACGTGAAGCGGCTTAAGGCTTACGCGTGGCCATATGGACTCAGCTGGTAAGATTCCGCTATTGTTGTCTCCGTCGTGAGCCAAGTGCCGGCGGTTCGGAAGAGGTGGAAGATGAGTAGCCTGAGAGTGGGAATTGTGCGAGACGGGGCCTCTCCGATTTTATAGACTGTCTAGACCACCACCACCAACTCAGTTGCTTGGCGTGAATAGGGACACAGCATCTAAACATTTCATCACTCATCCGATGTGCAGCATGCCTCAGTTCATGATGATTTTTCTGCTCTTGCTTTTCCTCCCGATTTTAGCACCACCCACCGTCTGATTGGCCCACGACAGATATCCTGTTGATGCAGGCCTCGAAGTCGGGGCTGGGGCGGCACACTACATGACAAAATCACCTGCAGACTTAGCACCCCGGGGTGGCCATGCGGCGGATTGCAGTGCGCGCGGAGACTTTGAGCTGGCCGATGCCCGGAAGCTTAACCCGACACAGCCTGGTCTTTAGGGCGCCAAACCAGTACACCAGAACCAGGATTCCGCCGTTTCCCTCCTTTCGATCACACCATGCCTTTCGCCCACACCATGGGATTGTCCATGTCGTCGTAGTTTCCTACGCCGGGGGTGCGAGACTTTGCGAAGGGCTATCGTAGCAAAGAGGACACCTTCCAGCGGCAACCAGACGTCCGTATTGCCATATACAGCATGAATCGGTGTATCTGTGGTAAGTACCTAGGTACCGGTAGTCACCAGAGGGCTGATCACGATGGCGGGATGCAAGTGATCGCATTGGGCGGAGGAGCTAACCGAGCGAGCATGGTGCCGACTTGGAACATAGAAGGGCGCCGAAAACGACTAGATCTGCTCATGTTGACACAAAGGCGTCCGGCATGGACTCGATGGCTACACATGCGTAAGACAACTCACTTCGTCCAGCAGCAGATCCGCGTGTAATACCCGCGTAAAGAATGCGAGATGAGATGACTGGTCGACGTGTCAATAGTAATGCTCAGACACAATGAGAACCGGGTGGCTGAGGATAAGCTAACGCTATCTTCATCTGCTTGCCCGAAGAAGCGTAATGATACGATTGACTGCGAATTTGACCCACCACCCCCGACACCTTTGACAAACGGACGGTGGCGTCAACTGCAGAAATACATATCATTCTCCAGTAAGCTGCTCAAGAACCTGGTAACAAGACTCGAGCGACAACCCCCTGTTCGCTGCACAACTTCACGAGAAGCTAGCACGTACATCCATCCACCTCGGTCGTTAACCTCAAGGAGCTACCATAAGATGGGCAATACGGTTTCCTAGACGGTAGGTACTCTCTCCACGGAATCTCGGAACATACCTTAGACGACATTTGGTGCCATTTGTGACCTGTCAACTGCCAAGTGACGGAAAGGAAAACACTCGTGCTGAAAACAGCCGACGTAGCATCGAATAGGTAAGTCCCCTTGTGGACTTGCTTGCGTGGGCGAGGTGCATTATAGGAGTGTTACACAGCATAGGCAACACGCACCTGGAAAGTAACGCGCCGGTGGAAGCAATCGCGGCCATGGAACGGCGGAAGTGCGACTCGGAGGTTAAGGTACCTATAGAGTGGTTGAATACACTATGAGCTGTGCTAACCCTTGGGAGTTGGTCTATCCCGGTTTGTAAGAGTTCCCAAATGCACCTCTGACTTGCTGGGACCTTACCTATCAGTAGTACAGGCGCACTGGGAAGGAGATGGAGGGTGGTTGACCGGCCGGGGCATGGGTAGGGAAGAGACAATGTCATGTTCTTGAGCTCCGCAGATCCGTTGAGGTTCCAGGTTCTCCAAGAACGGGCCGCTGATCGCCATGGGTGGCTGGTTCGAGCCGACGTGCGTAAAATTAGGTGGCGTGGCGTAGGGGATTTGCGGCGGCAGCATTGCGGCACACCGAGGTATTTGAATGACTCGGATTGATTGGAAGAGCCGCTCCAGTCATGAAACTGCCGTGCCGAACATGCGAGCAAACACACATCCCCAGGCCGAGCACTCTCAGATTCGATTTGATTCTTCCCTCCAGAACCACCCCCAGACCGAATCCCTCAATCCCGCCATTTGCTAGGGGAAGCGCTCTACGTTCTCCTTTGTGGTCTCGACCCCTTTCGTGCCGTTATCTTTCTTCCAGGTTCTTGTTCTCACGCCATGGATCGTTTGGCCTATGCCACCGGACGATACTCGGCAGGTCCCCTCAATCCTGACCATCCGGACACGCTGTCCAATCCAAAGAACAATAAGGCCCGTCCGACACCGAGTGTGACCGATATCGGTTGGCCACTTACCGACAAAGAAGGGTGCCTCTCGTACTGAGGGCACTGTCGTTGCGCTTTAGTCCTTCTAGATGACTCGACACAACGCCGGGCGAAATCTGCGGCATCTACTTCCTCTACCTCCGTGAAGCGACGCGAGATACAGAACCAGACTCGCAACACTCAGAGAGCTAGTATGAAGCTTCACGTCTCTGACTTAAGGGGCACATCGATCTCGAGCTGATAACTAGCATCGCAGCAAACGCCGAGTGTCTCGCCCTATCGGTCCTGTCAACAAGACGTTTGCCTCGCGATAAACCGAAATGTCTCTGCCAGTCTGAGTCTCAAGAGTCTCCCGCGGTTGATGAATGGGCTGGTACACCCCCGACACAGAGCAGAGCTTTGGATGGGATAGGGGTCAGACCTGTCACCGCCGACTGCGGACCATGCCATTCGCAACTTGCTTTGAAGTCTGTCAGGCATTGGGCACCAGATACCCAGCTAACATCATGCCGTTTCGGTAGGAGGATTCGCCTCTGAACTGTGGATATCCTACCCTCCCCTGGCCGGGGCAATTGAACATTTCATTCTGGACCGGAGTGGAGTTGAGACAATGATGTGGAATCTTGTTATTGTCCTGGCAACAAACTCTTGCCTCTACCATCAACATTCATACAATCGAGTCGATGCTTCTTGTTTCTCGCCCAAGTGCCCGTAAGCACGCGCGCCAACCCCAATCGATGCCACCACATCCAGTCTTCTTATCGTCGAACATGATGCTTATGCTGTCTGTCTCCCTTTGCAGTGACACTTGTCTTGCGCGTGTGAGAAGCTCCCTCTTCGTTCTTTTTAAACCGGATCATCCTAAGTTCTTGACTCATTGCTGAGCCCTAGGAAGCCAGTCGATCCTCCATCTTTCGCCCTCACCTGTGACGGCTACAGGCAAATGAACAGGGTCAAGCCGGCTACTTTACTCCTGCGGCCACTGTAATTGTTTCATCCGGAAATCGAAGTGCGACCCCCGCCAGCAGCTCGCACAACTCCTGCAATATGACGGGGACAACTATAATAAATATTACCGCCATTTGATCCGCACTGTCGACTCCACCGAGTTAGAGGGAAACAACAAAGAGACGGTATATCGAGTGCTGCTGTCCATAGAACTTACTACTAGATACCGAAATCTCCACTCTCCATGCCAACAACGCGGAAATCGATGAACCAGCCCGGGCGGCGATGAACTTCTTTCGATGGTTGGGGTTATAACGGCATGAAAGAACGTTTGCGGACAACGCTGGACAACATCGACGAGCCCGCGCCTCTACGCCATGCTAAGCGTATCAAAGGGCAAAAGGTCATCATGAACGAGCTGATCCCGCCGGGCTAGTACTGGATTTGTTTCGAGATGCTTGCCGGAGGACGACAGCCTACCAGGCTACCTTAGTCATTGCCCGGGTCCGCTTGCCCCCGCCATCCCGACGTGCCAGCTACCGTCAGAGAAGTGGATGGAGTAAATGGGATCGCGTACGATGTTGCTGCAATGGAGTTCGTAAGGCAAGGTCTAGTTATCTACAATCCCTATCCTAAATCCTTCGCCTTTCCGTATATAAAGGCCCCGGGTCTTAGCTCGCTGCTGATGTCGGGCTTGCAGATATGCTTTTGGAAGGCCGCCATGGACAACACAGTGCAAGATGTCGAATTCGACTTTTGCGATTGCCGGTAAGCCTCATGCTATGTGCGGAGCCGATCTCACTTCTATGTATTCCGTACGTATCCTCGCTTCCCAGAGCCCCGGCCAGCCCTGAGAAATGCCTTTAAACCCTAGCACTTGGCTAGTACGGATACAAGGCTGCACCTCCACTTCCAACAATGGCTGAGGTGTGGGGCATTCAGTCTGGCCCCGACCTCGACGGCAGGGTCGTGGTGTTTCCACCCCAGGGAGTGCCTGCATGGGCTTGAGGCTGCAGCCGTGGATGGTGGGGACTGCCGGGTGGGGTAGTCCCAATCTGGAAATTTGGGTTGCAAAGGAACGTACCTCAGCGCGGTGCTAGGATAGGATATGTACACTCCCCTCGCCCATTCCCAGTCGGGAACTTCTAACTGCGTAGAGACGTACCTCTGTCGTCGCATAAGCAACTGAGGATACATGCACAGCGTTTGCCCGGTCTGCCGGGTGGTGTAGTCTCAATGTGGAAATTTGGCTTTCACTGTTGTTGCCCCGCTGCAGGATCGCGATGCGGCAGGGTTGGGGCGCTCGGAGGAAACAGTCTTACTAGGAGGTGAACGTCGCTAATACCGAGAATTTCCTCCCGGCTCACGATATATGATGAGGTCGTCAAGGTCGGGAATGGCGTGTAAGTGGAATACCAAGCACGGTCACGCGCGACACTAGAAGGAAGGGGAGCGTCAGCATCCTCGTGTCGTCGCAAGTTCACCCTATGATTACCGTCCGGTCTCCGCTGCGAATTGGAACCTACTGCACGTTGGAATCGGTCGACAGCACCTAATCGGGGCAGAGCCCTGATGCCTCGCTTGAAGTTGCTATACTGGAGCCTGGATACGGGTTCGATCGTGCAATGTGTGATAAAGTCAAGTCCAGCCAGCCAGTAAAGCAGAATTAGGAAAATTCTGTATAAAATGCAACCCGCAGCAGTGGAAGTGGTCAAAGTAGATCGAATAGTGTGCTGTTGTAATGAAGTCTGGAAGTGCAGTGACGCCCCTGGAATGATGCTACCGATGCTCCACCCTTGGGCTCCATGCTGGGGTAAATGCCTGAAATGGCTAGCCTGGTTGTGCAAAACGAGCGGGTGGGTTGAAAGACGCGGAAATACGGAGCTCACGTTACTTACAGTAACCAGCTCCGCTAAAAGATTGGGCGCCTTCAGCTGTCTCAACCGACACATTCTCACGACCCTGGCACACATTGCGCCATGCCTTCCCTCCGTGTCTTCGTGAACCACCACAGACAATAATCCTTCATCAACATTCCCTCTGCTAGGCAATTGCGTTTCAACCCGCGGGCGGCGTATTCTATCTATGCCTATTAGCCTTTATTGACTCTCAACGCTGCAGAATCATGTCTTCCTCTGCTTCAGTCACCGCCACCACCCTCCCCAGCCCCTTCCTCCGCAAGGCCGCCATCCTCTCCTTCCTGCCCGCGCTCCCTCTCTGCGTCACCCACGGCGCCCTCTCCGCCGATGTTGTCCCTGCTGTGGGGCTTGTGCCGCTCTGTTTCTCCGCCGGCGTCTCGCTCTTCCTGTTGATCAGGGCTTCTCAGCAGTGCAGGCGCAAAGGGAAGCAAAGGGCTGGGAGCGGCGTTTCGGATCCCGAGGGGTTGCTTGGCGGTGGTGATGACGACGACGCTGGGAGTACCAGTGTAGTAGTAGGCGGCGCTGCTCCCCGCCACATCGGTTTCGAGCCGGATGTCGAGGAGCGTGGTGACGACGTGGAGGATGAGGACGAGGGAGAGCCGGCGTCGGTGCTGACACATCGGATCTTGGTGTTTGTCGTCGATGTGATCCTCGCAGCGGCGTTGATGGTCGTGCTGGTCTTTACGTGGATTCGGACGGAACGAGCTAGGAATAAGAGTCCTCAGCTGGCGATGCTCGCGGCGTATGGCACCGTGCCATTGCTGGTCAACTTGTGAGTCCACCTCCCAGGCCTCGGCGACTGGCGACACTTCTGCTGAGATGTTCATAGCTTGATCCACCTGTACCTTGCCGTACGCGAGTTTGTTGCCGGCTTGGCTATCCCGGGCCTGGTCGAGCACACAGCATGGCGATTGGTTCCGGCGGACTGCCCGCACTGCGGGAACCGGCTACGGCCGGACTCACTGCCGCCTATTCCGTGGTATGAAGCTGTCGGTAGGCCAAAGGTATCGCTCTCCTCAGTTTCTCGGCCATCGCTGCCATCCTTCAGCGCACCTAAGTTTACCTGGCTGAAGGGCCGCCGCGAGTGGAAGGTGCCCAACTGGTTGAGAGGCCAAAGCGAAGAATACGCCAGTCTATTCGTGGACGACCAGCAGAACGAACGCGATCGGTACAGGGATGATCCAGACGGGACGTTGGGTGAACCCTCACGCACTACGACGGTCGTTGCCACCGGATCTGCAGACCCCGTCCCTGTCGTAGAGGAAGTGGTGGTGGGAAAGAAGGATAAGAAAGGGAAGCCTGGCTCTGGTGCCTTGTTTGCAGAGGAGGAGACTTCATGGTCATGAGCGGCGGGTGCCTAGAAACCTCTCTAGCCATTCCCTACTACTCCTTATTCCGAGCCTCGAGGTCTCGTTGAAGCTGCAGGCCGTGAAGAGTCAGGCTTGTACGGCCCCCCAGCTTTTTCGGTTGCTGTTGTCCAAGTATTAGATACCCAAGCCATTTGTTCACTTTGGTAGATGATAGCAACTTGTTTGCTCAGCGCCACGATCCTTTATATCCAGAAAGTAAACGCTAGAACCCGCCGTGACGACTCAGCGGACCAAGGATGGAAGGACTAACTGGAATGCGCCGAACAAGTTACCCCGCTCTGGACCATCCAGATGCAACCTAAGTATGTATTGTACTATGTTGTACAATCACAGTTTCGGGACCGTTAGATGAACCTAACTACAGCACAATATAACCATCTCTCTAGTCCCTTCTGAATCACATAGATGTCCGACACTGGCTCACAGCGCTCGGGATCTCCCGCCACCTCGGAGGAGCACGATCTGCCTGACCCGCCTGCACAGTGGGACATTGATGCCCAGTTACCGAGACTTGAAAGGGAGAGTTTGAATGTGACGCACGAACATCTTATCCTAGCGCTGGACCATGTCGGGAAGTTGTTGAGCGCCAAGGGCATCCCGTGGGCCGTCATGGGAGGACTGGCTCTATTTATGCTCGGCAACAAGAACCGCAGCACTCGAGATGTCGACGTAGCCATCGAGGCCAAACCGAGAGCCGCAATTGAGGCCTTGAGGGACCGCCGGTGAGTGTGACACCTATACATCCTACTTTGCCAATTCCCTGTCTGACCCTGTGGATGAACTCAGCGTCTATACACCGCCGCTGCTGTCGATGGCTGGGAGCGGATGTGGAAGGTTCTACGTGCTCACGGGCCCCGAGTATGGAGTGAAGGTCGATAGACAGATTGTCGAGGTCGACCTCATCATTGCAGGTAAACCTTTGGAACCCAAAGAAACAAGAAGAAAAAGAAATTGCAATGCGCGATACGGGACGGCAGCTGACATACCTGCTCTGCTTAGGTCATCTAGGAGCTCCTCGGACCCTCTCAGGGACCACGGCCACTAGAACGGCGCACACGGCAGCAGGCGAGCGTACCTACAACGTGCTCTCTGCGGCCCAGCTATGCCGCGCCAAGCTACATGCCCTAGAACAGCGAGAAGCCGAGAGGGACTTCAACGACCTCGAGTGGCTCTGCATGAACTACTACAACGAGATCTTCGAGGTCGCAGATACATTGGACAAGATGGAGAGGGTCAATTTTGTAGAGAAATACAGGGAAAGGTATCCCGGGAAGCAGGACGTCGTTAAGGCACTGAAAGAAGCGCTGAAGATCAGAGAAGCGTGAGACCTGGGGGCTGGAAACTACATGATCACCTAGGATTGACCGTAGCCTTAGACAAGCCGGCCAAGCTGAGTACTTTGTATCATCTGAATGTGAAAGATGCCAGAGTCATACCGGTATTGGTACTAGACCTCGAGGGAGGACTTGGCTGCCCTGTCAAAATGGCGAAGTAGAAGTCAACAAAGACATTCCGTATCCTCAGCTCCTCTCACGTATCGCAATCTTACCCTCGTCCCTTAAAAAGTGAGCCGGGTTGAAGTGGATTCACTCGACGCTTTCGGCGTGCGGGGTAGCAGTTCTCAATTCAAAAATGAATCCAAGGATCCGTTGCCCGTCGTTACATCTTTTTAAACCTAAGGTACCTATATACAGCATAGCATGGCAAGACTGATTCATACCTTGCTCTAGGCCGCAATGGCTCCCGATCGTGAGATTCCACACCCCACGTCATCCTCTCGCGATCTAGGGGATAGAAGTTGCGGGTCCGGGGTCCCGGAAGTGCTGGATGTCATACGTACGCTTGAGTCCCGTGAGATTCCGAACTGCGTCACAGGCGCAAGAGCATTGGTATACTACGGTGCTGGTAGGGTGGCACAGGTGAGCTCATCCTCATTCCACCACGCCCTCTCGTTGACACGTTTGTGTGCCCTAGGACTGGGAAGTCGCCGTGCCTGATGAGCTCTTCCACAAGGCAAAGGTGCTCTTTTCCGAGAGTCCACAGTATGAGTTGTTGAAGCCTGCCATGCCACAGCCCAGATCGCTCATCCATACCTACCCGCTGTTCAAGCTGAAGGGCGCGGGCTTCAGCTTCTTCCTCGTCCCGGCCTCGGAACCACACGTCAGCTGCGAGCCAGCCGTGTGCGAGCGTAGCCACAACGGCATCCCCTACCCCAAGCTCGAGCATTTCGCCCAGAGCTTACTTGACACGCAGAAGTACGCCGACCTGGAGGACCTTGTCGACGGCATGGATCTTGACGAAGCGTGGGGCGAGGCGAACCTGCAGCTCGACCAGGTGCCAAGTGACTATATCAACCACAAGAACACGCTCATCTGTCAGTCACTACCCGGTCTCCCTGGGCTCGTGGCCTCGCTCTCGACGATCCCAGACGCGAGGCGCGAGTGGATGCGCACTGTCCAGGGGAAGCGTTCGCGGATGGTTCCCAAGTATCCCCATGAGAAGTATGCCACGAGGTTTCGCCTAAAAGGGTCCCCTGACCCCCGGATGAACCAGGAACGCCAGGTTTGAGATGTGCAATGGGAGGATTTCCGATTTCGAGGCGGATTCTGCAATGCCGGGTGTTTGGCCATCGTGTCCGCGGGCCTGTTGGGACAAAGCCGAAGACAACCAGTTTGCCCACGTGTTCGCCATTGGTGGAGATCTGTTGCTTGCACTGCAACGTGTTCGGTGAGGTTGTTCAACACCGGCAAAGCTGATTGATCGCAGAGTCAGGATTGTGGGCTGACTGGGCGTTGACAGCGCGGCCCGATGGTTAACCGACCGATGGTTAACCGAGTCGTGGCTGTGCGGGGAACAAGCCTCGTCATCCAGCCACGCTTCATGGTGGATTCGAATCCAAACCCCTGTCTTCGTCCAAGGCCGAGTCAACTCCAGCGGCATTTGAAACCAGGCAGCCCATCATGGCGGCCCACAGCTGCTCATATTTCCTCAGCGCCGATTCTCCTGCGAAGGAGAACCTGTCTTCTTTCTTTTCCTATGGGTGATTGCGGATTGGTTCATATCTCGAAGTTCACCAACCGATAAGTTAGCTGCGATGCCCTTCTTCGCCAACACGCCCGAAGCCCGGCTGGGCCGCTCCGACTCCAAGAACCCCGCGACAACATGCAGAGGGATCACGTCGAACGGCCGGCCATGCAGACGCCCGCTTACTGGCGCAGACACGCCCTCGGCCAGTTCGCGCCTGAAACCGTCGAGCCTCCGCGCCGACGATCCCCGCGACGAGAGTCTGTATTGTTGGCAGCACAAGGACCAGGCCAGCGCGTCCGCCAAGTCGAGTCCGGGGCCTAGGATGTCCCATACTCCGATTCTCGAGGAACGAACGAGCCTGGACACATTAGCCGACCGCCTGGGACTTATCAGCACCCAGACTGAGAAGCCACATGGGCATCGCCCGAGTGGGACGACGCGTCCAAGACCGAAAAAAGAGACGACCTTCTGCTTCTGCTTTCGCATACCCGTTGAGGAGGAGATTGAGCTGCCGCCGCGTCCCAAACCGCAGCCGGTCCAGCCGACCGTATCCACCCCACCCCGACACAGCAGAAAGGACCACTCCGGCCAGTACCTGGCGCCTTCCCCGTCGCCATCCCACCCTCGACCGAGCTCAGGCCACTCCCACGGACGGAGATCGCGGCGTGGCTCAGAAACCTCGCAGACCGCCGCGCAGTTCATGCATCTCATTCCGCAAGATGCATCGCCACAGACGGCCTCACAGCTCCTGGCGGAGCTAGCGAAACCGATCTCACAGCAAGACGAGGCAGGGTACATCTACATCTTCTGGCTGACGCCCGAGTCGGACCCGTCAACGCCCCCCGCCGAGGCAGCGCGCTCGCTGCTTACCCCGCCGTCCACATCCACCCGCGGCCGCCGACCGAGCGACGTCGTGGCTTCATATGCCAGGACGATACGAGATGAGGGCAACAGCTCAACTGGCGAGGACAAGAAGAAGATCCTCCTCAAGATCGGCCGCGCCAACAACGTCCAGCGCAGGCTGAACGAGTGGCAGCGCCAGTGCGGGTACAACCTGTCGCTGATCCGGTACTACCCGTACGTGCCGTCCAACAGCTCGTCCGACGTGGTGCCGCGCAAGATCCCCCACAGCCACAAGGTCGAGAGGCTCGTGCATATCGAGTTGGCCGGTCGTGGGTTGCGAGTCGCGGACCGCGAGAAGTGCGAGGCTTGTGGGAGGGAGCATCGCGAGTGGTTCGAGGTGGAGGCGAGTAGGAGCGCGGTGGCAGACGTGGATGAGGTGGTGAGGAGGTGGTCGGATTGGGATGAAGCGCAGGGGTGAGGGGTGAGATGGATTGATCGCGATGCTTTCCGGGCGAGATTTGCGTGTATCCATGATTGGGACCCAGGGGGACTTGCATCTGGCATGGCATATGGCGTTTATGGTCGCGTTGCTTTCTACAATTCGAGACATTCACGGACCATCCATAAACAACATGAAGCGTTGATCTTCCGCAGGAATTGGACTTTGTCCCCATGAGCTATGTGCCAAAGCTTATGCGTTCTTCCATTCTGCTGTGTTGTCTTAGACTTCCACCCCAAAGATGCCGCCTAAACCGAGTTCGACACCAAATGTACTGGTGCCCTGAACGCCATGCGCCGTTGCAATGCCGAGACCCACACACAACGACCAAGTCAACAACAGATACTGAAGGTCTCTTCTCTTAAGCATCCGCAGCAACCACCGGCAGGAAGTTGAACCCCACGATCCCATCAGCCAAGACCTCGTTGCCGCGCATCATCGACACCCGCCGCCCAATGATCCCGTCGTTGCCCACGTTCAGCGACAGAGCCTCGCCCGGGAGCGGCATCTCCACTCCGTCGTCGTCCTTCCGACTGCTGCTGCTGCTGCTGCTGCTGTTGGGACGAAAGGTGAAGCGCCGCAGCAGGCCGGAGTCAGCCAGGGGCTTTGTTAGGTCGCCTGTCATACTTTTTTTTCTCGTATGTTAGCAATCTCTATTGTGTGGTATACGAAGAATGGGAGGTAGGACAGAGTAGAGTGGGGAATGACCTACTGGATCGACACTAACACGCTCTCATCACCATCCTCGTGAGTGTGGGTTGTTGTTGTTGTTGTTGTTGCTGTTGCTGTTGTTGATGTTGATGGTCGTTGTGAGAACCGCACATGTGTGGCGTGGCAGCTGGACGGAGAGGATGGGTTCAGGAAGACCAGGTTGCCCACGGGGAGGTGGGTGTGTTGGAGGCCGGAGGCGGGATAGAAGTCTACGCGGGCGCCGACGCGGGGCGTGGAGGAGGGGGTTTCTTCGCCGCACATGGTCTCTTTTTTTTCTCTCTTTTTCAATTGAGCACGGATATAGTTGGGGCCGAGCGAGTTGAGGAGGAGATATGTTGGGTGAAGGGCCGTACTTGGTTGGTTGTTGGGACTCTGGGCCAGTTGGCGGGCTTTGCAGAACAGAGGATGAAGACTTCAAGGGGCATTCTCGGTTCTAGATATAAGTACCTCAGGTATGGTCTGGCCTGATGCTCTCAACATAAGGATATCCCTTCCCCTTCTCCTTCTCCATCACTCTTGCAAGGACGATTCGCCCTCAGGGTGGTGGCCATCAAGGTTCTGGACAGCCCACGATCGGCAGCCCATCCCCCCTGTTTGGGCCCCTTCTGCCAGGCCAATGAGAATCCACAAACAAAGAGAAATCTTCCGCTTTTGGAGGTTTTAGACCTCTTGGCAACCGTTTGAGCATGGGTCATTGGCTCCCCACACCAGGCCAAATTGAGCACATTTGCGCGGGTAAGATGCGGACACCTTACCGGCCACTGACGTGCGTCGTACCTTCCAGACACCGCGCTCCAAAGCGCACCTGCCTCGAGTCGCTCGTCGTGCACCTTGATGAGCAAGTTGTTTCGCTCAGAGTCGCTGCACAGTAGAAAACAAAGTACCCGAGGTATTAAGAGGGGTTTTCTCCAAAAAAACATGGTCAACATCAGCAACCTGTGGCATTACCTCGCCCTCCAATCTCCCCTGCACTCCACCACCCTCTCAGGAGACAGTTTCAACATCACCACGATGGGCCTCACAACGTACACGCTGCCCGCGCTGCCGTACGCGTACGATGCGCTCGAGCCTCACATCTCGGCGCAGATCATGGAGCTGCACCACAGCAAGCACCACCAGGCGTACGTGACCAACCTCAACAAAGCACTGGAGTCGCACGCCGCGGCCCTCGCGGCGAATGATGTCGCCGCCCAGATTGCCCTGCAGCAGGCGATTAAGTTTAACGGCGGCGGGCATATCAACCACTCGCTCTTCTGGAAGAACCTGGCTCCGACGGGGAGCGAGGAGACTCGTCCTGACGCGGCCAAGGAGCTGGTCGCTGCGATTGAGAAGACATGGGGAAGCTTTGACAGCTTCAAGAAGGCCTTCTCGGCCACTTTGCTCAGTCTCCAGGGAAGTGGATGGGGTTGGTTGGTGAAGGAGGCGGGCAATGGTGGCGGCCTGCGCATCGTCACCACCAAGGACCAGGATCCCGTTGTCGGGGGCGACGTGCCCATCTTCGGTGTTGACATGTGGGAGCACGCTTATTACCTTCAGGTTCGTGCGGACTTTACCTCAAAGCTGGGGTGGCTAATGCTGACATCAATTGTGTATGTAGTACCTGAATGGAAAAGCGGCGTATGTCGAGAACATCTGGAATGTGATCAACTGGGAGACAGCTGAGGCGCGGTTCTCGGGCAGGTCAGATGAGAAGACTGAGCTGTAAATGGGTCGGCGCAATTGACAGTGATCAGACCAGGTCTCAGTCTCAGGTTCCATCTCTGATTCCGGTCGCTCTTCAGATTGATGTATTCAATAACCTATCTCCATTAGCGTACCGGATCCATCGTGTTCACATCAGCTTCCTAAGTGTCGCCGTTCGGAGAATCAGCTTCTGTTCGACGTCTGGGTCACCGGCCACGGCAAAAGATCATTTCCAGGCACCATGCTCTGCTTGATAGCTAGTCTATCCTGTGATCATCGTATACTTGCTACCACAGGCCGTTCGAAAACTTAAATCTTCCAAACAACCCGACTGATTTCTGTCTCGATAAACTGCCCGCCGACGGAGAATGAAGCAGCCTGCCGAGCCCGCAATGTCACAGCATGAGATGCAGAGCAAGGCTGCCAGAAGGCAAGATCTTGCTCGTGTGCCGCGACAAAGTCCCAATGGCGGCCGGTCACCATGCCATGTGGCACCACTGTGCCTCGTGTGACGTGAACTTAGATTGAGACGCTTTTGTCCGGCAGCGAAGCTGTGTTTGCGTTGTCCGACCACGGCAACGTGCATCTCAGCCGCTGCAGAGGAAGCCAGTCGCACCATGCGGCTTAGAGCATCATACTGAGTGGTTGTGTTGGGGTAACATGGCGGGCAAGATGCAAAACAACAAGTAATTTTTGATGTTGGAGTGAGCAAACAAAGCTCACTACCGAGCTTCCTGTCGGAGCTGTGGTATAAGATATTGGCATCTACGGAAACCCTGAGTATGGGGGTTTCACGTTGTGCGTTCCGTTGGGTATATACCGTCTGTCTACTGTGTATGGTAGGGCAGGAGTCCGGGACAACAGCCCGTGGAGAGCTTCAAAATGGCCGTACCTATGGATCCATGCATCTTGATCTCTCTAGATGGAGGCATTTGGATGTTTGATCGGCTGGCTGCAGTCACCTTCCACTTCTCCGCGTATCGTGAGTCCACCACCATCTATTGATGATGAGATGTACTTACTGAGTACCTAGCTTACCTAGGTGCCTGACAGTGTCCCGCCGTAGCACACCGAGAAATACCTCGCCGAGATCGAGCGACGCGGGAAATATCTCCGAGGCCGCCAACTCCGTTTGGGTCTATTGCCACTTGCGCCGCTAGCCGCAGAGTTACACAGCTCCGTACGACCTTCCCGGTCGCAAAGTCCTGCAATTTGGTGTGTCCCTGGAGGAGTCTCAAACACTGAACACGGCCAAACCTTGTCCATCTCGCATGGGTTTTGACACAGAGATCGATCGTCAGCTTCATCCTGCATCGGCAACCTGAGGACGCGGAGATAATCGGACGGTTGCAGCTGCATGTCGGGAAGTAAAGTCCCAAACGGAGGCTAGTAGAGCCTAAACATCGACGGGACTTAATCTCCTCAGCCCTGTTTGCTGCTCTCCGGCACACCCAATCTAAGTCGACACCGGAGCTTCAGCCGTCCAAGATGGCCTTTCGATTGAACAACGACCGGCATGCCCCCTGTCTCCGATTGGTCGACGCATCGTTTTGATGGAGTAGACATGGTCTTGAGTGACTGATTGCAAACAGATTTGCTTTGGAGCCCAGGTAGACCGGGCCTGGGTCACCAAAGCGTAGAAGACACGCGTGTCTGTTGAGTGGAGAGGGGAACAAGGAGGGCTATAAGAAGAATGTGATGGTCCTGTGCCTTCAACTTCCAGACCACCGTCTGACTAGAAGCCCTCTGTCCGGGGACCCTACATTCGCTCTTAGCACGTTCGCCTACCATGGCAAACATGATTCATTCGTTGACCCTCCTCAGCCTTGGGTATGTTGAAACTCTGCTGCGTCCAGGAGGAAACATTAACCTGGCCCTAGCACTTCGATGGCATTTGCCTGGGGAATTGGGAACCGCAGTCCCCATTACCCTGTGTACGGCGGCCACTCTCAGCTCCAGCCCGGGATCACCTCCACTGTCACAACGACCCAAGTCACGACCATCACGGTTGGCGCGGCGTCTTGTGATGCGGTGTACATACCGACTACGACAACCGTGTACGTGGGCTGCTCATCTGGGTCAGCCATCTCTAGCTTCCTTGACATCCCAGCGTCCAGCAGCACTCCGAGTGGCCATGGTCCTTGGCTTAATGTGACTTCGACTCCTAGCCTGCCCTGCACACATGGGCCGATCTCGTCAGGACTCAGTCCGGGCAACAGTATCTCCAGCTCTGCCGGCCTCGGTTGGAACAGCAGCATTCTTAGCACTCGACCGACACTGGCCGGGACGGGCAGAACGACCATCGAGACAGCTAAGCCGGTTAACACGTCTCTCCCTCCGGTGAACTCCACGGCGACCTTCACGACAGAATCGGACGCAACCGTTGTGGTCACTGTCACGTTGACATCCTCCGCTGTGGCTACCGTCGGCGTTTCCGTGACTTCAGGACAGCCGATTGGAGTCCCCTCGAGCTCCGCGTACTCAAACTCCGGGACCATCGGCACTGACTCCCCTAGAAACACTTCCGCGGGTATCTCAACATCTTACCAACCCAGCATGACCTACAAGACGACATCCTCGGGTATGGCCCCTTCCTATCGCAATCGACTACTAGTAGTAGGAGCTGTGACTGACACTTTCTCTTAGCTCCACCTAGCCTCACCTCCGCCACCCCGTCCAACAGCACATCAAAAGCTATACCTGTTGTCTCCTCGGCTAACAACACCTTGACAACAGCCACAAACAAGCCGCTCAACACAACCGCCGGCCTCACCTCAGTCGCACCAGTCGGCCCCAGCAGTAGCACCGGCACAGGGAGCGACACCACCCTGGCCTCGCCCTTCCCGTCTACCACCAGCAGCACTGCGGGTGATGACAATGGAGGGGAATATGGATACGGCGGCTACACTTACTCTTTCGCCTCGCCCACCACTCCATCATCGGTTCCCATTTCTTTTGTCAGCGACACCAGCAGCGTCGACGCTATCGGAGCGACTACTACTACTAATACGGCAAGCACAAGCACAAGCACAAGCGGGAGTGGCAGTGTGATTACGGACTCGACGCTTGATCACCCCACCGCCACCTCCCCCACTACTAGTAGTACTGCTACTGGTAGCGCGCCCGCGACGTTGATCACGATTACTACTCAGGCCGCGGCCAGTAGCTCGCTGGCTGGGGATGGTGGCTATGGTGATGGATATGGGTATGGGTATGGCGGGTACTACTAGGAATAATGGGCATTTGACGGCGTGTGTGGATCATGAGAGGGATAGTGAGGATTGGGGATCGGAACCAATAAAAAAAGGGGGGGAAGGGTTCGTGATTTCAGGGTGTTGAGGAGAAGATGTGATTCAGTTCTTGTCAATCCTTTTTGCCCTGTTCTAGAGACGGCTTCAGGCATCTGTTGGACTTGGGCAACCCATAGTAGTGGTTGTGGTGGTAGGGTGACGTTGCTGAATACAGCGTTGGTGCTCGAGAGTGCAGCCTACACCTGCCTCCTCGGGTTGTGAGTTTGTGGATGGTGGCGACTTAGGCAGCTTACCTTTATCGCAGCACGATCCCTCACGGCAGACACAGCAGATGAGTAGTAAGCGGATGAATCGTGAGTGACTACTTAGCCGACGGGAGAAGCCGGGGAGATCAGATTGATCGCCTTGGGGAACGAATGCATCCAGGTCGCTCGGAGTGTTTGCTCCTAACCGGATGAGCTGTACAATACCTTACATTTAAGAGCGGGTATGTTTCGTCTGCCATGGACCCTCCATTTGTCATAAAGATGACTGCCTATAGTACCAAAGTTGTTGTAGTATGGTTTAGCTTGCTACTGGTATGTCGAGTCCGAGAGTCTGCTGTATGGTGAGATTATGTGGTATTACTAGTTCTTGCTTGAGTCTGAGCTTTGCTATACCGGTGACTTGAAAAGCTAGGATCTACATACAATCGTTCTCATTCCTTCGAGCTCTCTACGGTGAGTCGTCACCCGATGGACTGGTTCAGCAACAAAAAATGCGTGCAATGTCAAGCCCAAGCCATCGAGAGCCTAGAATCCGTTCAGCTACGCCTCCTCGGTGAGCCACGCGGACATGCCGGCATCTTGTGGAGCCCTACGGATCCATACTGAGGTGGCCGGAAGGATCGTAGTCAGCATCCGTGTATTGCGGCGCAGCAGCAGTGGCATAGGGTGAAACATCGGTAGGATTTTCCGGGGCATAGCATGGCGCCAAGCCGAACTACGACTGGTCTCCTCGCCAGCTGCAAGGCACCAAGGGCTCCTCTCGGCGTTATTCTCTAGCAGGGGTGGCTTGGAAATCGGAGCTGACCGGCAACCACCAGAAGAATTATACACTAGCTACGCTACCCAGATCCCCGGGATCGTGCATCATGCATGTTCTCAGCCGCTTCCCAGCCGGAAACGGGGTCCATGGGGGAGAGGGGTCGGGAGCATAGGTAGCGTAGGAGCGCCATCCTGCTTATGGATACGCCTCCCAAGAAAAGTATATAAAAGAGATATAACCCCAACTTCAAGTCACTCCAAAAGTTCGTGGACGTCACAGCAGCTCCCAACCACCCCCAGCCTAGATCCCCACAGATTATCTCAGGACCATGAAGTCCCTCCTGCTCTCGGCCCTCGCGGCGGCGGTCACGGCGACCGACCTCCTCCTCCCTCTCTACCAATACCCCGCCAACAACGGCGGCGCCTGGTCGCCCATCGAGCAAGCGCTGAGCGCCAACCCGTCGCTGACAGCCAAGATCATCATCAACCCGCAGAACGGCCCCGGCAGCAGTCCCGGGCAGGGCCTGGACGACCCGCAGTACGTCGCGGGCGCCAAGGCGCTCGCCGCGCACCCCAACGCCCAGCTGCTCGGCTACATCCACACGTCGACCGACGGCGGCATCACGCGCTGCAACCGGCCCTACGCCGAACTCGTGGCCGACATCCGCCGCTGGTCGGCCTGGGTCGACGCGGGCATCGCCATCCGCGGCATCTTCGTCGACGAGGCGCCCGCCAACAGCAACAACGACTGCGTCGCCTACATGCGCAACCTGACCACCTTCATCCGCACCGACACGGCCTCGCTGCACTTCGCCACCCCGCGCCTGCTGGTCTTCAACCCGGGCGGCACCGGCGCCCTGCAGCCGTACTACGACCTGCAGCCGGACCTGATCGTCGCGCTGGAGACGTGCTTCACGGTGCCCGAGAGGGCCGGCGGCGACTACGACCAGTGTCCCACGAGCGGCGGGTACGAGCGGTACGACCACGACGGCGTGGGCAGTTCCATCGATAATGTGCTGTTCCCCGCCGTGGGCAGTGCGAATGCCGCGCGCACGGCCGTGCTGGTGCACGGGTTCCACGACTACAATGGGCCGTCGGCGAACTTGAGTGCGTCGAGTGCGGTGCTGACGCAGTTGGTGCAGGCGGTGGTGCAGAGGGGGATTGGTGCGACTTTCTTCAATACGGCGGGCTACCATACCTTTACGGATGGGCCGGCGTCGATTGGGGCTGTTGCGGGGGTTTTGAGGGCGGCGAATGGGAATTAAATACTACCAACATGAAGTCTAAGTGACGAACGGGAGGGACGGAAGGCTTTGGATTGTGTGGAGAACAGTTGGGCAGCGGGCTTTAGCATATATCAACAGTACTAGTAGGTAGATTGTGATGGCGCTACACGAAGAGATTGGAAAGATGCCTTGCTCGCTCAGCAACCCGTTCCCTTGGTACTGTAGCACTCCAGCACGCCGTTGATGTTGTCGATAATCGTGTCTGTGCCAGTTGCGAGTGGAATATCAGTGGTCAGCTGGGAAACGGAATTGGCTCAAGAAAAAATGGGTGATAATTATTCACTGACTGGTATCAAAGAAAGCCGTCGGCCAGTTGACCTGCGCGGCACCCGTGCCCGGGTTGCACTGGCAGTGAATCAGCGCCGGCCCACCGTCGACATTGAATCCGCCGTCCTTCCCATTGCTGCACTGGATGCACTGGTCCCGGAGGTGCGGTCTGTTTCATCAATGCAGTATAAGTTGAGCAAATCCTAGATAAGAATAATCTTTGTTGATTTCTTAACCTACCCAGCCCCCGTCGGATCCGCCTGGAGTGTGCCATAGCTGTTCCTGAGGCACCGGTTCAGGTCCAGCCTAGAGCAGCGGGACTGCCCGAAGATGGTCTTGCAGTTCGCCGTCAGCGTGGTCCCGCTGACCTTGATCGAGTCCTTGTCGCACGACGCGACGAAGTTGGCGGCACGCGCACCTGCGGCGGTGGCGGTAAGCCAGAGGGTAATAATAAGGGCCGGAGGGATGCACTTCATTGTTGTTGGTTTCTAGAATCTCTTGTTGTCAGGAAATTTCAAGTTACACTTTTCTTTCTCTCTACTACCTCCGGATTCGAAGTGACAGAAAGTTCGCTCAGGGAATGCACCAGCTAATTGGGCGCTTCACATCTGAGAATTGGCGTTTAGGGCTGTTGAGCCGGGCAATGACCCTGGTTTAAACGAGGAGCAGCGGCCTGCGGTGGTGGAAAAGTGGCAAAAGGAAGGTTGTCGAAATTGAATGCCCCCGCGAAGTCTGTAGCACCTTTACAGGCACCTTAAAGCCTGGCCAGAAACCGGGTTGAGGAGTCCAAGAAAGAGGTTCTTGGCTACAAGTCTAAGTCAGGTCTAATTATAGCCGTCTTATCTCTGGAGTAATTAGAGACGTCAATAAACCACTCCCGGGTAAATCAATCTTGGAAGCCCATGGTGTTGGTAACAGTCGTATGGAGCTTCCGGACGATTGGCCGGCAATATATGAGGTCTAAAGTGACACGGAACATGGAGCATCTGGAAAGAGACTAGGGGATGTTTCCTTTTTCTTGAACCCATTTCAGCTTCAAATAGGCTTCGCTTCTCACGTTTTCATAATCATCTGTGATAAGACGCCGATAAGAGCCGGAATGGTTAAGTGTTATTCGAATCTCTTTCTCGGTCTTCCTTGAGAGGAGGCATGCGGACCGTGAATTCTGATGTTGCTGCTGCAGTGTAACACAGCCGAATTTGTACAATACCTTGAGACAGCAGAGGTAGATCTAATAAATTCCTACCCTCATTGTCGAGAATCGGCCAGCATACGGCTTGAACGCAGTTTGTATTCCTGGGTCGATCTGCGTGACAAGCTGAGGCTAAGCATACAGATACTAATTCATCGGCAATACGCTCCATGCTGAAATGGCCCCTGAGATTGTCGGATCCTTCCCAAACCGCCACGACGAGCCGAAACCCATAACAAAGACAAGCTGTCGCTAACGTGGGGAGCCCGAAAACGTAGATCTGGGCCTGGTAATTACTAGTAGTTCATTTTCTTTTTGGGTCGAATTGCGTGATCTGCGAATTACGCAAGCATGAAATGAGGAGCTTTTGGCGCTTTGGGAATTGAGGTTTCCCTGAACTAGCGCAAAAACTCTCCCTTGTGGACTTGCCTGACTAAGTATCCGTAAGTTGCATCCCGAAAGGGTTGTATTGCTATACTGCCTGGCTGCGCCGCATCACCCGCTGGCTCACCCGCGCTCACCCCGCTCGCGCGAGTAAAAGCGACAAAAGCTCACCCGGCTCACCCGGCTCATCCCATTGGCGGGTGAACCGGAGCCATGCACGCGCCGGTAGCAGTCCCAGACCAGAAGTCACGGGGTTTGTGTCGCTTGTGTTCCAACTTCCGTGAGGCTGAGGCTGTGTCCTGTAACTCCTGTTCCTCACTCCGAGCCCTGAACTTAGGATCCGCTTAGAGGTCCGATTCGTACGGCGACAAACGAAGCACGCGTCCGTCGACAACTCATTTTGTTTGTTGCGTATGCCATGCCCCGAAGATGAATGACGCATTTTGTCTCCCCTGCCAGTCCCTGTTCGAGGGAGCCCCAGACTCAGAGGCAGACTGGACTGAGAAGTTCAGGCGCAAGCCGATTCGGTCGCATCGAGCTCACGGAGGCGCGGTCGCCCTGCGGGACTGTGCACAAACTCGATGCCTTCTTTGCGCGGCCCTTTGGAATGGACTGCCACGAATGCACCAGGACAGGTGGCTAAAGGAAGACAAAGCTTCCTCATCGGCCGAGCAACGAAAAACAATTCCGTTCGAGGTCGAACTTTCCGAGTCCACAGGCTGTGACGGACCTTTTGTGGACATCAAGATATACGGCGATGACGCGGTTTCGGGCTGCCGCTTCCATTTTGCAGCTCTCGGTACGTGTTGCTTGAGGTCGACTACTCCAGGTTGAAGCTGAAACGTTTCTGACTTGGGCTTGATTATGGATGGTACAACAACAGACGGGTCAGAAACCGAAGCTCTTATGGTGTCACCCTTGCGATCGCAGGATGAATGCGAATCAACCTCATCCGACGAGTCAATGCAGTGGGCGAAACAAATGCTTGAGAAGTGCGAAGCTCACCACGAGAAATGCCAGACCACGCCGCCGACGACGACAGGCCCGAGGTTACCGACCAGGCTCATTTTTCTAGGCAAGCCGGGCGAAATGCCGCGTTTGATCGAGACGTCGGAAAAGCTGCTTGTACCCTGCTCACCGCCGCTCAGATACACGACTCTAAGTCACTGCTGGGGGGAAGTCCATCCCCCTAAACTGACGAGTGAAAACCGACGGCAATTCTACAATGGAATACGAGGCCAGGAATTACCAAAGTCTTTCACCGACGCCCTAAATATCACCAGGTTTCTCGGCATCGAGTATATCTGGATCGACTCTCTCTGTATCATCCAGGGTGACAAAGAAGATTGGGAGCATGAATGTACACGAATGGCCGACGTCTACCGGAATAGCTATTGCAACATCGCGGCCCTTGAAGCTACCGATAGTCGCGGCGGCTGTTTTCAACGGCGAGATCTGACACTCCCCCGCCCCATCGTCGTTGAAAGCAGATGGCACGGTCAAGATAAGGCTCTCTGGGTGTACAAACCGGATCTGGCGCTCCGTCAGCTCGGTTGGGAGATCGACGATTCTCCGGTCCATCGGCGTGCCTGGGTGCTCCAAGAGCGTCTATTGTCACGGCGGATTCTCCATTTTGGGCGGAAGATGATATATTGGGAATGCAAGGAACTGCTTGCCTCGGAAGCCGGCACGACGTTCGATCCAGCTTCCCTGTATCACTACCTACGTAACCCCCTTAGCTGCGACATCGTAAACCCCGCGAGATTATCGCAAGATGAGATTTACAACCTCGTACGGGCATGGAGTGAGACTGTCGTACGCCGCTACACGGGTGCAAGACTCACATTCCAAACCGACAAATTCATTGCCCTTTCGGCCCTGGCTCGCGAACTGCACCAGATCCTCAGCTTCGGGACCGACAGGGAAGTGAAATATCTTGGAGGACTGTGGAACCTATTCCTTGAGCGCCAGCTGCTGTGGATCGCGCTTTACCCTGAGACAACCACGAAGCTTTCGCATATTACTGACGGCGTAACGGCACCGTCATGGTCTTGGGCCTCGCTCAACGGGCCTGTGGAAATATTTTCCGGTGGGAGAGATGACTTTGAGCTGGTCGCCCACGTTACCGGTCATACTCTTACCCCCAACTCCGGCGATCCTTTTTTCGGACCTGCGGCGCAGTCGAAGAGCGTGCTTGAAATCACAGGTCTCTGCTGGAGACTCGCCGCTTCGGAAGGTACCGAATATCCGATAGTCCTTAATCTGAATTTGGATTCCGCCGGGGACTCCTCGGCGGCCAGGACCGCCAGCTTGTTACTACCAATTGCTATTAACCTTCAGCAGCGCTACGTAGTAGGCTTGATGCTGCGGGAAGTAGAACACATGGAAAGCACCACGTCGTATGAAAGGGTGGGCGGCTTCGTCTTAGCCGGCTTTTCAGCTGACCAGAGTCCCGCTGGAAGGTGGCAGGCGTGGCTGGACAAAGCTATCGACTTTCTTCTGGGACACAAAATCATCTGGCCGAGCCAACTGGGCGGCCAGCCCAACCAGGATGCGACAGTCACCCGCGATATCAGGGAGAAGGCGACCACTCGTCAAACCATCTACCTTGAGTGATGCTTGCATCCATTCATATCTAGTTACCTACACTGGCATCAGCCGGATACAAAAAGTGCGCCGGCAGGATGAACAGCGTACCCCAGCAGACGGCACTCCGCTACGCTGCAGTACACCTTGGTCCTATCCGCCGGAAAATTCGGAATCCTCCCGGCGTTCTGCAACTTCTTGGTATACCCAAACAGCACGACCCCCTTCACCTGCTCGCGGATCCCGGCCGCCAGCTCGCCGACCGCGCTGGCCACCACGGCCGTGCCCTGGCTGTACCCGCCCGCGACGACCGCGGCGTCGGGACACTTTTGGTTGGCTAGCGTCAAGAGACGCTTGGCCTCGTCGATGGCGGCGCGCGAGGTGCCCGCGGGCAGGAAGTTGTCTTGGAGCATGGCCAGGCAAGGTCCCGCCGACGCCCCTGGACCCAGATGTTGTTTGGGTAGCGCAGCTCGAGGGCCGAAGCGAGGACCGGGCCGGCGGAGATGCCCTGCGGATATTCGAGTTAGGTGATCGAATCGTGGTTTGGGTTAATTACCCGCTTGTTCGGTGAAGGACATTCACATTACCATGTTGCCGGGCTCGGTCGAGCCGCGGGCAAAGATGTAGATGACTGGGGGCAGTTGGCGGAGCTGCCGCGCTCGAGGTCGGTGCGGATGCTGCTGAGCTGCCGGGCCTCGAGCTAGAGCCGCCGGTATAGGTACTATAACGTATCGCTAGAAAGGCATTACAAAGTGCGCCGCCGCTAGCGTAACAAGAGACGCGCCCTAACCTACTATAGGCGCCGGAAGGACGGCGCCGGTCGCCGAGGCTTAGAGAGGTATAATGTGACGAAACCCAGGCAGTCCTGCCTCTGAAAGGGTTCTTCCGTCGAAGGTATTGCTGGTCGGGCTGTAGGTCTCGGTGAAGCCAGAAGGTTTACAACAATGCTAGCTGCAATGTTTGCACAATAGATAGAGACTAAAGACTATTGCTTCAATAGCTCACTGAGGAAGCTAGCTACCTAAAGGAGTGATAGAAGGATGAATCTATATACAGCTTCCTCTTCCTAAGTGCTCGCCGTACTCACAGCTCGAGTACCCCCGAGCACTTGGATGCTCGTCGTGCTATAACTTCGATCACCCCAAGCATCTTGCATGCTGCAAGCAGTGCAAGGTGCTCTCTTGTCTTGGCGCCATAGCACTTCCAGCCCTTCCTGATTGGCCCGTCCTGCTATTCTGAGTGATTGGTCCGGGACGTTCCCTATGCCCCGCATGTGGTCTCTTAATATGCAGCCTCAAGGTATGAATGAAGCAGCTCAGGCGTTGTTATTGTGTTCTATGCTACCTCGCAACTGCCCCGACTGGGAATAAGTGGCTAGGTGCTTTGACAAGCAGGCATAACCTTAGTCAACCTTCTTGAGAGTCTCCCTCATCATTCTGGGTCTGAGTCCAGTAACCTTGCCCCTCTGATCGATCTCAAACTCGAAATCATCACTTCCAACATTCCCGTACGTCAGCATGTCCACTAAGCCCCATGATAGGCATCCACCACTGAAAGGACCAGCAGGCGCCTCTGTTGCCCCTTCCCTGGCCTTTGCCTCCGACTCTTCCACAGCTTTAGCTTCATAAATACCCCTGAAGGACATTGTTCGGTCGTCTTCCAGCCCCATCGGGTACAGTCTCAGGACAGGCTCTACCCCTGACCCCGGCCATATGAATGAGGCATGCGTGGATAGTACATCGATGCCTCCACGGGTCCAGTTCCGAACCACGAGCGTCTGGTTCATTTCTACCGTCAGCTTATTCGAGGTTCCCTGATATACGCCGGCAAACCGCGCGGCGGCAGTCTCGCGAGCCGCGTACTCAGCCGCTGGCAGCAGCGTCTCTGCGAGAAGATCAGGGAGATAGCCCAGCAATTTGTCGCTTCCAGAGCCTGCAAGAAGCACCACGTAGCCTAATTCGTGATCTGGCGAAAGAACAATCATTGCACTGTAAAGCCCGAAAGCGCCGTTTTTCGTGTAGAGATCGACAACACGCGTACCGCGGTGGCCAAGCGGGAGAAGGGCTCGACGAATCTCCCAAGGCATGCCAACAGACAGATGGAGGTCCGCAGTGTGGGTCATAGGCTTGAGCCAGGAGCGGGTCGTGGACGGGTGGAGGATAGATGAGTTCAGGATGGATTGACCGAGTCGTGTAAGATCTGCAGCTGTGGAAAAAATGCCACCGTATCTATAGATATTTTAGCCCTGTAAGACGAAGAGTGAAAGGAACATGGAAGTACTTACGGGCTAGAGTCTCCCGTCGTGATGTTCCACCATGAAAGCAGATCATTCTCGGGGATGATGGCATTCTTCTTGCTCTTGGGAGCCTCCAGTGTCGTACGCTTCATCGAGAGGGGCCGAAGCAGCGAGGATTCAAGAGACTTCTCGAACGAATTTCCTGTCATTCCCTCGAGTGCATAGGCAAGAATTTGGTACGCAAGGTTTGAGTACACGGGGGTGTTTGACGTGGACGTGATGGGAAAGTTGGTTTGAGCCGTAAGGCCCTGGAAGAACTCTGAGCACCAGGGTTAGCCAATATGTTCAGCTCGGGGATATCCTCGAATTCACCTTTACGGGAGCAAGGTCCCAAGCTTGGTTCTGCTATACTGCACCTTGGTTTCTCTTTGTCGTCGAGGACGGGCAATCCGTATTGCTCAGGGTTGGCGTTTGATGGTCCAATAAAGGTGGCGATGTCGAAGAGCCCAACTAACACGATAGTTAGAATCGCCAACTTCATAGAAACTGGAGATGCGCTTACGATTTCGACTAATCCCTGCCATGTGCCCGCAAAGCTGACCGATGGTGACTTCATCCCACTGGACTCTGCGCGCAGGATCACCCTTGTTTTTCTTGGCTGCACGCGCAAGCTCGGGCACCCATCTCGTTACGGGATCATGCATGCGCTCCATTCCGACCTCAGCAAGTAAGGTGTACACTGTGATCAGCTTTGACACGCTCCCTATGCGAAATACAGTATCCTCATTGAGCGTTTGTGAGGTCAGGAAGCCCTTCATCTCTGGAGGAACATATCCATGTTGGAAGAGAGTCTCGGAAGCGGAGAAGGCCTGGACGTAGAAAGTAGCGTTGAGGCCCTGGAAGGTCCCGTTCCTTCCAAACTCATGGAAGGTGTTGTTGAGTCGGTCCATGGTGTCTGCGAAACTACTGGAAGAGAGTGGATCGCGTACGGGTGGGAAGACAGGACCCAGGAGAGGACATGGGCCTCGTTGCGCATGGCTCTGCTGTGGTAGGACGGCGAGGCCGAAGGAAAGAATAGAATAGAGATATTTCATGATGATCTGGAGTATATTGCTGTCTCATGGAAGATCGTGATGAAAATCAACTGTCACAGAGAGTGCGAGTTCGACTGCTTTATATAACGAGGCTTGTGAACGGAGTCAAGGAGAGGATCGCGCAGAGAGCGAGCCCCCATCAAAGCAACAACACCAATATCCACCCAATGGTTCCATGGGACAGTCCTAACAGCTCTCTGAGTGGTTGACTCGCTCATCAGGCTTGCACTCAGCCTCGCAGGCATGCTTCGTGTGATCATGAAGGGATTGCGAGTCCATTAAGCTTGAACTTGCGGAGAAACCAATCAGCGTGAGGCTGCTCTGTAGATCCGCCGTGATTGGTCGGCTCGCTCAATTGATGCCGCTTTGGGCTAAAGGCCCGCTTTTCCGCCGTCGCCGCATTTCACACCGCCACGCACTGTGATGGGGTCAGGTGAGATGGGATGAGCTTTTCTCTCCTCAGAGTTTTCTTGGGGAAGCTCTGCAAATGAATCACACAAACGATGATGAAAACGTCTCATTGTCCTGAGTACGTGTCCAGAAGACGTGTCTCGAGCGCTACGTCATGGTCGGTGTAGGGCCTAAGGTAGCCGCTGTTGGTGCAGGTCGACCACGCCGAGCATACCACACCAAGACCAAGACTGGCTGTCGCACCTGTAGGTAAGTTCGTGGATCTATGCCGTACCTTGAGATTCGATTCACTCGGGAAACAAGCTGAGACACTGACGCTGTCAGGGTCCGTAAAGTGCGCTGCGATGAAGGCAAACCCGACTGTGTGCGTTGTACCTCCACTGGCCGGACGTGCGACGGTTACGCTTCCTTCTCACCTTCTTCACCCGCTTCATCGTCAATATCCAAATCGCCCTCTCCTTCACAGGGCCATGAGCCACCTAATGCCACCGCCGATCTCAAGCTGATCCTACCACGGCAAAGTCCTCAAGAGGTTCGCAGCTATCGGTACTTCATTGAAGTCACGGCTCCGTCCCTCGCCGGTGCTTTTTATGCCGACTTCTGGCTTGCCGACGTTCCACGCGTCTGCATGTCTGATGCAGCCATATGGCATGCCGTGGTTAGCCTTGGTTCTGCCCATGAGGACTTTGCACAACATGGCTGCGCGTCCGGGAGCGAGTTTACACTCAGGCAGTTCAACTCCTCTATCCGATGTCTCACCGAGTCGCGATCGCCTAGATTTACAGATCGCTGGAGAGCCCTTACCATCAGTACCATCTTTACGTACATATGCACCATCAAAGGATTGCATGATCAAACGCAGATGCATCTTCAGGCAGGACGCAACCTCCTTCGGGAGCTTCAGGAAGATGGCTTGAGGGTAACAACTGCTGCAAACCAAAGTCGACTTCGAGATTCTGCACCACCGACAACCTCAATCACATCAATTCCCATATCACTCGCTCCGATACAGTCTATTCTGGTCAACCTGGAGCTGCAGGCAAATGCACTCGATCAGGGTGGCATTGTCGATAACCCGGTTTTGCTCGCGCAGAACAAGTTACTCAATACATGGCGCTCTTATGCGGCGCCTCAGTCCTCGGCTCGCCCGACTACAGAGAACGTTAAACAAGCTCATCGTGCTGCCGAGTCGCTGTTTTTTGGACTGGTTTTGTCTTCTCAAGAACATGCAAAGCAGCTTGGTGATCTTCGAATTGGCAAGGCCGGGCTGGATGTGCTATCTCGTCTAGTTGTGCGACAAGAGGCTCATACGAGATGCTTCAGAGAGATTGGCAAAGCAATCGACATCTTCCAAAAAGATGTGGATTCACCTCCTAACACCCCAGGGCATGTCAACCGATTGAAAGAGCACACAATCCTTCCGGTGCGCCTCTTCCATACCACCAACCGCATCCTTCTAATTCAAGACCCAGATGAGCATGACTTGGTGCAGCGCCAACGGAGCCTCCCTGCCTTGTTTGCCTCTGTAGTCGACCTCGCTGAGCAAATCCTGGATCTTGATCCCGTCAAGACCCTTGGAGTAACATATACGCAACAACTCTTCTTAGTCGCTCATAGTGGCATCGGCCAGTCAATCCGCCGGCGTGCCGTAGCTTTGCTGCGGCGCCCAAGGCTGGAAGATGGTTGGGATAGTCGCATCTCTGCACGTCTTGCCGAGGCGGTCATGGACAGAGAGATGGAGGCAGCGTGGGAATATGAGATGGAGCAAGGCCTGAGTGCAGGGAAGGTGGGAGAGCAAGAGGAGGATGTCGACCCAATGTTTCGCATATACAATTTGACTTTTTCTTTTACGGGAAGGCGAGAGGGGCGGACTGTCCTGAGGACGTGGCGGGAGAAGCTGAACAATATTGCTGGGAAAGAAAAGACAATCTGTTGGTGATGATATAAATGAATTGAAGGCTCATAACTCATAGTAGACAGAAGCTGTCTACCACTGTTTTGGAATCGCTTACGGGGTGGGTAGTTTATGGATGGCTAAACATATTATTGAAATATGCCGTGCACTTACTTACAACTTCGTGTATTCGCGAGTATCGTCCTTCAACATCGAGTATTTGGTCCCGACTCAGCGTTACAGTTTTGAATAGTTTAGTAGTGGTTGTGAAAGGTACATTTCGTGCGACAGATTTTAGGCCTTGCACATCCTGCCATCAATAGCCACATTCCATTGCTCACTTCCAACTCCATTCAGGGCATAGAAGAAGCCATCAGGATCCCATTTGTCTTTGATGCGCTGCAGTGCGTTGTAGTTGCTTACAAAGAACATCTTCTACCAGTTTAGCTGTCGAAAGTCAGCTTCGTTTTGGTATGCCCCGCCATTAGGAGTAACGGCTTCGATGGCAGGCATAAAAACATTGGTCATAAGATCCTGGTTCGCGATCATGTCAGTCCTAGGAGCTTGGAAGCTCCATGGAGTTGTAAGGGCGACTACTGCCGTTCCTTGGCCGAGATAGTATCAGGTGAAAAGCGCAAAGCTATAACGTATCTTATAAGCGAGATGAACATATAAGCGAGTTGAATACTTGCCACTATACTATAACAATCAACTACAATTACAATACAACAATATTATGAACCTACTATAATTACATCAGAAACGGCTGAATCAGATGCTTCTGCAACCTTCTGACAAGTGCGGGCATTATAACCAGGCTTGCCGCATACACTATAGCACTGAACCTTCGTACGAGCTTCCCCTGTACCACTACCATCCGGCTACATTTCTTATGCCACCTCCCCAACCATAGCCTTTTGGTCTAGTAGATCCTTTGAATCTTATACTGCAAGTGATACTCCAAGCTATACACATGTTCTTTTAGCTCTTCGGCGCTTGCTTAGCGCCTTGTTGGCTTTATAGAGCGAAGACACCTCTGCCTAAAAGAGGGCCACCTGGTGCATTATAGCTATTGTACCCTTGGTAAGTGTGACGGTAGAATCCACCATACCATGGCATAGGCCATTGCTTAGTCATGTGCCCGGCTTCCGGTGCATGCATGCATGATTGGTCAACCTGGTTGGTACCCCACCTTCCACATCTGGGCACATGCCCTACATCCTATATTTAGACTTCTTCGCACCTTGCAGTCTTCGAGGATTCCTTTCCATGTCACGAGGGCCGTCGTTCAAGGCCAGGGTCAAGCCTCTGGTGGTAAACTGACTGCATTGCAAGAATATTGAACTTGTAGGAGGAAAGAAATCCTCGAGACTACAAGGTAGGCTTTAAATACAGGATGCGAGTAGGTCTGAGCTTGCATGCATGATGTAATGGAACATGTATAATGAATCATCACTTAGTCTGATGAATCATTATACATACAAATGATATCATCATCATAGTCGGTGCGTTCCACCGTCATATTCCTCTCATAAGTTCAATATTCTTATAATGCAGTCAGTTGCTTACTAGAGCTTTAAGCCTGGCCTGTGACAACAGTCACCGTGATAAAGACCTATATTCTTTAATATCTTTCTTAATAACCATATACTATATAATAGTGTAATCACATTTATAGTAATTTTGTGAATCTTCTAATTCTAACTATACTTATCTTTTATATATATATATATGATGGTGAAATGTACTGACTATGGTGATGATATTATTTGAATGTATAATGATTCATCATACCAAGTGATGATTCATTATACAAGTTCCATTACATCATGCATGCAAGCTCAGACCTACTCGCATCCTGTATTTAAAGCCTACCTTGTAGTCTCAAGGATTTCTTTCCTCCTACAAGTTCAATATTCTTGCAATGCAGTCAGTTTACCACCAGAGGCTTGACTCTAGCCTTAAATGATGGCTCTCGTAATAATATATATAGTATTAGTGATGGTGCAATTAAACATAGTAGGTCTTCCTCGGAAGACCGTGCTTTCTATGACGGTGGAACCCACCGTACCATGGCACAGGCCATTGATTGGTCAACCTGGTTGGTGCCCCACCTTCCACATCTGGGCACATGCTCCACATCCTGTATTTAGACTTCTTCGCACCTTGCAGTCTTCAAGGATTCCTTTCCTCCTGCAAGTTCAATATTCTTGCAATGCAGTCAGTTTACCACCAGAGGCTTGACCCTGGCCTTGAACGACGGCCCTCGTGACACTTTCCTAGCTTCTACTATCTTTGAAGACTTACCTTCTTTGATACCTTTCTCAACAACTATATACCATACAATAGTGTAACTACATTTATAATAATCTTCTAAATTTTCTAATTTGAACGATATCTACCTTATATATATATATATATAATAGTAGTGGTAGAGGCTAATATGGTAATCATAAAAGCCGCGAAAAAGGTCCCTCTGGACTCAGACCAGCTGGCGCTAGTGTTGTACGGGGGTTCTGATTGGTCGGGATTGCCTGAGCATGGTAGTGGGTCCTCACGGTACTTCACCGCGCCACAGCTGATCTGAGCACCTGAGACTAGGCACACGACAATCACCATCGATTATGGGTGCTACAACATGATATACAGTTGCGCGGGCGATGTCATCACATCTTGGCTAGAGAGTGTGATAGAAGAACTACGCGACGAGTTTCCGAAGACACGCAGCGGGAAACGGAAACGAGAGCCCGATCGATTCACTCCGTCTCCGTCGTCGTCGACCACATTTAGTATGAGTGCCAAGAGACGGAGAGGCGAGGTGGCAGATGCCGACGACATCTTTGCCACGCCCCAGCCTCCGCCTCGCGCACTAACCGATGCGTCGTCAACGTAGTCCATCTCCTACGGCGACAACAACAGCACGGGCTCCTTTCCAGCGCTTACCACACATTTTAGCTCCAAGACGCCCATCAAGCAGTTTCAGCGGATGGAGGTGGCAGCCCACGATCCCGTCCGCCTTCGCCAGCTCTCCGTCGAGGATCCCGAGCTCCCCGAGACCTTGAGGACCATCGTCCAGGATCTATCCCTCCTTGCCAAGAGCCGCGGTATTATCCACCAGGGACTCCAGGCAAGCCCCCTTCCTGCCTGTTGTCTGGTCACGGTGCTAACGTATTTCCCACTCCTAGTCCACCCTTCTAGAAGCCCGACGAAACCGACCTCCGTCTGGACGATGTAGACGATGTTGCCTTCGTCTCGGCCAGCCTCTGCAGCCGTCTAGCTCATCCTAACCTGCACCCGTACCAACCCAACGCCCCCCCCTTGGCCTGCCCACCGCTCGGTGGTGCTCGACATTCACTCTGCCGCCAAGGAATGCCAAAACGAGATGCACCCCGAGGCCTCGTGGAATATGCTTGTCCACCAGCGGATCCTCGCCTTGGCCGCGCCACCGTGCTGGGAGAGAGAGGGCCCGGTGCACTTCATGCCCTGTACGACGGCCAAGATCCACCCGGCATACCGTCGTGGCTCCGGGACCGGATCCGCCAAGATGGTCGACTTCGCCATGTACGTGGAGCCCTCGGCGTTCGGGGTCGACGATGCAACCGCTGTTGACAAGGCCCGGACACGTCTCCCCGAGGCCTCTATTAACCACACCGACTTCGCCCCCCTTCGCCGCCGACCCATCGCACTGAGCATCCAGAGTAAGGCGACCGGTCATCAGTTGCTGGAAGCCGAAGTCCAGGTGGGCGTCTGGCTGGCCGCCCAGTGGCGCATGCTCGAGTCTCTCTCCGAGGACAAAGCAGCAGCTGTTATGCCGCCATTTCTCCCCGCAGTCATCATCCAGGGCCACGACTGGCACTTTGTTTCCACCACACGCAGCGGCGGATGTACTACCCTGTGGGCGAAGCAGACGTTTGGCTCCTCGGAGACGGTTCTCGGCATCTATCAGCTCGTCTGCATTCTGCGATATCTGGGGCAGTGGGCTGCGCAACATTATTGGTCGTGTTTCCGACAATGTATTCTCTAGTCCCTAAAAAAAGGGAAGAGGATTGTAGTCGGTGAGAATAGTTAGTGATCAATCGAGGGTCAGTTGGGGTTCAGGTGGAGGATCAGTCAGTGTGACGGTTTGAGCACACCAAGTAGGGATAGGACTCCGCAGATCATTCCAATTTCCAAAGGCTTAAAGTCCAATGAGCCCGCTCGCAACGAGAATCAAACGTCAAACATCTGCCACAAAATTGACGACAACCTTGCCCTGCCGACCCCGCCGCCTAGCAAAGTCCCAAGCCTCCACAGCCTTGTCAACACTGAACTCCACAACGGGCAATGGCTTGACCGTTCCCTCAGCAATCAACCCTGAAATCTTACCCAAGGTTTCACTGTCCGGTGAGACAATAAAGTAGGTATATCTCACCCCCGGACGGCCCTCCAGCTCTCTCGGCACCGCCCCCTTGTCCGTGGCCCATACCGGAGGCGGATCAGCAACGGTAACCACGACGCCGTCGTCCTTGACCGTGGCCCACGCCCTGGCCAGAACCTCCCCGCCCGCCGCATCAAATACGGCATCCACACTCTTCATCCCAACCCCCCTCTCCCAGTCAGCCGCCGTGTAATCCACTGTCTCGTCGGCTCCCAGCTCGCGCAAATATCCATGCTTCGCCCCGGACGCGAGCGCAACCACCCTCGCACCTATAACCTTCTTGGCCAACTGCACCACCATACTCCCGACCGCCCCGGACGCCCCCGTCACCAACACTCTCAAACCGCTGGTTGGTATCGGCCTCGGCGACCAGGCGCGCTTAAAGAGCGCTTCCCACGCGGTCAGCGCGGGTATGGGCAGCGCTGCCGCCTGCGCGTGGGACAAACATTTCGGCTTGCGAGCTAGCTCCTCCGGACGAGCATAGACGTAGTCGGCTTGGCCCTTACCGCGGTCTGGGTGTAGCAGGGCGGAGACTGAGTCACCGACTGACAGGGGGCCAGTATAAGTGGACGGCAGCGAGGCGACAACGCCCGAGATTTCAAATCCGGGGATGTGCATGGGGTTGGAGGCGGAGTAGAGTTCGGGCCAGGTTAGTTCATCGGCTGTCAGGCCGGCCGAGTGGACGCGGATGAGGATCTCTGAGTTGGGGGCGTGGGGGTCGGGTGTGGGGAGGGGATGGAACCGGCTGAGGGATACGGTCGGGTTGGTTTTGGGGCCGAGAATTTGGATTGCGTTCATGTTTTGGGGCAGTAGTGCAGTAATCAGGTATTAGTGATGAGTGGATAGGAGGTTTTGGTATCTAAATAACCACAAAGCCCTGGGGGTTTGGCTTTATAGAACGTCGAAGCCAGCATTGTACGAGGTAATGCGCGCTGAGTCAGGGATATGCGTCAAGTCCGCTCACAGTGTTGCCTCGGCAAAACCAACTTGAGAAAGAATGGGTCAACTAGGTAGGTAGTTGAAAGCATTATTAGTAAGCTTTACTAATTTTGCATGGCTCCCGCCATCGACGAAAGTCCGACTCTCCGGCTGACGAGACACGGGTGACTGGCGGAGTCACCCGTTGCTCCCGGATTGCTTTTATAAAGCTCTCGAAAATTTCACTGTCGCTAGTTGCTAACTTGTTTTCGGGCTTGTCTGGTAGTAAAGGGCGCCCAAACTCTCTGACGGGATCGTTCACTCAGCCCCACACTAAATAATCCCCCAGAGAGCGAGCACATTAGAAAAAGTCGGCTCCGGAAAGCTTCCGGCTTGTATTGTCCGGCCCGGTAAGCAGCACAAGGCCCGCCCATCGTATTAACCGGTATCTATTCACAGACGTCCACACAACGCCGGCGAGTCCAAGAAGTCTCTCAAATTTTATCGTCGAGCACAGAGTATTGGCGTGAGAGACGGGCAGGTCGCCTGGCAACCCTAATTCAGGATTTGGGATCGCCGGCTCAAACGAAAGAGGCCAATTCGTACCTGTCTCCATCAACCGCCCGAAGCCCGTGGTGAGGCATGTTGGCCCAGGAAAGCCTCAATCAGAGCGGTGAAACGAACAGACAGTGAGTGGCTTAATCCACGAAGATGGCACCGTCTCTTAGGTACGTGATGCCGGTCTGGAACCCTCTGAGGGGCCTGGTGCTTCCAGACAGCCAGGCAGGCACCCAACCCGCCCAACCTCGATACCAGCCCAAGGCCACCGGGCTTGCAAATGATAGCGGTCCGGTCCCCATATGGGAGGGAGGTGCAGATGGAGCCCATTTGTGAGATGTTCACGGGTCTAGACACATTATACGATAACCCCAACAGCTAATTCACGTGAAGTCGAGTGAGCAAAGGCACCTAACTCAAGAACCCCGTATCCGTGGTCATCACGCCATAATGATCTATGACCAAGAGTTTGGATGATACGGACATGTCGAAAAATGGCGACAGGGGCAAGTGGGGAAGGCTTGTCGAATCAATGCGCGGCCGACAAAGACACGCAACTCCCAGGCTCCCTGCCCCGCAGAGGGGGAGTCTGGAGAGTGGCACGGCGGCGCTGAAGCCATGCACCACTCGATGGCATCACCCCCAGTAAAATGTTGCACGCGTTGTCGGGTGTGGTTGCGTCGCATTGTCATGATTACCCTTGTTTGGCCGGGCGCTCCGGCATCAGTATAAGCATCTAGCAGCTCGGCGATTCTGGTAAAACAGTGTTTTTGCCCCGTGTCTCACTGCTACCAAACCGATCTACTTCGCTCAGTCACCTGTGAACCGGCTTGCTGAACATGGCTGCTGCCGCAGTTCAACGACTTCTGGCCTCCAGGCCCGTTGGCCAACCAGATATCGGCTACACGCCTGATCACAACAAGTATCTTGACAGATCCAGGAGACGACAGGAAACAGAAGCCCTTCCCAAAACGCTTCCTCCGGGATTTCCCAGCGAGCTCAAGTCTAAGCTGGTTTGGGATGGCAACAGCCTGGCCGAGGCTTACGACTGGAACTACCATCTGAGCGACGACGACTTGGCTGAGATTCACTCTGCTTTGCAGCACTTCAAAGGTTTGCCCTGCTCTGCCATCTATGGTGAGGCATGTCAGGGCTGACCAGCGCAGGACTGAACGAACCTCTCGGCTTCGTCAGCCGGGATATCTTTCCTCTGCCTAAGTTGCACCACCGATTACGCGAGATCTCTGACGAGGTCCACAACGGCCACGGGTTCAAGGTGATCAGGGGCGTGCCGGTGACAAAGTACACGCGGGAGGAGAACATCATCATCTACGCCGGTATCGCGTCTCACATTGCGCCCATCCGCGGCCGGCAAGACAACCAATTCGACGGGAAGCCGGCCGACGTGGTGCTCGCACACATCAAGGACCTGAGCAGCCAGGTCGAGGCCACCCAGATTGGGTCGCCCGCCTACACGGCCGAGAAACAGGTCTTCCACACCGATGTGGGAGACGTCATTGCCCTGTTTGCGCTGGGCGAGGCGGCCGAGGGTGGGCAGAGCTATCTGTCAAGCGCCTGGAAGGTCTACAACGAGCTAGCTGCTACCCGGCCCGACCTCATCTGGACGCTGTCCGAGCCTTGGGCTGCTGACACGTAAGCGCAATCACCTACTTTACATCCCGTGCGCCTCGGACAGCGCTTATGAAAAACGCAGATTCGGCAAGTCCGACAAGCCCTACAACCTCGCCCCGCTGCTGCATTTCCAGCCCAAGACAGAGACGCAGCCCGAGCGGCTGATCATCCAGTATGCACGCCGGTCGTTCACGGGCTACTGGGGCCTTCCCCGGTCGTCCGACATCCCGCCCATCACCGAGGCGCAGGCCGAGGCCTTGGATGCGCTGCACTACACGGCCGAGAAATACGCCGTCTCGCTCGACTTTCACCAGGGCGATATTCAACTGGCGAATAACCTAAGCATTTTCCACGCCAGAGCCGGGTTTAGAGATTCGAAGGAAAAGCAGTGAGTTTCCTTCGAATCTCGAGTCTAGAACAGATCCAGTTGTTTCTGACAACGTTTTAGGCGTCACCTGGTCCGCCTGTGGCTACGCGACCCCGATCATGCCTGGAAGACGCCCGAGGTGCTGCAGCCGCGCTGGGACTATGTGTACAAGGGGGTGACGCCCGAGGCCAGCGTCTTGCCTCTGGAGCCTTACATCAGAAGTGCCAGCAGCGGCAGCAAGAATGAGGTGGATCATTGAGGGAGGCGAGACGGGCCTCCTCCTGATGTTTGAGCCTGCAATCAGTGGGGATTGTTTGAACCGTTTCTCATTGGTCTGGCGATACTGTTGCAGTGATGTTGATGTGGCGCCCCAGCTTGATATCCAAGTCGAGGCTGATGCCGGAGTTGATATTGAGACCGATGTGAATGCCGACGTTGCTAATAAGCGGCGTTTTTGGTTCTGATGCTAATGCCATTATCAGTCTGTCCAGCAGGTGACACAATCGAATCCGGTCGGTCAGTCTGGTGTGTGCACTCACGTGGATCCCCATTTTGAACTCTCGCTCTTTCGCGCTCCAAAGGACGGGGTGGAAATGCGGGCTCGCTGCTCATGCAATGACATCTTAATGCAACAACATGACGAAAATGCTGCTGCCGAAAGTACCAGACCGAGCAGACTTGACTTGGTTATCAAGCTCGCCAGATTAGGGTGTAGGGATGTTGCTCTTCAACAGCAGAACTCGTCGGGCTCGTCTCGCTCGTGTACCACAGTAGGGGATGCCATGCCGCATGCGAGATCGACGCGCTGCAACCGCCCGCGCGCAGCATCCCAGGGTTACACAATGATGCGAGCAACACCCAGCATTACGAACGCGTCAAACAAAAGCTGAAAACTCAGTCCCAGATAGCCTCCACACGAGTCGGGTTGGTTGACAAACCAATGCTTTCCCAGGTGCCGGGCAGGAGGGGCAGCAATTTCACGTGGATAGAAACATTCCCGGCCCGGCAGTATCATATTTCAACCCCCGGTCTCTACCTGCCACTCACAGTCCGGATGCCGATGGCGTTATCTTTGCCGCCGATGAGCAACCACTGCCGTGCGGCAAGCTCCCGCAACTCGGCGGCGGAACACGCACTCCCAGACCGTGTTGCACACCTGTCGACCAGCCATTGACCCTGGAAGCCCATGCCCCGGGTGGGAGAAGCCGCCACAGTAGTTCGTGCTCGGCGCCCTCTGATACCGTTGGCTGCTGGGGAAGAAGAGAGTTCCTAAACCTGTACTTGCTGCCAAAAGAGGCAAGTCTCGCACATTTCGCCGAGCGAGGTTTCCTTCACCCGCTAGACCGCCAGCCACTGGTCGTGGGGGGTTGTTCCATCAGGGAGGACAACACGAAGTGAGACCATCACACAATGGCGGGACCCTGGTGCTGCAGCACCTGAGCACCGGCAACCCGAACAACAGGTAGATAAGCCTACGCGGTACCGATGATCCTGCCCTGAGGCAGCCTCAAAATATACGCTGGAGAAGGGCGGTAACGACTCGCCGCCGTCTTATCAGGAAGCCTCGGGCGCGCCGGTCGAGAGCCAGTCGCCATTGGGATATAACGTTGGGGCGGTGACGATCATCTTCTTGAATGTGAGCAAGATGACTGGGACGGGGGTGTATTCGACGCGTGAGTTTGCCATTTTTTTCTTCCATATGTGTGCTCTGGGGAGCGGGAAAGCGGGTTTGAGTTGAGGGTGGGGTTGCTGATGAGAAGTGTGTGTTCGCAGCCTCGGCCATCCTCAAGGGCACCGGCTCGGTCGGCCTGGCCATGATCTACTGGGCGCTGGGCTTTCTCACATCCATCGCGAGCTTATCTGTGTACCTCGAGTACGCGGCCTACTCCCCGAACCGGTCCGGGTCCGAGGTCGTCTACCTCGGGCAGGCGTACCCATGACCCAAGTGGCTGGTGCCGACCACGTTCGCGTTGCAGTCAGTGCTGCTATCGTTCAGTAGCAGCAATGCCATTGGTAGGTTTTGCCTGTTTTGGTCGGTGCTTGGCCGAGGGGATCGCTAATCAAGGGGTCCAGTGCTCGCGCAATATCTGTATCGCAACGGCGGCAAGACTCCGACGGAATAAAAGCTAAAGGGCGTGGCGATCGCCGGGTTCACCGTGGTCTTCTTAGGTATAACCCCTTACGCCTCCCTTACTATAGTCCAGACACTTACATTTGGCCAGTTATCGTCTTCCACACGCGCTTCTCGTACGCGGTGTCTAACGGTATCGGCATCATCAAGGTCCTCACGCTCGTCTTTATCTCTGTTACCGGTCTTATCGTGCTCGGCAGCAACGTCTCGCGCGATTCCTAACCCCAAGGCCAACTTTATCGATTCCTTTTCCGGCCACGCGATGCCGTACGGCGTAACCAACGCCCTGTACTGCATTATTTTTTTTTCTTACGCGAGCTATAAGATCGCCTTTAACGTTATTAACGAGGTCAAGGTGCCCTCTCTCTACCCCCGCCCCTCTCTCCCTTTCCTCCTTGTCCGTCAAGAAGTGACGTCTTACACTGATCCTGCTGGCTGGCCGTAGAATCCTATGAAAACCATCCGGCGCGACGGCTTCATTGCGCTCGCTATCGTGGCCCTCCTCCATATCTTCGCCAACATCGCCTACTTCGCCGCCATCCCCAAGGCCGACCTGGCCGCGGCACAGCAGATCGCCGCCTCGCTCTTCATCACGCGCGTCTTCGGCCCGGGAAACACCGTGAACGGGCTTAACTTTCCCATCGTACTCTCCTCCTTTAACAACATCCTCGCTGTCGCGCTCGGCTCCTCGCGCATGATCCGCCAGTGCGGTCAGCAAGGGGTGCTGTCCTTCCCGCGCTTCTGGGCATCTACAAAACCATTTGGCGCGCCCCTGGGCCGTACCTGCTCACGTACGTTTTAACGATCCTGATGATCCTCGCGCCACCGGCGGGCGACGCGTTCAACTTCCTCAGCGACCTGCAAGTATACCCGCTATCCGTCCTCAATGTGCTGCTCGCCGTAGGGCTATACATTATGCGGTACCGCCGGGCGCGGCTGAGCCTGCCGCGGCCCGAATTCCGCGCGTGGGATCCCATCGTCATCTTCAACGTCTTGGTGAACCTCTACCTGATCGTCATGCCGTGGTATCCTCCCGACGGTGGACCGTTCGCAGGCGACGTGCACTTTTGGTATGCCACATATGTGGCGACTCGACTGTGTAACAGAATCACTTTCTGCGCTCTCTACTACTACCTCTGGGTGAGCGTCGTGCCCAAGCTCCGTGGCTACCGCCTCCGGCAGGAGACCATAATCCTCGGGGACGGCGCCCCGAGTCACAGGCTGATCAAGATGCCTGCCACCGAGGTGGTCCAGTGGGATGCCACGCACGACACGGTTGGCAGGCCGCTGCTCTGGGCCAATGGTTCGGATTTTGCCGACAACGAGAAGGTTCCCGGGTGGGCCTGCCTTAAGGGGAGAGAAGGACCGAAGGGCTATACAAAGACGTTGGCTAAGTATCGTTCGCATAATGCGCAGCATCCTCACGGGGAACGGTTAATTTGCAGGATGAGTTGAAGCTACACCGAGATAGCACCGAGCCTTGGACTCTAGAGTACGGACTCAGGAATAGGGTTGATCAAGCGAGCACCACTACCCGTGTACGTTCGTTGAATCGACGCCGAGGCAGATACGAACCTGGGTATACGACATCTCGGCGAGAGGCCGCCTTCTTATTGGTAGTTCTGGGAACGAGATGACGAAGGGGAGAGTTCATCCAGAGCGGCCGAGGAACGGGAGACAAGATGTCTCCTCGAAGGGGGCCCGTTCTCCTTTCCGTCTCGGCAATTGCGTGATTGGGAAAGATTGAGAGACCGATCAACCAATATCTCGCTGCTCGTGAGCGATATGCGTAATGATGGGCAGAGGCCACGCTTCTTGATAATTTGAGGGCAGCGAGCACTACTAAAGCGAACGACTTGGGCCAGGATCATGGCGCGACGTGTAGACATCAAGTATGCGACGTCTGATGTTCACGGTTAGCTAGGTGATATGCCTAAGATTGTTTGCGGGGATGAGGCCGGCGTCCTCATGGTTAACTTGACTTCAGTTCGAAAATTCGAATTTGAGGAGCTGGCGCTTCAAGTGCTTCGTATAACGTACATTATCAGCGAGCGGGACATATCAGCGAGCGGGACATATCAGCGAGCGGGACATATCAGCGAGCGGGACATATCAGCGAGCGGGACACTCTCCACTACTCTATAACAACTACTCTCAATTGCAATGCAACAACACTAAGAACCAACTACAATTACATCAGAAACAGTCGAATCAGACCCTTCTGCACCCTCCTGGCAAGTGCGGGCATTATGGCCAGGCTTGCCGCACACACCACAGCACCGAACCTTCGTACGACCCCCCCCAGCACCACTACCATCCAGCTGTATTTCTTGCATTGCCTCCCCACCTATAGCCCCTGGCCTACCACCTCCTGTGCCTCCTGCACAGTAAGTGATCCTCCAAGCCGCACACGTGTTTTTTTGGCTCTCCGGCGCTTGCTTAGCGCCTCGTTAGCCTTGTAGAGCGAAGACACCTCTGCCTAAAGGAGGGCCACCCAGTACATTATAGCCATCGCACCCTTAGTAAGCTAGTCTATAGCAGCCAAAATTGAAGTGGGGGAGCTATTTTCATAGTTGTCAATGCAAGTCTTGATAAGCGTTAACTATGACTCGGCTTCTCGAGGGTTATATAGTGTCTAGAAGACCCAAGATTATACAGTGCCCAGCCGTGAGGTTAGGGGTGTTGGTATACGAAGCTTGATATCTAGCTTCAAAAGCACCCTCTCTGGATCGTATAGCATAAGGCCAGCCCCTATAAAACCGCCCTATATATTCCTCTTGGTGATAGAGGCAAAGAAGGCCGTGCGAAAGGCATAAAGGAACTCGAGCTTACTTATATGGTTGATATACGCATGTACTAAGTCCTCGATCTAACGACCGTACACCTGCTTCAACGGCCTAAAGCAGCCAATATCAAGTGGCTAGAGGAGGTAGGAGGAATATAGAGGCATGCAGAGCGTGATAATATTGTTCTACTAGCAGTAGAGCTCGAACTCGGTCGAGTAGTGGCTTTCGTGGCCATCGAGGATCAACAACCGGTATTTACCCTTTATCTAAGGCGCTATATAGTAGTCGAAGTGCTTGATCCAATCAAGGCCTACCGCATTAGTAGTCCAGCCATCCTCGGTGGTTGCGATACGCCAGTCGGCCAGGAGGTTGCACTCTTGATACTAGTTAGTGAGGTGGGACTATGCAGCTAAGATAATGAACGGAGGGATAGCCCAGCCAAGGGTATTGATACCTTAGATCACCGTCGCCTATTTGCGGTTGCCAGGCTAGGCTAGCTTCGCCTTGCCACGGCCATCCGAGGTTATAACCACTATACCTAGGAAGATAATACCTATTATAAACCCAGTCTCATCAAAGTTATAGATATCATTATCTACAATGCCGTACTTGGCCTTAACATTCCGTATAAGGGCAAACCATTCGCCAATAACCTTCGGATCCTCGTACTTGGCTCTCTAGTAGTCGTATCTATATATATAACACGTCCAGAGCTCTAGCTAGCGTTTGACAAAGTTATACGCCCAGAGCTTGCCGACAGGGGCCGCGTCACGTACATATAGCAGTTGGTTGGCCATATCTTCTACACTACGCAGTCTCGGCGGAAAAGCTCGCTCAGATAGCTTAATTATATACTGAACAAGAGTCTTCTCTTCGGAATCGGTGAGCCGGCACGAGTTAGGCGTAGTACCGCGTCGTATAGGCCGGCCCGCTAGTCAGTCTTACAAGATTGTTCGTCGAACGTCGTAGTACTTTGCTACAGCTCTTATGCTTAGTTTTTGGTCTTTTTATATCGCTTTGAGGGCTAGGTTTATCCTAGCTTCGTACGAAGAAGAAGATATATTAGGTTGTAAAGAAAATCTGGTTTTAAGCGCGGAAGTGACACGTCGCGAGTAAAGTGGCCGGCTCGCTTATATAGCCGGCTCGCTTATAAGATACGTTATCTAAAGTAATAAAATGAATAAGTATAAAGTAAAGTCTATGTAGAAATAACTAAGGTTAATTTTAAGCTTCGGTTAAATTAGTTTATAAAAGCTGAAGAAAAATGAGTAATATATTAGTATATTAACGTGGTTGATAAGCGAATGCTCTAGACAAGCAAATGCTCTACAAAGTTGCACCTATATAACAAAATATATATCAATCCCACCAAAACCGCTTCAAATAAATGAAACTACTCGGAATCGTCTTCCTCAGACGTTTCTACAACTATCTGATAGGTACGCACATTATAGCCAGGTTCGCCGTAGGTGCCATAGCACCACGCGCGCGTTTCGACCCTCGGCTTCCAACCACTACCCGCCCGTGTTTCCTCCTTTATCTGCACCTCAACCTCTCTCTAACCCTGCAAGTCCTTTACATCTTATATAGTAAGCAATCCTCCTTGTCGGAGCCGTTGTTTTTTAGCCTGCCAATGTCTACTTAGTGCCTTATTTGCTGCTCGGAGGCTTTGGTTCTCTGCTCTTAACAATGCTAATTAATATATAACCCTAGACATCCCTTTCGCAAGGATATCAACTGCTCTTAAAATCTCGGTTAGAGAGCTATTTTAATACCGGGTAATTTGATTCTTGATAAGGGCGGACTACAAGGAGGCTTCGGCTGGGTTGTTCGAGGTCTTAGAAACCCAGGTATAGGTACTGCTAGGCCGGGAGTTCAAGGGTATTAGTATCTTTAGATGGATGTCGAGCTAGGAGATCACCTTCTCGGGATTAAAAGAAATAAGTCCAGCGCCTCTAAAACCTCTCTAAATATTTCCGGGCGTTATTACTACCTGGTAAGCTATGAGGAATGCGGGAAAGAAGTCTTCCTTAGTGATATAGGTTATGCTTGCCTGCATTATCGCCTCGATCTGCTTGCTGTATGCCGTCTTAAGCGGGCTAAAACACCTAATATCGAGCGGCTAGAGGATATAAGATAAGTGTAGAGGTATATAAAGCGTAATAATATTATTCTCCTTATAGTAGAGCTCGAAATCGATTAAGTGGTAGCTATTATAGCCGTCGAAGACGAGAAGGCGATAAACCCCAGTTGTTCGAGCTGTAGTATATATATCGAAATGCTTGATCTAATCTAGACCTCTCTCATTGCTAGTTCAACCATTTTCGGATGTTACAATAAACTATTCCTTTAGCAATAGGCTGCCCTTATACTAAGAGGAGAGGTAATATTTGCTCTAGACGATAATAAATAGTGGGATCGCCTAGCTAGTAGCATTAATACCCTGGATCACTATTGCCTACTCCCGATTGCTAGGCTGCTTTGACTTTGCCCTGCTATAATATTCGGAGCTTATAATAACTATTAAGATTATAATAACGCCTATTAGAAACCTAGTCTCGTCGAAGTTATAGATATCTACCTCCTAGATACTATATTTCGCGATCGTATTCTATATAAGCGTAAACTAGCCCCGAATAATTTCTAGGTCTTTATATTAGGCCCTCTAGTAGTTATATTTCCGATTGAAACGCATAGTAAGCTCGGGGTACTATTTGACAAAGTTATATACCTAACGCGTATTAACGCGTCCTATATTACGTTCGGCAAATAGTCGATTTGCTATATCTTCTATATTAGATAAGCAGGGAGGAAACCCTTTAGAATCCAGGTCGAGGATATATTAAACAATGACCGACTCTTCTAAATTGGTCAACTTCCACGAATTGGCTAGAATATCGCGTCGTGATTATATACTACGCCTACAATGGCTTAGCTTAGTATAATAAACCGCATAGATCTTAGCTATAGCTTTTAGGCTCAAAGTAGAGTCTTTCTCAAGAGCTTGGAGAGCTAAGATTATCTGGCGTTCGTCGTCTTTTAGATACATATTAGGTTGCAAAGAAAATGTATGCGAGGAGAAGGTGTTATGTAGGCGCAGTGAAGTGGAGCATTCGCTTGTCTGGAGCATTCGCTTATCAACCACGTTACTATAAGAGTAATAATTAGTAAAACCTAGAAAGGAAGAAGATATACTATATATATAGCTTATACTTTATTATACTCCTTTATTATATTCTTTATAATGAAGCGCTGCTTGGTACCTTTTTCTTTTTAAATATAGTCTATAAAAGCTTAGAGGAGCGTATAGATACCTTCTTAGTCCTTGTTAGGGACCTATGTGACGAAACTCTAGCAGTTCTACCTCTGAAAGGGTTCTCCAGTCAAAGGTATTGCTGGTCAGGCTGTAGGTCTCGGTAAAGCCAAAAGGTTCACAATAATGCACTCTGCAATATCTGCATAGTCGGTAGAGGACTACTGCTTATATTGCTCACTAAGGAAGCTATTTATCGAGTGACAGAATGATAAATATATATATAGCTTCCTCTTCAGATATCTCCATATCTGGGTTTCTTGGAACAATGTTCCTTGGTATTGTTCCTTGGGAACAATTCTTGGCATTATTCTTAACATTCCTAATCCTCATTGGTCTATAATGATTGGATGCGGGCGCTGCCTGCAGACCATGCAGGTCGGCCCCCACTGGCCTCTGCAGGTTAATTCATGACAACCCGCCTAGATTGTCGTCCCGTTATAATAGTTTAAGAAGTATATAATAATAGGAGTAGACTAGTAAAGAGAATAGAAAAAGGACCGATTTGTAGGAGGAGTAAAGAGAAAGAAGAAAGTAACAAGTTTCTAGGGTTTAAAAAAGAAGAGAGCCTATAAATCGTAGCTTATAACTACTGTAATATATGCGTGCAAGGCTACTAGTACCAGCTATTTAGATATGGTTAGGTCGCGACCCTAGTAGAAGAAGGTGTCTAATATATATTGCCATACTAGGTGTGAACGAAGTAGGATGGGCGATTCCTTCCGGCCTCCGTCGCTAGCGCTGTTTGTGGTTGTTACGGAGGCGGCCGTAAATCGGGAACGTGAACGCAGTCTCGGCCGGCAAAACATCGGGCGAGCAAGAAGTCGCCCTGCTAAGTTATCAATAGTCGCTGTACTGACAGGTCGCAGTTTGCCTTACTCTCTTAGCTTCCCGTGTCCAGCTCACCGATAGTTCATCCCTAACGGAAGGTAAGCATATTACCACCATGGACACTTTCCTAGCAAGGTCAGCTTCAGTGAAGCAGGATCAAGTCCCATTCCTAGAATACCCCTCATCAAAACGGGACGACTTCGACCGCCGGCAATGTCTGATCTACGTCATCCCCGGTAACCCGGGGCTCATCGCCTACTATGAACCATTTATGAAGACGCTGCGGGACCTCCTCGACGAAGTGGAAGCAAAAGAAGACTGTCGCCGCGCATTTCATATCTATGGATGCAACCTGCTGGGCTTCGAGGATAGGGACCACGACCCCACGTTCGGCTGCACATCAGCCGCGGGGGTCACAACCGAGCCATTCACACTGGAGAACCAGATCCGCTGTTGCTGCGAGCGCGTGCAAGAAGCCAACAATTCTCTGCTGGGAAAGGGGAGAGTGTTCGACGAGGTTGTGCTCATCGGCCATTCCGTCGGCGCCTACATCTCCCTCGAGATCTTCAACCGGCACCACCACCAGTCCAGACGCGAACAGCCCAGCAATCCATGGGCCAATGTGAATCTGAAGGCGGGAATCCTGCTCTTCCCCACCGTCTCACACATCGCCCAGTCGAGCAGCGGGCAGAAGCTCGACCTGATTCGTAGGACGCCCTTCCTCGACGGGGCCGCCCACCGCATTGCCAAGGCCTTTGTGAACCTGTGGCCTCACTGGTTGCTTGCAACTGTTCTCCGACGATGCATGGGGTTCCCGGCGCATGCCGCGGCGGCAACGCTGCGCTTCCTCACGAGCAGAGACGGCATCTGGCAGGCGCTGCACATGGGTAAGGACGAGATGAAGACGATTACTGAGGAGAGGTGGAGCGAGGAGATGTGGGAGATCCAAGAAGCGGAAGGGGATGACAGGCTTGCGGCGAAATTCTACTTCTACTTTGCGCAGAAAGACCATTGGGTTGCCGATGAGTGCCGCGATGAGTTTATCGAGAAGAGGCGGCAGCATGAGAAAGGCCGGGCAAGGATTGTGATTGACGAGGAGAAGATCCCGCACGCCTTCTGCATTCGTAAGTTGACATCCCTACCTAGGTTGGTTGGGGGTGCATTCCCCTTTTCGACCATTACGAATTAGTCTGTCTCACACTGAACCCCGGGAACAGACCACAGCGAGTCGGTGGCGGAAAAGGTCACGCTCTGGATCCAGGATATTACAGGTCTTTAATATAAGCCGACGGCTCAGTTTACCCCGACGTCGCTCTGGCACAGGGTGTCCAGGACCCTGAGCCGGCCAGCCCTCCCACACAGCGGCCAGCGCTCCAGTGGTAGCGCTTGCAGTCTCTCAGTAGTTCGGGCTCCTACCGGCGCGCCTGCTGGTGAGACCGATTTCGTGCTTCGCCTGCAACTGTTGGTGATACCACCTTCCCTACTATAGATGTGAACAGTTGAGGAACATACGCCTACCGTCTGCAACACCTCAGCTGGCTGGCCATCTTCCAAAGTTGCTTCGGCTTTGCTGTCCTCTCCTCTGTTCAATACCCATCCGATAGCCAAGCAGAGAAGCCTCGGGGCGCGGTAGCCGATATCATCTCTTCCGCCCATCGGGCCGGGTCGAACCCGAGCATGGGGGAGGGGGGGTTCCCGTCCGGCGCTCGAGAGCAAATCAGTTTACGATGGGCCCAATTGGAGACAAGATGCCGCCCGCTGCCCCCAGCTGCAACCCACGTTCATTCAACGGAGTTTTATCATGACGGGAATCTGGGCGACGCTCCCAGGTTTGGGTTGGCACCCGAGTTTTTAGGCACCCGAATTCTCTCACCCAACATTGGCCCATCAAGCTCCACAACAAGCGCGCTCGCGATCAATAATGTCTCCTCCAAAGAAGATCTCAAGTGACTCACTGCAGCGGTTAGTACCTATCATGGGAGGAGAATCCGAGGTTTGAAGCAGGCTTCCGAGAAGTTCTGTTCTGGGACAGAACCAGCTCCGTTGCAAAGCCAGAATCACTCCATACCGGGGGTCAAGATAGGCATTGAAAAAAGAAAGACAGTTGGCATTTGGGGTATCCTATCATGAACGCCATAAAGCAAAACCCAATCTAGTCATTAAGTGCGCAGACACCGTCGCACAAGGCCCTTGCATCGTTTTCCCGCGGGAAACTTCGAATCCGTTAGGATTCGCCTGTCCTCTTCCCTCCTACGCTCCCCTGGCTACTGCGTTGTCCTCTAGTCCGAACAGCGGGTGTGGGCTAACCTGGTCATCCTGACTCACCCCTCCACATCTTCAGGGAGCATCGCGGTAGGGACCGTAGTGGGAGGGCCCCTCGAAGAACTGCGGGTTTGGGGATGTTGTCCAACTCGGTCGTAGTGACGTGGTTAGGTTTCTGTGGCTCGGGAGAAGCCGAGGGAGTTGCTTTGCCTTGTGACAGTACCGGATCATGCCGTGCAGAAGTGATATGAGGGTAGGCTGTAACTGTCGTCTCGAGGCGGCCATCGCGCGCACTGGGTCTTCTCCGTACGCCATCGACGTAGTTCCAAATGAAGAAGAACAGGAGGAACGAGTGGATCACCCTGGATGTCTTTGTTTCAGCTTGCGCACCAGTCGGGACAGCTGCTCCCTCTAGCCGGCCTTTTGGGGAGCACTCACATCAATACGATCAAGAGGCACACGCTGGCAATCTCCGCTGGTGCCGATTCAAAGGTGGTGGGAGAGTCATGGAGCCCGCAGATAACGTCCACCAGCAGCATGCCCGTTCCCGTGGCCATGCCGAAGAAGAGGAGGGCCTCGACTAATGCGTGGACGTTTGGGCATATGCCCCCGTCCAGGAGCACGCACGCGGCGATGAATTCGGCCGTGTTCCAGAGCGCAACGGTGGGACACTGGAATGTGCGAGGCCGGCGTAAGCACAACTGTTCATCGGGGAGAGTTCGGGGGAAAGAAAAAGTCAAAAACCAACCACCACCAGAACGGGTATAAGCCCGTTGTAGACACCGGACGGGCTGTGTCTGTTGACTACAACGGAGGCAATGGTGCCGGTGACTGAGACAGCGATAACCAACGACACGGCCCGGAGAACGAGGCAGGTGACGAAGACGTTCCTTCCGAGGCCGTGGTAGTTGCTGAGCCGCCACTGTCGGAGCTCCTTTGACGAGGGAGCCGCACATGGCGGGGGCAGCGAGTCAAGCCATGCTTCGACGACAGGATTGAACGGCGGAGGCGGCCGAGACGGCTGTGATCGCAGGGTGAATCCCTTCATTGAATAGTGGGGAGAGAGCGTCCACGGGTCGGTCGCCCTACTATGGTCGAGATAGGAGAGCTGGGAGGACTCTTCTTCGGGTGCCCTGTGCCCAGCATGTCGAGTCTGCCCCAGAGCGCAAGGCTGATGATGAATGGTGGAAGAGGGGAGACCTGTCTCTGGCAGACTTGGTACCGGCCGCTCTGGCTTAGTCCGATTCTGCAGCTGCCGGCTTCGGTTGGCTCACCAGTTGGGAATCTGGGATGCTCTTGTTTCGGAGGAATGAGACGCCGTTGCCGCGTGCTGATCACGTCAAATGGGAGGAATGCTACACATGTTCTGTACGTTCCGTGCCCGACATCAAGCAATGACGAGACCGTAGGTACGGGAAGTACATGTCTGCAACCGTATCGTGATCTTTAAACTGGACCAGTAATCATACCGCCGCTGATGGAGCCGGGATTGTGCCAGGGGTTGTGGGCGTGCTAGTGTAAACTTTAGGCATCCGTGTAACGGCCCCCTGTCACGAGCCGCATTCGCCCCATCTCGCACATCGCCTCTCTGTAATAAACACCCCGGCTTCCGGCGAGATTGGAGCGTCAAAAGGAACCACTTGGGGATCCTTCACAGATCCTACCATCCACCGTTGCGCTCGGTTCTTGTACCCCGACGCGAAATAGAGATGAAACGGACGCCGCCGTAGCGGATCGAACATCACGACAGTGCTTCGTGCCGGTCCACATTCCTTCCGCATCCGCAATTGACATTCCTTCCATACTGCCCCGGACCGTCAGCACCAGTTTCGGTGTCGATCTCACGTCGTGCTACCCGCGGCATCTTCCGGCAACTCGTGTACTCGGAGTCTGACCTCAGTACACCCATGAATCGGCCGACCTTCCCGAGAGTCTCTCGGGTGCGGCACACTCAAATCAAACGGCACTGTAGTGGTATATTCCGCTTTTATTAAGACGGCGGTGACTGCGAGTCAGATCTCTGCCAAGCGCGACTTCCACGGGACAGCGCAGGACGACATTCTTGAGTGCCGGAGCAAGGCGAGAGGAACCAGAGGTCTTTGAAGAGAGGCAGGACACGACAGTTTCGATTCTTGTATTTGGCGTTTCCGGGTCGTAATGGTTCCGACGTCTTTCTTTCGACACGCTTTCAGTGCTTATCTGGCCATGCACAGACTTACATGAGAAGTCTCCAACTTCGGGTTCGCGGATGTTTGGACTCGAGGGGTAGGGTTAGTTTCGATTAGGCACCAGAAAATCTTTGAATCCCGATCAAACCTTGACCTCACTCAATGATATGATCTGCGCGCAGAATGCCTGTAAGCCGGCTTGGAACCTGAACGAAGGCCTCAAACATGCGAAGGCGTGGTCTGAGGGTTGAACAGAGCAAGTACAGTACCTACCGTGCTAACCGTATCAGACAAACTGTGTGCACGGACGTCAAACCCGCAAGGTACCCTGCCAACTGCGAGCCCTGTGACGTCAAACGCAGGCCACAATGGCGACAAGGAGAGGAAACGAATAGCTGCTTGAATGCAGTAGTTCAATCTAATACATTGATACAGCGGAGGAGGTAATATTTGCCATGTCCTAGACAGGTAGTGACTTTCATTCTTCAAGTTAACTATTGTGTGTGTTCCTTCGATCAAGCACTGTTCTTGCCTTGGCGCCTCACACCGTGAGGCTGCTATCAGTTATCAGAAATTTTCAGAATATCTTGCCCCGCCACAGGCTCCCCCACCTTCCCAGCTTCTGCCACGAACTCTAACCCACCACCAAAGGCGCAGTAGCGGATCTTTGACTCGAAAACCGTTGCTGGGTCAAGGACAAAGACAAGTGCATCTTTCCGCCATCTCGATTCACACGCTTCCAAATCTGACTACCTTTCTCTTAATCTTTAGATAGCTCTATACCGTTTCACACAGACCCTCCCACCATGCCTTCCGCATCGAAGGAAAAGCGCCTTGCGAAGCGTGCTGCTGAGGGGAAGGAGAAGAAAACGGTCGCCTCGCGCTCCAAGGCAAACTCCAAGAATGCCAGCAAAGCGGGATCCGTGAACGGCGATGAGCCCGAACTCGACGCCAACGGAAACCCGATAGAGGTCGATGAACCCGCCACCACGGCCGACAAGATGGATGAGGTTAAGCGTCTGGCCGAGCAGCTCGACAAACATGGCCTCTCGGACCGCGTCACTACTGGTGTCCTGGCATCAACCCCCACCAGCAAGGACGTCAAGATTACCAGTGTCAACCTGACATTCCACGGTCGGGTGCTTATCACAGACTCCATCCTCGAGCTCACCCTTGGCCGGCGCTACGGCTTGCTGGGTGAGAACGGTTGCGGCAAGAGTACGCTCCTGAAGGCTATCGCCGCCCGCGAGTACCCGATTCCCGAGCACGTCGATATCTATCTACTCAACGAGGGTGCCCCTCCGTCCGATTTGGGTGCTCTTGAATGGGTTGTCAAGGAGGCCGAGCTCGAGATGGAGCGTCTTGACCAGCTGGCCGAAAAGCTGCTCGAGGACGAAGGGCCCGAATCTCCTGTTTTGATGGACCTTTATGATGTACGAAACTGCCCTGTTGGACTCTGGAATGAAAAAAGCTAACCCGACGAACAGCACATGGAGAAGATGGACCCTTCCACCTTTGCGACCCGTGCTGCCCTTATCCTGACCGGCCTGGGTTTCAACAAGCAGACAATCCACAAGAAGACCAAGGACATGTCCGGTGGCTGGAGGATGCGCGTTGCCCTTGGTAAGGCTTTGTTTGTCAAGCCGACCCTGCTCCTCCTCGACGACCCTACTGCCCATTTGGATCTCGAGGCATGCGTGTGGCTGGAGGAGTATCTCAAGAAGTGGGAGCGTACCCTTGTCCTGGTCTCTCACTCCCAGGATTTCCTCAACGGCGTCTGCACGAATATGATTGATATGCGGCAAAAGAAGCTTATCTACTACGGCGGCAACTACGATTCTTACGTCAAGACCAGGTCGGAACAAGAGACGAACCAGATGAAGGCGTACCACAAGCAACAAGAAGAGATTGCTCACATTAAGAAATTCATCGCCAGCGCTGGTACATACGCCAACCTAGTCAGACAGGCCAAGTCTCGGCAAAAGATTCTGGACAAGATGGAGGCCGACGGCTTCATCCAGCCTGTCGTTCAGGACAGGGTCTTCACATTCCGCTTTGCGGATGTCGAGAAGTTGCCGCCGCCCGTCCTGTCCTTCGACAACGTGACTTTCTCCTACTCCGGAAATCCCGAGGACGATTTGTACCGTAATATCGACCTTGGTTTTGACATGGATTCACGGACGGCGCTTGTGGGCCCGAACGGTGTGGGCAAGTCCACACTCTTGCGTCTCATGACCGGCAAGCTCTCTCCGACCGCTGGCAGCGTGACGAGGCACACGCACTTGAAGCTCGGCCTCTACTCTCAGCACTCGGCCGAGCAGCTGGATCTCACCAAGTCGGCACTCGACTTCGTGCGCGACAAGTACAGTGAGAAGTCGCAGGATTACCAGTACTGGAGACAACAACTCGGTAAATACGGCCTGACAGGAGATGCCCAAACGTCGCTGATGGGCACCCTGTCCGACGGTCAAAAGAGCCGTATCGTTTTCGCTTTGTTGGCCATCGATGGTCCCAACATGTTGCTACTGGACGAGCCGACGAACGGTCTAGATATCCCTACCATCGACAGTTTGGCCGATGCCATCAATGCCTTCAGTGGTGGTGTCGTTGTCGTCAGTCACGACTTCAGGTAAGCTGCCCCTCGTGTCTTGTTGCCGTTGTTGTATGCCGCTGACACAACCACACAGGTTACTGGACAAGATTGCCAAGCAGATTCTCGTCTGCGAGAATAGGACAATTCGGCAATGGGACGGCACGATCGCCGAGTACAAGAACTACCTGCGGAAGAAGATGATCTCCGCGGGAGCTGTTTGAAGGAGTTGAGTTCGTTGAGTTGGTGCATCAAAGGTACCTATAGGCGAAGGTTGAATGACAACCAGGGCGCGTTTGCGAACAACCCGCTTAGGACGGGTCAGAGAGCGCCCTCCGAGTGGGAAAAGCAAGCCGCTCCGCAGCGCCCAGAGATCGCGCAGAAAGCGCTCGGAGCGTGGGAAAAAGGAGGGTTGGATTGATCAGAATGCTGATGGCTTTTTGTGCGACCGTGAAGTTCTTTTTGGGACGGATAGACTCTGTGATTTTCTGGCTTGTGCTACTCATTTCGGCCCTTCATTATGTATTTAGATACATCCCAATCGCCGAAAAATGAGCAGCGACGAGCCGGGTTGAGCACATCTTCAAGTTCACCCTCCCTTGTGTCTCCCTCATACCGTGAAACTCGTTTCTTCTTTTTGGCAGTTGGCAAAGCGTTGCCACCCAAAGACGAGCTGATGCGCCATTGTGCGGAGGCGGTGGATTGTTCCAGTTGGAAACTGAACCCCGCTCTCCCCAGCCTTCAAAGCCTGTTGTGGACCCGTGGTCTGAGGCCATTCCAAGACTTCCAGGTTCCATTATTCATGGCATACAAATCCACATTAGCGCAACACGGGAGGAAGAAAGCAGCGACCATTCACTTTTAAGTGCAGTTTAAATGAAGCCCTAGTGGTCCTGGAGTAGTAAGAGCCTAGAGCGGAAGCCCAACCGGTTGACCTGTCAGCAACTGAAATGGATTTGGTAAAGACGGTGGTGTTGTTGGGTTCTGGGGCTCGCGCCAAATCTGGTTGGCTCAAGCCCGGAGGGACGGGTGTGCGTGCCAGTTGCAGCCCCAGCGGGTAATTCGCGTCAGGGCTGTTCCTGAGTTGCATGGGCGGGGTGTATCTAGCGAGTGAGTGGGAGAGGCATGATTCCGTTGTTTGTTGAGGGTATTTAATGAATCAGAGAATAGAAAATTGGAAATACGATAAAGTAGACATACAGGCCTTGTTGGTGACTCTCTTCTCAGGCATTATTGTGATGTCGACAACACGATATACGCGCTAACAGAAGGCAGGGCGTGAACGTAGCAAGAGCTGACGCCTCTTCTGGAGTGGCACTAACTTCTGCTCAATCGGGAGCCGTGGTGGATCACTGGATGGATCACCTTCGCGAGAGGTGCGAGGAAGCGGCAGTCAAAGGGGCATTTTGGGGGGAAAGACTCTGCACGGCACCAACGCAGCAGCGAAGCCCAGATGTGGCCAAATCGAGCGAAGCGATCCGGCCTGGCTACCATGGCCCATGGATTCCGACGCTTCGCATCACATTCTCCTCCTCACACCATCATCACCACCAACCCATCCTTCCAACATCATCGCCGGCAGTGCCGCCGTCCATCTTCAGGCCTCGCCTGCTTTCCTTGACCGTCCATAGGGTGTGGTAATTCGCCCCTGCCTTGCTGGTGCAGTCTGCGCATACCAAGACAACCGCATCATCACGTAAAACCAAGGCAGCCCCGTGCTCACCGCCGACCCTCCCTCCATCAATCTTGATTGCTTCGCCTGTTTCGCGCCATCGACAACTTCGCCGTCGGCCCATCGCTGGACTCGGCAGTGACGGGAATTGTCCGCCACTAAACCACTGGTGCAGCATCGTGGTTTTCCTTCGGTAGCGACACATCCTTCCCTTAATCCTCGACACATCGACGACTTCTATGCGCCTTAGGATAAAAACGTGTGCCTACCGTGATCACAACGTGCTCCGACCCAACCGCATACCCGATGGTCTCGCATAAGCTGTAGAAGCTGAGTGATTTTGGAAAAGGGCATCGGGAGTGGCTTTCCCACGAAAAATAATGGATCACTTCTCGACTGTGTTGCAGCGACCACCTCATTTCGACGAGGATGGCAGCAACGGAGCCTCTCGTGGAGGAGGGTTGCGCGACATCCTAAACCCCGTAAGCTCGACGACACAGGCGCCAGGGACGCCCGGAGCACCCGCGCCGCCTCGACCGCACTCTTCGTTCAGCCTACGATCACCAACACAACAATTGGAGCATCATCACCCAAACCCATATTCCGCCTCGCCATCTTCGGCGGCAGTCGGTCCACCATCGGGCTCCCGGTCAATTCTCAACAACCCATTTGGGTCTTCGTCCACTCCATCGCTGCCGCCACCATTGCAAGCGCCTCTAGGCCTGTCTTCGTCAGCGGCCGCGTCCGGTCTGCAGCATCCGCCTCGGTCACCGCTGCATGCACCGCCGGTATACTATACGTCAGAGGTTAATAATCGCGAACCTGTCCGCGAAAAGTCAGCATCGCGCGGTTTTTACGATCCAACCACCGACGGCAAGCGAGAGCGTGAACGCAGGGTTTCAGAAACTGACTCCTGGCACAACTCAGCAAGGGACTCTACACCAAAGGTAAATCGGCAAATCTTATTTTTTGCCCTGGTGCACAGCGCCCTTGCCAGGCAACAAGCGTCTTTTACTTCTTTGTCCCCAAACCAACCCCATCCATCAATCTCTGCGTCTGGTCATCGTCCGATACGTTCGCCTTCCAACGCTCTGACCCCCAACACATCAGCACGAGCCTACATGTTTGCACTGTGCAAGCGGGCATGGCGCTCTTTTTTTCTTACATCAACCATTTGCCCCTCGGTCAACATTGTATTCGCTGACACATGTCAATTTTCCCTCTCCATTTTAGATCCGTGATCCTTACGGTTATCCCCAACCATCGATCGAGTACTACAACAGCACCTACGCATCGCCGTCGACAGCCCCTTACCGGCCAAGAAGCCCAATTACACATCATCATCCTCCCCCGAGTGCAGGGCCCGCCAGCCCATCGACCAGGCCGGCAGCAAGCACGTCACCCAGCTTGAGGCACATAAGCATGCCGAGCGCGACTGCAAACGGGGCGACATCAGCAGTCCTGCCGGCCCTGGCGCGGACTGAGTCGCCCGCTCCACCGAAAGCACCAACTGCAGCAAGCGTAAGCTGATGCATCGGCCTCCCATAAATGTGCCTGATTGCTAATAGTTTCCCCTCCAGACTCCCAGTCGTGGCGCAGGCGTTATGTCGTTCTCTCACATCCTTTCTGAGCCCGTCTCCAAACCTCGGCAGATGTCGCCCGTCCTTGCCGATGACACGTCCGTCAAAGTCGAAAAGCCTGATAAAAGTGAGAAGGGTGACAAGGCCGAGAAGGAGAAGAAGCAACCGCGCAAGAGTATCAAGTCACGCGTCTCGGATATCAAGAGCACCGAATCGACTCCCAAGATACCTCGTCGGCCCGCTCCCAAGCCTGAAATTCCTTCTGCTGTACGCATTGCCACCAAGAGATTGGCAAATGGCATCCCGAAGCACAAAGTTTTCTCCGCCGACAAGGAGAAGAAGATACGGGACCTCATGGAGCAGTTTGAACACGATGATGTCGACGAAACCGAGTACGAGGAAGAGCGGTACGCTTGGCTGGAGCGCGCACAGCGTCGTCAACAAGAAATGAACCGCCGAGACACGGTCTGCCGACAGGCGCGGAGAGCCGACTACGCGCATATTGAAGCTGACAAACTGCAGGCGCATGCAGCTTTTGGCAGGGCTCGGTACTATGAGATCAACTATGATGATGCTCTCCAGGAAGTTAGAGAGCAGGAGATCTTCGCAGAGAAGGAGCGTAAAAAAGACATGCAGCGCAAACGGCGACGGGAGAAGTCCATGGCTACAACCATGGAACAGCGGCAGTCGGCGCTCGCAAGGGCCTCCGCGGCACAGGACGAGGCCGAGCGTCAGAAGTACATGCGTGAGGCCGAGCGCGCCAACAAGAAAGTTCAGCAGACCAAATACATTTTGCAGAAGGGTCTCAAGGGCCCGGCCCGCAACGTCGGCCCGATCGAACCGAATCTGGAAGGCGGCACCATGGCGACTTTCTCTGCCGAGAACATGGAACCCGGCAAGAGTACCAAAGGGAAGGGCCGCGCTGGAGGCAGGCTCAAGAAATCCAAAGAGCAAAAACAGGCGGAGAAGGAGTCCGCCGAAGCAGCCCAGGCCGCGCTGGATGCCGGCGAGGAGCTCCCGAGCAGGGAAGAAACCGCCAAGATCCGTATCAAGTTCAGCAAGTCCAAAGTGGGCAGGGAAGATACGGACAAGGAAAACAAAGAGCCGAAAGAGCCGAAGGAGAAGGAGAAGGCCGCTGAGGACCCCAAGGATGCACTCGAGGCCAGATTCCAGACCAAGGGCTATAATCAGATCTATGACCAGATCTGGCGCGACCTTGCAAGGAAAGATGTGAACAGGGTCTTCCGTCTAGCGACCGACTCGTATTCCACCAAGGCGTCTAATCTCAAGAAGACAGCGATTCTGGCGTCCAAAGAAGCCAAGAGATGGCAGCTCCGGACCAACAAAGGCACCAAGGATCTTCAAGCGCGCGCCAAGCGTGTCATGCGTGACATGATGAGCTTCTGGAAGCGGAACGAGCGAGAGGAGCGCGACCTGCGCAAGGCCGCCGAGAAGCAAGAGCTCGAGAATGCCCGCAAGGAGGAGGCAGATCGCGAAGCCGCCCGCCAGAAGAGGAAGCTCAATTTCCTCATCTCGCAAACCGAACTCTACTCTCACTTCATCGGCAAGAAGATCAAAACGAGCGAGGTCGAGCGGAGCACCGATCACCCCGATGTTGCGGAGCTAGATAAGGATAAGATTCAAGAAAGCACGCTCAACATCGAAGAGCCGGTTGGGCCTGTCGGGGCCAAGGTCACCAACTTTGAGAACCTCGACTTCGATGCTGAAGACGAGTCCGCTCTTCAGGCTGCTGCCGTGGCTAACGCGCAAAATGCCATCGCGGAGGCACAAAGAAAGGCCCGCGAGTTCAACAAGGACGATACCAAGCTGGATGAGGATGGCGAGATGAACTTCCAGAATCCCACTGGTATGGGCGACGTTGAGATTGAGCAGCCGAAGCTTCTCAACTGCCAGCTCAAAGAGTATCAGCTCAAGGGCCTCAACTGGCTCGTCAACCTGTATGAGCAGGGCATCAACGGGATTCTCGCTGACGAAATGGGTCTCGGCAAGACGGTGCAGTCCATCTCGGTCATGGCTTACCTCGCGGAACGTTACGACATTTGGGGGCCCTTCCTCGTCGTTGCTCCCGCGTCAACACTGCACAACTGGCAGCAAGAGATCACGAAGTTCGTGCCGGAGTTCAAGGTGCTGCCGTACTGGGGCACTGCGGCAGATCGGAAGGTGCTAAGGAAGTTCTGGGACCGCAAGCACACGACGTACAAGAAGGATGCGCCCTTCCACGTCATGGTTACCTCTTACCAACTTGTCGTCTCCGACGTCGCATACTTCCAGAAGATGAAGTGGCAATACATGATCCTCGACGAGGCCCAAGCCATCAAGAGCTCCCAGAGCTCGCGGTGGAAGTGTCTGTTGGGTTTCCATTGCCGGAACAGGCTGCTCCTGACGGGTACTCCCATCCAGAACAACATGCAGGAGTTGTGGGCCCTCCTCCACTTCATCATGCCGTCGCTTTTCGACTCCCACGATGAGTTCAGCGAATGGTTCTCGAAGGACATCGAGTCACATGCGCAGAGCAACACGAAGCTGAACGAAGATCAGCTCAAGCGGTTGCACATGATCCTGAAGCCGTTCATGCTTCGTCGTGTCAAGAAGCATGTCCAGAAGGAACTGGGCGACAAGATCGAGCTCGATGTGTTCTGCGACCTGACATACCGTCAGCGGGCGATGTACGCGAACCTGCGAAACCAGATCAGCATCATGGACCTGATCGAGAAGGCGACCCTTGGTGACGATGACTCGGCTAGCCTTATGAACCTCGTCATGCAGTTCCGGAAGGTGTGCAACCACCCGGATCTGTTCGAGCGCGCCGACACGTCTTCGCCGTTCTTCTGCGGTTACTTCGCTGAGACGGCCTCGTTCATCCGCGAGGGCGCCAATGTCACGGTCGGCTACTCGACGCGCAGCCTGATCGACTATGAGCTGCCCCGGCTTGTCTGGCGCGATGGGGGCCGCTTGCACAAGCCTGGCCCTGATAATCCGGTTGCTGGCTTCCGAGGCAAGTATCTGGGCGAGATGCTGAACATCTGGACTCCCGAGCATATCCGCGAAAGCCTGCAAGGCGTTGACAATTTCTCGTGGCTCCGCTTCGCCGACGTCAGCCCGCAGGAAGCCTACCGAGCCAGTCACAAGGACGTCTTCGCCCGGGCGGCCGAACTTGCCACGCGAAAGAGTCGCCTTGGAGCAATGAAGGTTCTCTACAGCGAACCTGAGGACGGACGCTGGACGCCCGCGCATGCCCTGTTCCAGATTAGGGAGCGTGAAGATCGCAGGCCGTTGGCCGACATCACAGAGCAAGGCGTCCTCGCCACCCTTATGAACGTCTCCCGGTCTACCTTCAGCGACCTTGGCCTTGGGCGGCTCGAGCAAGCTGCGCGCCCGCGTGCTTCTGCTCCTCCGATCGAAGTTATCTGCGATAGCCGTGCCTCGGTAATTGAGCGGGAGAATGTCTTGTTTAACGCGCCAATGCGCAAAGTATTGTTTGGAGCCACGCCCGCCGAGGAGAAGGCATTTGTCAACCAGAAGGTACCACCGCAGTTCTACCCAGCGCCTGCCCTGCTGCCCGCTCCAGACAAGGAGAAGCAGCGATTCACGAATATCACTGTCCCGTCGATGCGACGCTTTGTCACCGACTCGGGCAAGCTCGCTAAGCTGGACGAGCTGTTGCGGGAGTTGAAGGAGGGTGGGCACCGTGTGCTCCTGTATTTCCAGATGACGCGCATGATCGACCTGATGGAGGAATATCTTACCTACCGCAACTACAAGTATTGCCGTCTGGATGGCTCAACCAAGCTCGAGGACAGACGCGATACCGTGGCCGATTTCCAGACGCGGCCCGAGATCTTCATCTTCCTCCTCTCCACCCGCGCAGGTGGTCTCGGCATCAACCTCACAACCGCGGACACGGTCATCTTCTACGATTCGGACTGGAATCCGACGATCGATTCGCAGGCCATGGACCGTGCCCACCGTCTCGGCCAGACCAAGCAAGTCACCGTCTATCGTCTGATCACTCGCGGCACGATCGAAGAGCGCATCCGCAAGCGTGCCATGCAGAAGGAAGAGGTGCAGCGTGTCGTCATTACGGGCGGTGCCTCTGCCCCTGGCGGCGGCGGCGTCGACTTCTCTGGTCGGCGGGCTCCGGAGAACCGCAACCGTGACATCGCCATGTGGCTGGCGGACGACGAGCAGGCCGAGATGATCGAGCGGCGCGAGAAGGAGCTACTCGAGAGCGGCGAGTATGATAAGATCCAGAAGAAGCGGGGTGGCAAACGCAAGCGCGCAGGCGAGGCGGCTGCCGTCAGCCTGGATGAAATGTACCATGAGGGTGAGTCGCTTTTGCATATTTACCCTGCTCTGTCAATGAGTACCTTACCAAAGGACTAGCGCTGACGATTAGTACAGGTGAGGGCCACTTTGATGACAACAAGGGCTCCGGCGCGGCGACACCCACGGTTGCCGAGGATCCTCGAGCAGCGAAACGCAAAAAGGCGGGCGGCAGCAAAAAAGCCAAGACAACTAAGCAGCGGCTCGCCATTGCCGACGGCGAGATGGACTTTTAGTAGGACATGTGGGCGTGGCAGACGGGAGGGATGAAGGCGTCATGTTAGTGTGCGTTTCTTTGACCAACGGAAGCAGGAGTTGATTTTGCAGTGAGCTGCCCGGGGAGGGGATAGATGGGTTGGTCAGACTATATTGTAGGACTATGGGGACCGTTTCTGTTTCTGTTATTGTTGTTCTTTGTCCGCTTGGTATACGGTGTACCGACCGGGTGGGCATGCAAATGGGGAGTTGCTTTCATTGGTATGGATCGTTGGCGTGGTCGGGTTGTCCGGGCCTGAGCGGGAATGGAGGATACAACATACACCGACTGCAAGACTTAATCTCCTTGTTTTACCATCGCAGCAGAGGAATATAGCTTCGTAGATTTCGAGCTACTTCTCCACTTTTTCCCGAAACGGACGGTGCTTGCCCCTGGGCTTTGCGTGACTGACAGTACCTTAGCTTGCAGCGGGTGGGAACGGTATGCATGTCAACAGCCGGCCTCGTTCGCTTGCAGTCCTCATCGCAATAGTAATCTATACAGTAAAGTTAATACACCGGACACCCCACCACGCTCATACCCCCATCCACACACTTCAACTCATCAGTCACTCCTTCCGCATGCCGTCGCTGTCCTCAACTTTCTCCACCTTAGCCCATGACGTAGGAGGAGACGAAAACGACGAGGCCGATTCGCGTCGCTTCTCGTCTTCTCCCGCACCACCAGCAGCAGCAGCAGCAGGAGGAGGAGGAGCAGTCAAGCCCTGCAGCGCAGCCAGCGTCCAGCGGCACGCGAAAAAGGTCGCCACCCCCCAGGCCCAGACGCAGAGGGCTATCCCGGACGCGACGAACAGGGTCGGGATCAGGATCAGCAGGGCGACCCCGGCCCACAGGAGGGTGAACAGCGCCGCGCAGCCCAGGGCGAAGGCCAGTGTCGAGAGGGTGAAGGTCAGGAAGAGCAGGATCGGGGTTAGTGTTATTGTTGCTTGGGCGAGGATGAAGCTCTGTCAACAACAGTGGCACCCCACCCCCCTTCCTCCGGCATGGAGGTGGGGGGGTTGTTGTGCGTGTTAGTGGGTGTGACTTTCCGGATTGAGTCAGGTGAGAATTGTTGAGATCGAAATGGGTGGGTCGGGTCGACGGGGGCTGGAATTGGTGATTGGGACAATGCAGAAGGAAGTCACCTGGGAAATAACTATGGCTGTACAATGTCAACGTACGAAAAGGAGTGGTCGGGTTGTTGCTAGCTCCACTGCTTGGGCGTATGTCTCTTGTCGAGCCTTGGGCGGGAAGACGCGGTCGAGCTGACGCTGCGTGGTGGTGAGGGCCGAGGCTGCCAAGTGGGCAGCTGCAGTAGTAGCTGCTGCCATGCTGGTTGCTGTTTGGCTGTGAGTGAGCCTGACAGGGTGAGGTGCAATTTGAGTGCCGTGGGTGGAAAACCGCACTGACTTCGTGACGGAACTGATGAGGAAAGAAACCGTGAAATTGGTACGGTGACCCCTGATCTCTGGGGCAGAGATAATGAGGCGCGAATGTTCAATGTTGGAAGGGAGACGGGATGACGTCTGGGGCAGCATGTTGGCTCAGATGCCCCACAGGTTGTACTGGCTTTACTGATAATTTTTATGGTTCGGTAAAAACATGAAATATCCCGTAACAATAGGATGTTTTCCGGGTTCCTTTCGGGCTAGGGTTATATATCGGTAAACTCCAACCATACTGACTACCATCTATGTAATTGCCACATTGCCCTTGAAATGCGAAGCAGTATAGAGCCACATATTCTAGGTCTTTGCGCAATATGAACTGCTTATATAAGCAAACATCCTTGCAGGCTAGCATTGTTAAATGTAGTGGTTGAATGTAGTGGGAAATGTAGTGGTTCGAAGGCGATAAGTGGCGATAATTGGCTTGGTGTTGCGTTGTTGGAAGGTCGAATGTGGATGGAATTTGAAGAGCTTCTAGGCTGAGCCTATTAGGTTAGCATTAAACCGAATAAAGTAGCGATTTAACGCGGCCGTAAGGATTTAGGCAGCTGGACCATCAGAGGTTGGTGTTACCAACTTATCTGGAAAAGGTGGGGTGTTTGTAAAAACGGTGTAAACGTCGGATTATTTCGGTAAATGCATCCCCAATATTGTCACGGGCGGTAAACATACCACGCAGACTTCTTGCGCGGTCAAGAGGCCCGGGGAGAAAGGTGACCTGAAAAGATAGGAGTTGTACTGTATATACTTACATTGTATGCTGGCCCGACCACGGCAGTGTGTGCTTCCTTGGGAGGTCGACTGGCACTGACATCAAATGTAAGTCCGAAAGGGGAAGATTGTTTACATCCCTGAATTCAGATTTGTTGACAGCATCCTCACACTTCACGGGGACGTGGGGGTTGACCATCCTTCTCCTACTATCCACAAATGTGGTCTGACACAGTGGTCGCGAGAATGGTTATAGGCTGCCAAAGATGACGACTGAAGATGATAGTCTAACTCCGTACAACGCTTTTGTTCGGCCAATGGAGCCAATCAGATATTCTGCATGTGACAGATGGCCTCTGCTGATCACCCTGGAAGACGCAATCTTCGCGAGTTTGTATGGGTTATATAGTACTGTATCCCTCATGGCGGCTCCCAGCCCGCCCCGCGCCGGGTCGGGTGACTTTCCCTCCTTGCGGTCCCCAGCCCTCCGCGCCCTCCGGGTGACGTTCCCTCCCCTACCCTCCCCTCCCTTCCTCCCCTAATAAAGTCTCATTCACACTCCCCTCTATCCTGCCATGTCTCTCTTCCTTTCGTCCCAGAATACGAACTTCGGCAAGCACATAAATTTACTTTTTCAATCGATCTCGACACCATCAGACCGCCAGCATGTGGATCAAGTACCACAAGCGGTACTCTTGCGGGCGCTCGGCCCATTACCTCCTTCAGTGTCCCAAGGCACAGTCCCGCATCAACAGAGGACGGGCGGCACTATCGGGCATTCTCTGCCAGAATGACGAAGTCGATGACTGGTTGGTCATCAGTAAGTGCGCAAACTGCGGCACAGTCTCGCAAGGGCAGCCCCGACCATTGCAGGAAATCTAGGAAGCCTCCTTCATGCCAGAGCAGAACTTGCTTCCCTATCTATGGAGCAAGAACTTCGGCATCCCCGCCTGGGCCCGGAAGACGGCACATCCAGCAGCCCAACAACCGACCCGACGACCAGCGCCTACAACCATGCCGCCAGAGCGCCCAACCCAAACCCGGAACCCGCCCTCGCGGATCACCTTACACCTAAAACGAACGGCAGCCACAGCCCCCGGACGGCATCAATGAAATCGGCAACTTCGCCATATATTTTTTTTTTCGGAGCCAAGATACCTATCGAGGTTCGACTCACTCGCAGGCTCACATGAAGTAGTCTGTTTTCATTGGCACAGCACACACCAAAGGCAGTACACGGCACACCCTACAAAAAGCGACACGGTCCCTTCTTTTAGTATGAATACGGGTATGGATGGTTATGATGATACGTATCACGGGAAGGCTTCATCGATTGGCCTGGCAGACCCATAGAGTAGCGCTTTGAGCTCAAAGAAGGCATAGCACAATATACATTAATGATAATCATAACTGATTCTGTTCAAGTCAAGGTGCTGTTTTTCGTCCCATTCTACTCTTTTATCAGGCTGCTACCTGCTCTCTCACCTTCGGGTTTGCACTCTCTTTTGTCATTGCGCCCCTCCCGTCCGATCTCGAAGTTTGAAGATGCTTCGGACCCTCCCGCTTCTGTGGTCATGGGTCATGGGATAGGGCCAGCTTCGGTCCAGCACCCCACTGCGCCTGTTACATCCTAAGAGTCAGTTGCGATAGCGAACAATGAAGCAACTTGTCACCGCATGGCTGCGCTATAGCTCGTCCGATATTGCAGCCTAGTCTGTTGGATCTGTAATATGGGTAAATATTCATGTGGACGAGCACTCAAGGTCAGACGCTACGGTAGTTGTCATCTCCAAAGCCCTCACAGGAGGCATATAAATCTCAAAAGTCCAGCCGCCCTGGGCGGGCTCTGTTCCTCCATCGTCCATCACTTACGCTCCGTTCTCAGACGCCGGTGTGGAATTACTGGCCGGACGCTGCATCAACCCCAGCATCATCCTGCTGCTCTTCTCCTGACCAGATCGTTACCACCTCCTCGCTGCCGGTTAGCGTTATCAGCAGGTGCCGCCACTACAGATTTACCTCGAGGTGCCGTCACAAGCAAACGACGAAGGTGAAGCCTTGTCGCCCTGCCGAAGATCGTCTAGGCCAGGGACTCGGGACAGACCTTGTAGTGTGCCCCCGATCCGAGCAACCAGATTCAGTGACGGACAAAGTGGACTTGATGATGTGCCCCAGCTGCCACCAAGACTGGATCCAGCGAAAGTCTGAACATTTCGATAACGTCTGCGAGGTATATTTCGCCCCCGCGGTGGCAGGCCACGCGGACGCCGAGAAGTAGCTCACGGGGTACCTGGTGATGAAGAAGCCGGAAATGGAGAGGATGATGCACCTGTTGGAGGAGGAGACGCGGAACAGTCCGCTCGACATACAGGTAACGACAGAGGTTGAAGTATGCGACGTCTATGTTACGTACCCTGAGTGTGGCGAGACGATCATCCAGGATATGTGGGAGTACAATACATTGAGTGCTGGAAGACAGGTGGCTGGAGCGGCAAGCTCCCCACCTTAGATGAGGTCTGTGAGAGACCCGGCTCAAATGAGCGTGCAGTGGTGGCTTCCATGGCTACCGCGGAAAGGCCAAGTCTCCAAGTTCCAGCAAGCACAAGCACAAGAGCTCAAAGAAACACCACCGCAGAAGCGATAATAAGAGCAGCGGCTCCGGCAGCTCTGGCAGCTCTCACAGCCACAAAAATGGCAGCGGATCTCGCGGTTACAAGAGGGGCAGCAGCATCTCACATGGACTTGCGAGCGGTTCTTCTCTTCAATACTCCCCACAACACTGCGGCGGTGGAGGTCCTAGCCAGAGCGGAGGTTATCAGGACTAGTGCTAGGCGCTCGGCCCATTTCACATCCATTCCATGACCGGTTGCTGGGCGGTCTACTAGTAAATATCAGCAGAAACAGAAACCCGCTGGCCGAAGAGAACGCCGATGCAGAGGAGAATTTAGGTTGGCTGGTACCAGTATTCACACAGACGCCTCCTGGGGCAATTCAGGGTAAAGGATGGTTAAGACATTGCTTTCATTGCTCATGATTATGCATGTCAAGTGCATGTAATGTATTTACTGTCAATCACCACGGTCCCCGGCGTGTTCATATTCACTGTTCCTCTCACGTATAAGCCAGCTCTGCTCTCTGCCTCGTCTAGACACATCATGGTTCCCTTCTGCTCCATCCCACAATATACTCTCTTCTTCGCCTCTGACCAGCTCCCGAATACACCGCAACCCACTCAATCATCTGGTGAACCCTTTGCCTCACCAGTGTTCGTATGTCATCGCTATGCCCGTTCATCAAGTGGTATACTCGCTTGGCCCCCTTAAACGGCCGATCCAGCTAGCGGCCAAGCTAATAGGGGTTTTCAGTAATATAGTGACCTTGAAGCCTACGATGCTTGGGTTAGTACCTAAAGTCTTTCTTTATCAAATAGTAATGCCTAAGTGCCGTCTTAGTATCTAAGAGATTTATAGATGATATATATACTCCCTCTTATATTCCTTATCGGATCATATAGGCTTGCTTTATAGATCTAAGGTGCTATTTGCTTTGATAATGCTTGTATAAATATTGCTCAGTAGTTTAGAGAGGCTATTATAACCTGGCAGTTAGCTATGCCCCTAAATAAGGAAGCACTATATTACTTCTTGGTTATAATATAGCATTTGCCTAGGATCGAAGCCACTTGTCTCTGATCAATTGCTGTCATTTCAAGCCCTATAGAGAATAACCACCTATAATAACGAGAAGCCGAAGCCTCTATTATACCTTGACTGCTCGAGGTATATAAATCCCTACTATAAGCCTTTCCCCTATATAGCGGCCTATAGTCCTCTATCGAACACTATATACTAGGCTTTCTAAGTTCTCAGATATCTCCTATTCTAATTACCGGTCTGCAATTGTCAAGATATACTACTAATTCATAAAGCGCCATGCCTGCACCTACCCGAGCGGACCGTATTATAGGACCTGTTCTGTAGCTACGGCACGTATATAAGCGGGCTATTCTAAGGAATATATGGAGCAAGAAGGCTGGACTGGAGGAGGCAATTCCCTATTGGTTGAATGATATAGAGAGGAATGAAGGCGACGAGAATATATATAAGGCGTATTAGCAAGCCATCTATAATGTCGTTGGCCGGCTATAGAGATACTTTGAGTGGTATATAACT